CGTTGCCAACTCTTCCAATCAATCTTTGCTCGATTCCAAAAAATGGGGAACCCCAAGTGACCATAGGTTTCAAGACTCAAACGGTCGAATTCTACATGGTTTGGGGGTACTCCCATTTTAGAAAACTTCCATGGTATGGCTTAAGGTATGGCTCAACATTGGCATCAAAAGCTACTGGGTAAATGGTTTGACATCACCAGTCTTGTCAATTGGTTCTTCGCATGATCAGCCGTTTCGGTACGGCTTGTCATTGGATGATCATTGGATTGGTAACCATGAAATTATCAAATGTTGGTACGGCTTTTCTTTGTCCATGTTCGAACCATTCACAAATGGGGTTCCACAAATGGGGCATCCCTAAAAAAATCATGATGTTTATGAATGTTTATGATGGAAAATCATGTTAAAATGAATGATTTATAAAGGTGTTCCAGTTTTAGGACACCTCCATTTCTGGGACTTCAGGGAATTCAGGGAATAGCTGAAGTATGGCCTGGCAGGTTTGGGCTTTGGCTTCTGGGCTGCTGGAATTTTCCTTCGGAAGGCTCAGGCGCTGGCGGGTTGATTGGTTAAAGATGATGTTAACATCACAAAGGTACCCCATTTACGTTGATAAAACAGTGATGGTTGGCATTTTATACTGGTACTACACTACTTACCCATCAAACATATTGGGAAGTTATCAACTATCAAATCAATGATGATGGGTAAGCTGGGTGAATTTTGGATAAAATCCCAAGAGGATGTGTAAACAACATGATTAGCTGGTTAATTGTGACATATGGTGACCAAAAAGATGGGGATGGAAGGAAGAACTGTGGGTATTTTGTTGATTGGTTGTTGGTTTACTCGATTTTCCGATATTTTTTCCCACTTGGAGCCCTGATTGGCGAATCTATTTGCATCCAGAAGTCAACTGCGAAACAGATCGGTGATGTCAATCCAGTGATCATCAGTGATCCGTTTAACGGCTAGATTGGTGTCGCAGAAAGAAACACGCGTGGCGAACGCGGCTGGGAAATTCATATCGGAATCAGAAAAGAAAACAGATATAGTTACCATCTGGTTATGACTAACATAGCCATGGAAAATCACCATTTTTAATAGGTAAAGCATCTATAAATGGGCCATCTATACCATGGCTATGTTAAATAACCAGAGGGTAGATTTTTACCCACAGACATATGGGTTTTTCAAGCATCCCATTTAAAGTGGCCTATGAACTCCTATTCAAAATAGAGAATCATCAGACGGTACCAGATGGGCCATATTGCCCAAATTTCTAGAACATTGCCAAATCCACTATGTCCACTCTATTTCATTTCCCGCATCAAAAGATATCGGATCTTCATTTTTTTGGAGGGTTGGTAGATGATTTACCTAGAACTGGATGGATTATTATAGATTACAGCCATACACTTTGATTTTTAGTTTACGGGTGAGATGGGTTTGCCATTCATCCTACAAAAAAATAGATTTATAGCAGATCAACAAACGTTGACTTTGAACCAAGATAATACACAGCAAGATAAACAGAACAAACAACATTCAAAACAAAAAACCTGAGATTCACCATAAATCATAGTTTTTTTCAAAAAAAATAAGACCACCAATTAAATCACACTTCATATAATATATGATATATATGGTTGATTGTTAAATTATATATATATCCCTGATTGGTGGTTTCAATCATTTTTTATTTTCCATTTCATATATGGGATGTCAACCTTCCCATTGACGAACTCATATTTTTCACGATGGTTAAAACCACCAACCAGATCCCCATATGGTTGCTTCATAAAAACCACGAAAAACTGTGGTGTTTTCCAAGGGACCCGAGCCAGGCATGGGAGGTGCCAACGGCCTGGCGGCAAACGCAGTGTAAGGCCGGAAAACTGTCGTCAGTCAGTCATGGACATGTCGCAACGTTTTGGGGATCTACCCTCTGGCAAACAGCCACATATCTATGGAAAATCACCATTTTTAATGGGAAAATCCACTATTTCTATGGCCATTTTCAATAGCCAACTGTTAAATTACCAGATGGTAAAAGTGGATATAAAACTCAGGTTATTTAGCATAGACTGAGGTTATTTATCTAAGAATATGATATTATTATGATATGGAAAACCACTCTAGATATTTAACAATATGGTTATGATATAACATAGACTGATTTATCTAAGAGGTGATTTGTTTTTCACATAGATTAACATTTAACATAGATATACATAGATTGATTTATCTAACCATATTTTATCAATAAGGTTCTTTAACCATATTTAATATAGCCTTGTCACCTTAGAAATATCATAGGGAGATGGTCATCAATCCATCAGATCTTTTGGTGATTTCCATAGTCATGGAGGTTCCCCTTTATCGCTGGATGATGACTGGGGGTACCCCTATGACTTAGGAAACCCCCATTGAACAATATTCAACATAGCTATTGAAGAATCCCCATTGTTTGGGAATCCCCATTGTTGCTGGTAAATAATGTTTATGTATATCCCCTATGGGATATGTTTATGAGTTCTGGGGATGCGTTTCAGGTTTTTTTGGGATGTGTACAACCAATGTAAGGGATTAGTTCCACTTCATGTGCATATATATTATTATATATATATAGTAAACTAACATAACTATGGAAAATCACCATTCTTAATGGGAAAACTCACTATAAATCACCATTTTCAATAGCTATGTTAAATTACCAGAGGGTATTGCATCCCATTGTCACTGCAGTCTGTGTCATCCCATCTCATCTCACATCTTGTCTTCAAAAAGCGTTTTTCACCTCATCTCTCATCTCATGTCTTCGCCCCTTTTCTCAGCTCTTCTCACCTGATCACATCCGTTCTCATCTCTCCTCATGTCATCTGAGCTTGTCTCATCCCTTCTCAGTTCATCTGAACTCTTTTCTTTTCACCTCTTCTCAGCTTCTCCAAAAACATGAAACTTAAAGATGTCAAAACGAAACTTTTGTGCCAGACCTCCCAAAAACTGAAAGTTGATGTGAAAACCAAGCTTTCATGCGAGACTTCCTTCAGAAATTACTACCTGAAGTTGCAAAAATAAAGCCCGATGCGTCAGTTCGTCAGTTCCAATGCGCTGCTGATCCAAACATGACCCGACCATGGCCGGGACCGTCTCGCACGATTTGTGCTGCAAAACGCACCTGTTTGGCGCATCCACTATCTCTCCAAAACGCATTTTGTGCGAGGAGTTCTGAAAAGAAATCTTTCCTGCGAGACTTCTCTCAAAAACTGCAAGTTGAAGATGTCAAAACCACCCTTTTAAACCCTTTTATGCGAGATCTCCTTCAAATCTGCAACGTGAAGTTGCCAAAATGAAACCTGAACCGTCAATTCCAATGCGGGGCCGATTCGAGCATGGGGATATGTGGTGGTTAAGATTTGCCATAGGTAAACCCCTATTGTTGGGTTGAAGCCTCATGAGAAAAGTGTTTCCAGGATGCTATACATCGATGATTTTAGTTTCTAATTCAAGTTTTCCAATCTGCCTATTTTTTGGGGGATTGCTATATGATTAATGGGAAATACCACTGGATTTCAGCATTCACATGCATTATTGATACCAAGAAATCCAAAAATTTGCCAGGCTACACCACAGTCATTTTGGTTGACAGCGGCCTTTCTGAATGCCGATGCCGAAATTATTGTCATGAAATTAGGGAAACAAGAGTCAACGAGAAGGTGATCAGATGATACATGTATATGAGATATAGGAAAATGGTTGATGTTTCAAAGTCCAATCGAAAGAAACATGTCATTCATGATGTTGATTCATCTTTGGTGCTGCATCACGATATATTTTTTGGCGCAGACATGGAAGTTGTTGAGTTATGTTGAGTTTGTACCCCGGATTGGCGGAATGATTTTAATATAGTTTACCCTCTGGTTATTTAACATAGCTATGGAAAATCACCATGTTTAATAGGTAAACCCAGGTAAACCATCGATAAATGGGCCATTTTCCATGGCTATGTTAGTCATAACCAGAGGGTAATGGTGGATGTTTCTGAAACGAAGACATATTAAAAACCACAAGGCGCCGTGGCATTTCTATAGTTTTCTGAAGTCCACAGAGTCCATTTTTCATGAAAAAAAACACCCAAGAATCGCCAAAAAATCCATGGCAGGTCTTGGTAGCAGGGGTCAGTTGCACAGATGAAGAGAGCAGGAGCTGTATGATCCCAACAGGTTGGTTAGCCGCCTTTGGTCATGGATAAGACAGGGAAATCATGGTTAGCTAATCATGACATAATCTTCAGAGATCTGATTTTTGTTGGAAATAATGATGTGGGTGTGTCTGAAAATAGTGTACCCCTAAACCCAATGGTTAATGATCATTATCTCTATTAAATGGCTATAATTGGGAATATACCCTATTTTCAGACAAACCCATGTATATCCAGGGAAATGGTGTTGAAAAGTGTGATTTTTTGGGAATTCCCTGATGGTCAGATGAATAACAGGTTGCGTTGTTGAAACAAGTTCCGATGTTGCCACAGTGAGTTGTAGAAAAAAGTCCCAATTCTGAAATTGAAGTATGGAATGAACATGTACCCTCTGGTAATTTAACATAACGAACTGGAACATCACCATTTTTAATGGAAAAATCCACTATTTCTATGGCCATTTTCAATAGCAAACTGTTAAATTACCAGAGGGTAAAATGGATTGAGGTCAATACATAGCTTATTACATTTAACAGGACGTGTAGAATTGTTTCACCCTTAGCTAATCCACTTGGAGCCGCAATTGCGGCTGCGGATGCTCTAGGTCCGTCATCCATGTTCCATAGCTGCTATAGCTATAGGTGAGTCATGAGCTGAAGCCTCATGAAATCACCTTTTTTTTTGTGGTAAGATCCCATGAAATCTATCAAATCACCATGTTTTTTTACGCTCCCCATGTAATTTCCATTCCAAACTCAACATGAGGAGCACTTGTGGTGGATACAAGGCTGGCCAGATGCCGAATCAAAGCGTCCCGGTCTTTCTGACCGAGCAGATTGCCGTCTGCCCAGGTGACCAGTCGCAGCTTACAAATCGGTTGGTTTCGGGATGATAGTTGGGGTGCAAACATCTAAAAAGAGTGGTTCTTCGCTGTTTCAAATCTGGAGGTTATATGTGTTGGTAAGTCTGGTAAGTAGATATTTGGAATGAACGATTTTGGAAGCCCGCCATGTTAGTTCTAGAAGCTCCATTGTGAGTTCTGACTCGCTTTGTTTACTCATGCTGCACTTGTATTGAACATCTTTATCCCACTCGATGCTTGCATCATTCAATCCCAGAAGTGGTTTACATGACATGTTTCAGCAGCCTCCCGACTTGGATCGTCAAAAAATCCATGATTTCCTCGATTTCTTTTCCCATGAAAATCAACAAAATTGAAAATCGCCAGGAACCTATTGGTGTGCCAAAGAGGAAGAGATGTGCAACTGCACCGGAGAGATCACATATAGCCCTGAGCTTTTTGACGGTTATGTCTACACAGTGCCAGCAGCTGAACAAGCTTACAAGGCCAGCGGCCCGAGGAGGTGATCTTTAGGGGCCCAGATGCTTTTGTTCGTCTAAATCCACCAGTTGGGAAACTGGCAATCATATATATATATACATATATGTATAGAGAGATTATTATACATTCATAATCACATATATATATACATACATACATACGTATATATATAAATATGTAGATGGATATGCTTTGATATGTATATATTATATATGTACATAATATTGATATTATAGCTGAGGGCGAGACTTCAAGGCTAGTAATGAATGTCATGGACGCACTTTTCGCGACAGGTGCGTTCGGATGGTCTGTGGAAATGCGGCACTGACCAGATGGGCCTGCCTTACAAAGTGGATCCAGCACCTTGGCATATCAAGCACTGCTGGTGCACTCCTGCATCTCGGCTGAGAAGTTGACGAATTTTGGCCAGTTTGGAATTGTTGGCCAGAAAACGAGGATTAAAAAACAACAACTATAGAATTTTGGCCACTGGAACTGGTTGCTGGGTTCATATTTTTTCCCTACCTTCCTGCCTGAGACAGTCCAGTCCCATTGACCATGTTGTCACTGGATCCCAAAGAAGCAGAGACATTTTAACGGTGGAATGGGTCGATGCTACGTTGTAAGTTCAATAGCTACCATGGTTATTGTAAATGGATGTAAGTAAGTGGAATATTATCCCAGAAGAAAATGACACGGTAAAAACTGTTATATATCATGAAATTATATATATATATAATATGTCCACAAATTCCATCACTTTCCAACGCCCTGGAACCATCCTGCCGGCTTTTGGATTTTCAGGATGGTATCCAAACAATCCTGGAACCATATGGAAGCCAAAACTTGCACAAGAAGGACGTGTCGTGTGTGGGCTGTGGGCTTCCAGAGGTTGCGAAATGTTGCCGTTATTGTTGTTGGTTCATGACTTTTCATGGGTTGCTGATAATAGTATTCCGGTTTGGGTGTCGGATTCTTGAGTCACTGGATTGGTTTAAGGGAAAATCTACAGGAAACCATGGTTTTTACCATCAACGTAGGGCTTTCCAGTTAACAATTTCCCATCATCCAATTCTATGATTGAGAGACCAAGTGAACAACATTGAACAGCTGAAGTTCAGAGATCCAAAATGTTGATTTGTTGAGGGTAAATCATCAACATTATTTACTGGGTCAGCTTATCTAACCACTAATATCACTAATGGTTTAGGTGACTTTGGTTAGTTTATGTAACTATGGTATTTTTGGTTATATCCGAATGATTATCCCATTATTGTTCCTATTCAAACCGTATATAAACCATTAAACCATATTTAAGATATATTAAGGCTTATTCTCCCATTCTGATCCAATGATCATCCCAAAAATCAAAAACCATGAAACAAAAGCCACTGTGGATGAAAGAAATCCTGTAGAAAGCCTGCATCAGCATGGTAGAAAAGCCTGTTTGAACATGGGATATTTACCACCTATGAACTGCCGCAGGCTGCATTTTTTTCTAAAAAATCCACAGTTGTCATAGCTTTCCTCTCCAATGATCATCCCGGTAGGATGACAACTTACTGTGGATGATATGGTTTATAAACCTTTATTATTCATAAACCTTTACCATCTGGCTATGACTAACAGTTTGCCATGGTATAGATGGCTCATTTGTAGAGGTTTACCGTTCTTACAAATGGGTGGATCTTTTCATGGCTATGTTAAATAACCAGAGGGTATCTGGTTGGTGGTTTCAAACATTTTTTATTTTCCATAATATATGGGATAATCCTTCCCATTTACTAATATTTTTCAGAGGGGTTCAAACCACCAACCAGTTATTATTAATACTGGTTAAACCTTCATTATTCATAAACCATATCAACCAGTTATTTTTCACCACGATTTTCCAGATCAAAAACCATGAAACATGGTATCCATAACTTTTTTATTATCCATTATTAATCCATCAAACCACAGGCAAACCTATAAACCCAACTAACATAGCTATTGAAAATGGCCATAGTTCACCATGATTTTCCATAAATCATGAAAGAAAACCATGAAACAAAACCCAACTTGTCATCTTTCCCCAGGAATGTTCCGAATCCTCTAACTTCGACTTTGAAGAGGCCAACACACGACGCCTGCGACGCCTGGCCGCCACACAACGGGCACGACGCCGCTCGGCGAGGAAAACCAGCAGGAAACCACGGGAAAATCGGAAAATCCTATGGTTTTTCTCATATTTTGATCATGATTTTCCCATATTTTTCCCATCGAAAATGGATTTTTCCATGGATTTTTCCATGGATGAACATGGATGAACATGACATAAATTGACCATACTTGGCGATCAAAACAAACATGGGCCCATAAGAATTTCCTAAAAGAACGAATTTCCATGGATTGCCGTTGGCAGCGTTGGCATGTTTGCTACAACAGATGTTGCAGAAGATATCCCAGTGGTGACGTGAAGAGTTTTGGTTGTGATTTGTACATATTTATAGACCATCAAATTCACATTCAGATATAAATATTTAATGATATGTGATCCTCATTTTTAATTTGTGAACCATTTGGATATAAATGTGTGGCCCACATCCCTGCTTGCAAATATGTTTTTTTTCATCTCTGTCTCACAATGATCCGAAGGTGACAAATTTCTAGGTGTCATTGGGGCCCTCTTTGAAGACAGTCACATTCCAAGTTGTTGGTTGTATCCCCTTCGGTGGATTATGTATATCATGCAGTCCAGAAATCTGGTTGCTACCAGATATGCCAAAATATCCAAGCTGCAGCCGATTCATCGCATTGTTTTGGTTGTTTATCCATAATAGTAGGCGCGTGTCTTCTCTTGCAGCTATAAATCCCAGATTTATCGCCAAATAAAGGGGTGTCCCCTGAATTTTCAGACAAACCCAGATTATAATTATATCTATTGTATCTCCAAAACAAATTATAGCCATGATACATTTGGGTGACCATTGTATAGGTATCAAATAGTATCCCAATTAGCCATTTATAGCCATGATATGTATATGTCAAACCTTGTATTATAGCCATTATGTATGTATAGGCCTATATATACAGGGCAATAAAAATATTATAGCCATGTAGGTACCGGTATACCCCATGTTCACACAGACCCATTAATCCGTTTTTTATCTTGAAATGGTACGTATACCATCGGGATCGATTGTGTTTCAAAATCCTGAAAATTATATCCATTGCAGTATAGATTTCTAGTGGGCCATTTATACCCATTGATTAAATGCCATTTAGAGTCCCGAAAACTCCCGATGAAAATCTCTTCCGCAGGCTTGATGCAGCGCATCAAGGAGCGCTTGGATCACGCCTCGAATCGGCAGCTCCACGATTCGCGGCGGCGCCGAACCTATCGCAGCTTGACGTTGCGCGCGTTGCGAGCGTTGCGACGTGAGCAAACTAAGTGGACACTGGGAGAATGGGGATATGAATTATATGGGATATTCATGGTTAATGGAATATTATATGGGATATTTATGATTAATTATAGGTAATATATGGTAATATCCCATTGTTATTGTTAATGGAACTATATATTGGAATGGGGTTATAAACGATATCAACTATGGAATGGTTATATCTGACGTTTCCACTAATGGAACTTAGTGGTGAACATTCGGATATCAATTGTAGTATATGGAATAATTGGAAGAAACTGGGAGGACACTGTTTTTTTTTTGGAATGTATCTATAATGGATATTCATTATGGGATACGCCTATCATTTTTTCTTGTGTATACACACAACCCCATGAATTAACCTACTCAGTTGGGGTTTTAAGGGGATATTCATTGGGATAATTGGGGATAATGGGAGATATATAATATATGATTGACCAACTCAAATCCATCAATGGGTCAGTCTGAAAATGATTTTAAATGGTGTGTATCCCAGATATACCTCATGTGGCCACTGGGATATACAGTGATATTGATGATTGACAAGTTGATTTAGGACTATATAGCATATTTTAAGACAAGTCCAAATACAGAAATGTGAGAATGCCAGCAACGATTTTTCTCGGGATTTAGCTGGCAAGAATGGCGATGTCAAGAAATGATGCTGTGCTGATGGTTGTTTGTTGTCTCATTCAACCAGCTTGATTCAAGCGGAGTAGAGAGGACATTTTGGGATTTTGGGCATGGCGATTTAACTGCCTGTTGGGTAGCCAACGCATATGTTTAAAGATGCTGGTTTCTGTACATCGCCACCGCCAGATGAACATTTCAACATTTCCAACGGGATGATCGTTTCGGGTTCTGTTTTCCAAGGACAGGTTTTTTGATACTCAGAAATCATGAAAACATATGAAAACATATGAGAACATGTATTAAGAATACCCAACTGTTACTTGGTCTTGGTCTGGGTATATAACTGTTTAACCATCATTCGGAAGACAGGGGATGAAAAAATCCAGAACCTCCAGTCAACAAAACCACCCATCAGGATATACTCCCTGGGCGCTGGTCACAGTGGAGGATGACGCCTTGGATTATTTTTCATCCTCCAACAACAAGTGGAGCACTCAGCGGAACCATCCACTGTCATCGAAGTCATGAGAAGTTTCCAGCTGTTCGCTGACAGTTTCCAGCTGTTAAGATTTGTTAAGATCTCCAACTCCCAATATTTGCAGCTTAGTTTGATCCATTCCCCCGCAGTTGCTCAGAATCCGAAGCTGAGCAATCCCACAACGGATCTCAACGGATCACAACGGACGACTGAGGCCCATCAGCTGTGCCTATGAGTACGGAGTTCCACAGGCTTCCGGGCAATTCTACCATGGTGATGGACCGTATTCGGGTGGTGTTTGGAAAGCCGAAAGAGCCTTGGATGAACTTGGGATGATCTTGGAGAAAATATCTCCAGGAATCAAGGATCGGGCGGGAAAAAGCATCAAAAAACGATAGATCCAATAGATCTTGGTGATGTTGGGTTGACCATGGTTTGTGTTGATATGTGTTGATACTTCACTGCAGTTTTGCAGGGCCAAGAAGTTTGTATCAAGGAGAGGGAGAAAAAATGATGTTCTTAGGTTCTTGGTTATGATTTTCCATTGATTTTGCGATGCCTTACCCATTCTTTTTAGGATCTCCAAATGGGGGTTACCATAAACGGGGATATCCCCAAATGGATCGTTTATAAGTTCAAAAAAAAACAACCAAAGATGGATGATTTTTCAGGGTACCCCTATTTTCCTCAGGAAACCTCCAAATCATGCGCCGCATTTTACACCCTTCCGCTGAACGAAAAACTAAGACGTGGCCTTGAAATGGGGCAAAGACCCCGTTCGACCATGCTGGGTGCGAACTCAAGGCTGGGGAGGGGTGAGACAAGGCTCACCTTGGAAATATCACAGGGGGATGGTTACCCTCTGGTAAACAGCCACATAACTATGGAAAATCACCATTTTTAATAGGAAAACTCACTATAAATGGCCATTTTCAATGGCCAACTGTTAAATTACCAGAGGGTATCGATATATGGGGGTTTCCATCAATGGGATATCCCCAATAGCTGGATGCTGGAAAATCATCCGATGAAAATGAGTTGACATGGGTGATAAAAAGGAGTACCCCCATTTTAGGGAACCTTTATATACCCATTAGATGCCCAATATGGGATGAATGACCGCGAAGCATATATCTTCTTTTTGACCCACACATGTTCCATAGTTATAAGATGGTGCAGATCTCAGCAAGTAGAATCAATCCTGATCTCAAAAAATCTACTGTTGTGGCTCTTCGATTTTTTGACGCCCCATTTTTTCGTGAAAGTGACGTCCTCTTTTCAGCTTCGGCATTTTTCAAGGGTGTCCTTCATTGCTGAATCCCCATCGTGGCCAGGTGAATCTGCTGGGGGGTCTGGTGCTCAGAAAAACCAGTCACTGCAGGTTTCCAAGCTGCTTATGATTAGTTCGGAGAAGATATGATCCAATACACTGGGAACATTGGGAACTATCACATGAAATCCAAATAAAACTAGCCAGTATAAAGGAACAGCGCCTTTTCAACACCGCGGAAACAGTTTCCGTTCTTGTGGATAAGACATGACGCAAAAAAAAAATCATTTGGGTGAATCCGAACCTGTCAAGACCGGAGTTTTGGTGTGGAACACATATGGCAAAAACATGCAAAAACACACATGTTGTTATGAATTTTGTCAGTGCAAATTCTAAATCCCATCTCCCAGAAGATGTTGTTGTTGTTAGATTGGCTGTGCGATGAGGTACTGCTCCCTGGCACTGCAGGTACCTGGAACCCTGAAGGAGCATGTTATGCAGCTGGCGTTAGCTGTGGGAAAAATGATGGTAATACTTTGGAAGTCAGACATGGCTGATTAGCTGAGAAATCCACGGTTTAACCGAGCATTTTAGATGGTAAAATCATCGAACTAGGTAGGGAATTGTCCGGAAAGCCATGTTTGATCACCACAAGGAAATGCTTTTGAATTGTTGCCTTATTTTCAAAACCCCGAAGAAACTTCCCAAAAATCCCAGAATTGGTGTGAAGATTTACACCATAGGAAAGCCAAACATTGCTAGAGGGTATAAAAATGTGGCTAGGTTACCACATAGCAAAAACTAGTGTGCGCAACTGGATGCCAGGGTGTGGGACAAACCTTAGCCTTGTTGTTTGGTGTTTCCCCCTGGTTTTCTCTTTATTTCCCTATGATTTCCCTATGTTTTCCTATTAGTTCCCTATTATTTCTCTATTTTTTCCCTATTAATTAGTTCCCTATGATTTTCCTATTATTTCCGTATTATTTCCCTATGTTTTCCCTATTATTTCCCTATTAGGTCCCTATTATTTCCTTGGTCCAGGAGAAAGCTCGAGATCTACTGAAGACCGTGAGCATCCTATTTTGGAGTTGTATCTTGCCACCTCGGAATTGTATTTTTCCTGCGTTTATTGGTGATATCTGGTGGTGATATTTGGTGATAAACCAAATAGCAGCAAATTTGCATAAGAAAAAGTGTTCTAAAGTTCTGTTGCGACATCTCTACTTGTGGCATAGCATAGTGGCATAGCATCTTTTCTCCAATTTACACTGCGTATGCCCATTCGGAACACTGTCCGAAGTCCTGATTTTTATGATATTTGAATTTATGGGACGATATTCCCCATATATTCTTCCTAGATATGATTCCTAGATATTTTGTTATATTGTAATTCCCATCATACATTCCAAAAAGACCCATCATATATCCGCATTCCATACATAAATGATCATCATATCTGATGAATTATATATACATATATTATATACATACGGTAGCGAGATTTAAATACGTGGAGGGCGGGCCAGACTGTGAGGCCCCGGAGGTAGTATGAAATACCAGGTATATTTAAATGTAGTTACCATATGTTTAAATGAGTTGGATTCCGTATGTTTAAATGGCCGGGCGGGCCAAGGAAAACCTTCCCGGAGGTAGTCTAAAATACCTGTTCGTATATTTAAAAGCCCGTGTATTTAAATGTAGTTACCGTACATATATATATATCAATGATATATATATATATATCAATGATATCCACATTATCATCATCCTGAAGCAGATAGAATATGGGATTTTCAAAAATATTCCAAATTTAGTGAGGATTTGTTGAAATTTCCATATTCCATCTACTTCAGGATGACTATAAATGAATGATCGTCATAATATATAATAATATATAATAATATATAATAATATATATATATACAGCATACACATTATTATTAGCCCATCATTTACGATATATTCCCCATAGAATGATATTCCCACCATCATATACTAGATAATTGTCATCATTTGTGTCTTATCCCTTGAGGTCTTTGCTGCACCATTGTGATGCTCATACTTTGTGGTGTCTTTTTTGGTCCTGCTGTGCTACAGCTTTGTCAAGAGCTGCGGGCGCACATGGCGCAGCTTGGCAAACTCCTTGGAACACTTGGGACTTGGGGATTAGCCATCGAAGAATCCGTTGGAACACCTGAGAAGTGTTCAAAACCCCTGGCAGGGCAGATGATTAGTTGGGATATACTACCCAATATATTGGGATTATAATAATCCAATAGGGGAATCCCTATTAACCAACCAGTATAATGGAATAACAGAGGGGTTTTGAACACTGCTCACCTGGATAAAGTCATACAAGAGCTCAGACATATGATAGACATGATTTTGAAATCTCTTAGATAAGCCCTGTGAACAAATAGATGTCCATCCGCTATTACATCAACGACCTTTTTTTGTCTTGTCAAGGGATGTCAGTTGCTCATATGGGTATGGATCAATACCTATTAATCCCATTTTTAGGGGAATGAACATCCATTTACCAGCTATTTTGATGTTCACCAGGGGTACAAGGTTTTGACACACTGCCATATATTAGGGGTAATCCCGAAACACACATGCGCAAATACCCACCAAAAATAGTGATACTATGTAATGCTGCCAACAAATATGGATGCAACCACCATGTCGCCATGTCAAAATGTTAAGCATACTTCGGCCATTTTTAGATATTGACCATCCCAGCTGATGTCGCAATCACCTCAAGCATTGGGGGGATCTAAGAATCCACTTTTTGCAGTATGTTTGCAGCATTTTCCCATTGAAAAGCATGAGAATAGTTTTCAATCATATCCAAAAACGGATGACTAAAGACTTACAAGACCTTAACAAGACCTGAACAAGAGAATCAGCCTTTAGTTTTGTTAGTTTTTTGTTTGGTTTCTCATAGGTTTTTCCCAAGGGGTTTTCTCGTTTTTTTCGGTCACCAAAAAAATTCGTCCAGGACCCGGTCGCAGCAGACGGAGATGGAGAATTTACTCAATGTGGGCCAGGTGCAAAGCAATGCACCAAACGCTCCGCGCTGACGGCGCTGACGCTGAAGAACTGGGAGAAATTCATCGAAGGGGAAATGGAGAAAAAAATTCAGAAGTGTCCAAGTGTTCAACAGTTTAACATATAGCATATTTTCCAATATATGGATTGTTAGGAATTGGAAAACATGGGAAAGACACTGCAGAAATATTTTGCTGTCGGGGCTTGGATATTGCGAGGTGTTTTGCTTCGCAGTGGTAAATATTTCACCACTGTTCATGTAAGCTAGCACTTGGGTCCTTCAAGGCAAAAGATCCTTGACTCTTTGTTTGACTCGTTCCCGGGGACCTTTGAAAACCGCAGTGACTGTGCTCTCGCAGCAAAAAAAGCCGGAGTTTGGTCTTGAACTACATAGAACTACTATGATGGTCCCCAAGTACCCCGGGTGAAATGCCTAAAAGGGATCAGAATGTGCGTTCTTTCGTTCCGTGGTTGAGGCTGGTGCGCAGCGCACGCAGAGCCGAACGAGGCCCATTGTCATTGACGGCCGGGATGTTTTGTTCCGGCGCGTTTCCGGTTTTTTGCCATGGAAAAATGGGGAGATTGACCAAAAGAGATGAGACTGGGTGGCCCAATAAAAAGAGGTGACACTGGAATTATTGTCAATGATTGTTGGGAAACTATAGGAAATGTTGATTGGCAACGTAGCCAGAAAGATGAGGCTACCAGAGTACTACAGTTACAGCTTAATTAATTGGAGATCTAGCATGATTACCCTCTGGTAATTTAACATAGCTATGGAAAATCACCATTTTTAATGGGAAAATCCACTATAAATAGCCATGTTCAATAGCTATGTTTGCTATGGAAAATGGCCATAGAAATTGTTGATTTACCTATTAAAAATGGTGATTTTCCGATATTTTCCGATGTTAAATTACCAGAAGGTAGCAACCAGATCCCACGGCTCAACCATCATCCCGACGCCGGACTCAGGCGCCTTAGGTCCCGTTGGAAACTCAACTGCTGGGCAGAATTCCACGGAGATTTCCACCATTTGGTGCCAGATTTCCACCATGGGCTCCATTTGGAGTGTTTCTTAAAATGGGGGATCCAAAGGCACCATGGGTTTCAATACTAAAATGGTCTATCTTTGGATGATTTGGGGGTACCCCCATTTTAGGAAACTTCCATTTGGAGTGTTGTCAGTTGTTGCACTGTTGTGAAGCCATCAGTGGATATGGTGAACGAGGCGAATTTGAAAGCCGAAACCCTTGAGGCCAGGGCGATTTCAGCAGATTTGGGACTGAAAAGATGATTTTGTGGGCCAAGTTGATCTGCCCTGGGTGTTTCTTATGTTAGCATCCTGCAGCTGTGACACTTCAAGCCACCGAAAAAAGTCTCATGAGATATCCAAGTCAAGCAGTTTTTACACCAAGAATCAGAATCATGTCTACGAGTCTACCAGATGTTTGTGTTTTTGCTTGGGTTGTTGAATTGCGGGGTACCATGGGGTACCATTCAAGTAGCAGATTCTCAATCTTTGGAGCTTCTGTTCATCGCGCTTGCGGCACTTGCGCTTTCGTCTCTGGGCGCGTCAAAAATGGAAGACTTCAAGCTGCTGGTCTCACCGGAGGCATGGTTGATATTTTAGCGACCGGGGGACGATCATTTTTTCATCATCCATGAGAATCCATTACCCTCTGGTAAACAGCCACATAACGAACTGGAAAATCACCATGCTATTAATGGGAAAATCCACTATAAACGGTCATGTTCAATAGCTATGTTAGTTTACCAGAGGGTAGAATCCATTAGAATCCATGAGAATCCATGAGAATCCATTATCGATACGATTGATCATGCTTGAAAATCCTGGTGTTTTCCGGGCTCTGACGGGCTCTGATTTTTCTGAAATAGGCTACACCATGTTTTTCAGATTTTTTCCATGTTGATTCATCGATGGGAAAAATGGGGGATACGTTCCAAAACATCGGACCCCTTTGATGATGTTGATGCCAGTTGATGCCATGAGTTGAGGGGTTACACATGTTACACCACACAATCCACACATCACAACACTTTTATCCACCTTTATCCACCTTTCATATGGGTATGGGTCAAAACCCTGGTACCTAGTGAACCCCAAAATAGCTGGTAAATGGATGTTCATCCCCCTAAAAATGGTATTAATAGGTATTGATCCATACCCATATCTTGAAGATTATCATGATCCATTCTGGCGATGACCAGATCAAGCCCAAAAAAAAGATGGCTTGGTACTGGCTTGGTACTGGAATGCAATAGCAGGTGCCGCAAGCCCAGGGTTGGAGAAACACTGGACTTGCTGGAGGCAACTCAAGAATTGGCGTTTGGGATATGAAGCTAGCAAATTAAATCTCCATGCTTTCATTCCCCCGAAAATTAAGTTGTTTGAAACTTATGCAGAGAACTTTGGAGTTTCCAAACTTTGGACCTGCCAGAGGAGTTCGGAGGTCTGTTGCGACCAGAACAAGTGGAGATGTCCTTTGACAAGCGCTACAACTGCAAGGCCCGTGGAAAACGCGCCGCTGGGGGCTTCTTCAAATAGAGCTACCCCAAAATGGATGGTTTATGATGAAAAAGAGACCATTGAAATTGATGATTTGGGGCTCCCATTTGTAGAAAACCCTCAAGCAGAAATGAATCATTCGACCACAAATGGACCACTGGGTGTGGTTCAGGATTGGTTTAGTAAACCCTGAAGCAGAAATGGACAATTCAACCTCTCCAAAACCCCTACTGTAGGTCCTGGTCTTGGTGAATATACGCCTGTACCCATACCAAGCCAAGCACCAGAATTATGACCACCCACATGGTCCTCTGCAATCAGTTTTCCCATGGCTTCAGTTGAAAATCTGGAGGAGAGCCCTGTATATGTCATGGTAATCCCATCTCTCTAATATAAAGTACAGCCGGATATGGGATCCCAAAATGAATAGTTCCAATCTTAAACGCGGGTCTAAAGGGTGGTAGTTTCTATTAGTGGGAGTAATGGGTTATATATATACGGTAACCGTACATATATGTATTATATTATATTATATTATATTATATTATATTATATTATATTATATTATATTATATTATATATATATGATTAAATATTCTATAAGTGTTTATCCCATTAATATCCATACGTATATCCCATTGTTTCATTCTTTGTCCATCATATGTATATCATATCATACATCAAACATCAAACATCATACATCATACATCATACATCATATCAAATTCATATCAAATGTATATCAATGTATATCAATTCATATCATATCATTGATGTATGATGTTTGATATGATATCAATTTGATATGATATCAATTGATATAAAAATTCATATATCATACATCATATCAATGTATATCAATTCATATCATATCAAATCCCCATTTTTCATGGACCCGCCTCACTCACAATGACGCCAGGCACACCTAGAAGACCGGATTGAAGAGAGCTGGGAAGCCGCCCTGGCCAAGCCGCCTGACTTGACGAAAAAAACCTCAGGTGATCATGGGGGTGGAACCATCATCTTTTCCATTCTTTGGGGTTGGTAACAGCTGTAACCATCAAAACCATCAAATATGTGGGAATAGAAAAAAAAGGATTGTTGCTTGATAGTGATGAATGATGATGGTAAGATTGCACATGGAAATGAAATGAAGCCAAGCGTCCCTTTTTTTTGAGCACCAGTCGGACCATGTCAGTATTGAAACCCATGGTCACTTGGGGATGGCCCATGACTTAAACAAAACCCAAAGATTGGCTGGAAAACCTGGAAAACCCCTCAACACAAATTGGCCTTGTTGAGGAATCCTCGACTCTTCGACGGCTCCAAGTTTCGCTTGCACCGCGTGAGCTTCGACAAAGACACGAAGCTCTTGCGTTTGGAGTTGGGGTTGACTTCCTATAAGGCGCGACATTTGGAGCTGGTTAGCTTGCCCTTTGTTGATGAATACAAACCCTTCCGGTGTCATCAAAGGTGGCCAAATCCACTATAAGTGGAGGTTTATAGCTGGGAAGATCATATATAAATGGGCCATTTTCCATTGCCATGTTGACTACTGGAGGGTAATCCCATCTCCGTAATCTTACACTGCCACTGGAAGCCATGTTTTCGTATGGGGATTATACATATTTGGGACCGTTTAAGAGGTGTTTAATGTCAGGGGAATGGGAGTACATTATACTTACTATTACTAATAACATCTAATAACTATGTCACAATTATAGGTCCTTACTATAGATACTGGCCCCGGTTACCTTGTGTAGAAATCCCCAATCATAGTTGCTAACTAGTTGCATCATACTGCCCGAATTCTCAGTGTCACCTTGGCGCCAGGAGTACCTGGGCACCAATCGATTGGAAGAGGAGCATCGGCAGCGCTTTCAGCGGCAGGGCCTTGAACACTTTGAAGATGAGGAGAGGTGGATGCTGAGAGGATGCTACCACCAGTTTTTGCCACAGTCATAGCGATTTCCCGATGTGTTCACCCCAAATTCCAGGAAAGCTTTGATGAGTTTGATGAGTTTGTTGGATTTTCCAGGATCCTGGATGATTTACCCATGATTTTCCATAGGAAATCTGGAGTTTTCCATGGCGCCTCAGGCGGCTCATTTCTCCAACGCCCTCGGCTGCGAAGCTGCGCTGGTGACCTGTGACCAGCAGCTGGTGTTGTTACGCAGGAGCAGCACCTTCCCTCGAAACCTGGGAAGTTCCTGGGGGATGGGGCCCTGATGACCTCTGGCAGTGGATGTAACTGGATATATACTGGATATAACTGGTAGATATAGTGGATAAACCAACGATAGTTAGAGGATAATTAAAAACAATTAAAAACACATCTCCAATGAAAGTTGATGGTATAGTATCATCCCCGAACCCTCTGGTAATGACTAACAATTTGCTATGGAAAATGGCCATAGACATAGTTGATTTACCTATTAAAAATGGAGGTTTTCCGATGTTAAATTACCAGAGGGTCCAATATGGCTGGAAAATCTGAAAATCTGGTGTTTTAATGGGATGTAAATGGAGTGATGTTCCATTGCCATTGATTACCCCAGTGATTTTAGTGATTTTCATGGGAAAAAAATGGGAACATGATATTAACGAAGGGTTGGCAATCTGAGATCTTTGAATGCATCGTGTCAGTATGTGTCAGTTGTGTCCTGTGATATTTATGTGAGATGTTGTGGTGCGTACAGATATGTCTGTACCATGGAAGCTGAGCTAAATGTACGGCATGCAACGCAAAGTGGAAATGGCAATGACATAGGACATATGCTTTGGTGTTTCTTAATCATACCAAGACCTCTTTGTGAGCTTATGGCAGGTTGCGAACTGGCAAGCATGGATTCCCTAGGCAGTCTCGTCCGAAAACAGATTCTGCCGCGGAAGATTGGGAAAGCCATGGTTCACCAGTACCCCCAGCAATCCAAGGTGCTGTTGGAACTCATGCTGGATTGTACCAGACTTAGAGCTGGGTTCCTCTCAGATTTCAGAAAGGCAACTTCAGCAAAAGACATACACTTTCGGTAAACGCTTTACCATCAATGATTGCGACACATCCCAGTTCTTCCATAGCACCATCTCCTCTCCAAGACCCCATGAACCAGGTACAACGGTCCTTCCGGCCATCCCGAGCCCAAAAACGTGGGTTTTCCCAACGGAACCAGCGACTGGGATGGAAGCGATGGAAGCAGCGAGCCAGAGTTAACTGCAGCGGTACTGAAGGAGATCTTCCAATCCGCGGTGGATGAGGTGCTGAGATATCGCTGGTTTGATGATTACCCTCTGGTTATGACTAACAGTTTGCCATGGTTAAGCCATGGCCCATAGAAATGGATGGTTTACCGTTCTTAATAGCATGGTGGTTTTCCATGGCGAACTGTTAGTCACAACCAGAGGGTACCCTCTGGTAAACAGCCACATAACGAACTGGAAAATCACCATGCTATTCATGGGTAAATCAACTATGTCTATGGCCATTTTCCATAGCAAATTGTTAAATTACCAGAGGGTAGTTCGGGGATTATGCTATACCATCAACTTTCATTGGAGATGTGTTTTTAATTGTTTTTAATTATCCTCTAACTATCGTTGGTTTATCCACTATATCTACCAGTTATATCCAGTATATATCCAGTTACATCCACTACCAATTTTCATTGCAGATGACCATGATCACAATCCGTGAAAGGGAATTCCTGAATTCAACCAACTAGTATAAACAGACGACACAGGGTTTTGAACACTTCGAATAAGTGAAAATCTTGGGGTAAAGATGGGGAAAACCCATGGATTTTGGCGATCTTAAAACTTGCTGGAAACACCATGAGAGGCGGATCAATGACCAAACCAAATTCTTTTTTTTGGGGGTCCTGGGGGTTGGGTTTTACTTGGGGGAAAAGACTTTTATGGGGCAATGATGGGTTTATAATTTGTAGCTTATTTTGATGGAATACGTTTTTTGCAAATGATTTTAACTGAATTACCATGTCAACTCCAACAGATGCAAAATTTGAAATCTCCCGCAGCATCCCACAACCTGAGTTCACAACCGTAGTCGCCAGCAATTTTCGTTAGGTGGTTGCTGAGACGGGCGTGCCACCTGAAACGCTTTCAGAACCGCAGCTGATGGGTTTCATGGCAGATCCCGCCATGAAGCCAGACGTGCTGTTCCTACTGAGACACCTGGCGCTGTTGGAAAACCTATGGATTTGGGGAAACTATAAAAAAGTCATGAAAAATCATAGGAAAATGCTGAAAAATCACTGGAAATCTCACAGTAGATTGGATGATGAAAGTGTAATTGGGAAAATAATCATCACCAAGTTGGCCCACTTTGGGATGATTTAAGGTTTTTGTAAAGGCTGGGAGGAAAAAGACAACATGTGACTGATGGATACTGATGGTGCTTGAGCATCTGATTCTGGTCACGGAAAATTAATGATGAAACCAAGTTCCAGGTGACAAATGTGACAATCTCAGGATGTTTACTGGAAGGCACAGACTTTGCAATCCTCACCCAGAAAAAGATTTTTGCGCCACGCGAAAATGTCAAATATCATTGACAGATCATGAAATATCCAATTTGAAAAAATCTGAGTTGGCCCATGTTTACCCCCAATCATCCCCTTGCGACCTTGCGACATTTCTTGCTCGCCAGGAACGACTTTAGACTCAGGGGCACTGAAGGATGGCATTGGAAAAGCGCAAGAAGCATGGGAATCCGATAGATTGGTGTCTCTTGGATGGTGAAAAACAGGTACTGGTGGGTCGTTGGCCTCCAAAAATGACCATTTCTTGGGGAAATGAGATGTTGAAGTTATAACCATGGGAATTGGGGGGGTTCCCTATTTTCCAACATATATCTTGGATTAGAAATAGTTGCGTCTGGCCTGGGAGGGTACTGAGATTTATGTGGGTAGAACACGGAAAAACCCATAGCATCCATAGCCAGTTAATGCCTGGAATGGGTTTGGCTCCTCTTTATTTGGCAACTTGGCTTCATGTCAAAGCAATGTCGCCCGTCCATGGCGTCCATGGCTCAGGCATCGTTTTGTTTCAGAGGCGAGTTTCAGTTTCGCATCACTTTCAACCCATGTGTCCTGTGAGTTTCATCAACTTCTCATCCCATCATCGCGACGCCTCCTTTGTTGTTCCGCACCGGTTCCCGGGTGGCCGGCTGCCCCTTGCCATGGCGCCCAGCATCCGCTTGGCCGTCCGCTTGGCGCTGGTCGCCCTCACTCTTGGATGCCTTGGCCTTGGTCCTGGGCAGCTGTTTTCCTTGCCGGCCAGTGGCGTCAGGTCGCCCAACTCACCGATTCCGAGGAATGCCATGAACACCTTGGACAGAGCAACTGGCTGAACCAAGTTTTTCTAGTTCGATGTTCGCCATGTGTTTAAAAAATGATAAATTTTCAGATGTGTTTCCCGAAGTGAGAAAATTTGGATGTTTTGGGTATGATGATTTTATTACGAAGAGTGTCATGGCCGGAGAGTTCTTGTCCATCGATGTTCGCCAAGCCATGTCCGGCGCAACCATCAGATGGCAGGTCTGGTAATCTGGAAAATATCTATGTTGTTTTTGGATTTTTTGGATATTTATGGCTTAGTCCATCCCCCAAATAGTTTAAAAACACCCCAGATTTATGGTCCCAGATATGTGTAGCAGGAAGCGATCATATTCAAGATATTCTCATGATATGTAGATTATATGATTCATAGATCATATATATATAGATCATATATAATTATATATATATATCATCCATGTTATTTTTGTGATCCCAAAAAATTGGATGCCGAAGTTTCACCATTTTGTTCACCGGTGATTTTTAGGTGACCACGGAGATCTCCCCTGCGGATGAAGATCGCCTCCGCGTCAACGCCGCACTGCCAGCGTCCAACGTGGTGGCCCTGCGGAGCCCCCAGGACTTGGCTGAGGCGGAAAACTCAGATTTTTCCAGGATTTTTTGGGGGATTTTTTGAGCATCAACTGTTGCAGATGTGTTATTTAAAGAGATCAAAAGGCAGGGTCTATATGGGTCAAAAAAAAAGGTCTATGACCTCATCTTCTCTGAAAGAATCTCATTATGTTGGTCTAAAACCAGATTTGCACAGTTTAAAACCCTATTTTTCCTCAAGAATATATTGCATCTTTGAATTAAAAAAGACTTGGATGTTCCTTTATTTCTTGGACAATCTCGAGGTGCTTGAGCGAGTTAGCAAAACCGGGCAGCTATTGGTGGTCGATTACTATGCTCCCTGGTGTCGGGCTTGTCAGAAGCTGCTACGCTACATGCATAAGGTGGATAATGAGCGCTGCTGCTGACCCCCCGGTTCGGTTGATTGTTTCATGGGATTTACCATCTGGTTATGACTAACACAGCCATGGAAAATCACCATGCTATTAAGAACGGTAAACCATCTATAAATGGACCATCTATACCATGGCTATGTTAAATAACCAGAGGGTAAAGCTTCTTGTATAGGATGTTTAACTATCAAACATTGGAATATTATCGATAGATGGTGATTGATTGGCTATGACTATCAAATATGGGATTGTTGAGCACTTATAGGAGTTATAACAACGTGTAATCATCCAACATATTCAAATACATGGGGATACAATTGATAAATGATGGGTAATTGATGATTGGTTCGGGGTTATCAAGCTACCTCAGATAGGGATTCTCATCCTAGTTCACTAGAACTCCACTTCTTCACCAACCACTGGTCACATAGGAGATCTCAGAGCATTCAGCTCAGTCAACACTCCCGGCAACCTGGTTGATGAATTGGTTAATTCTTGGAATTTCAATGGTCAAGCAGTGGGAAAAGAGCATGAATACTGTTTATGACTTGAACTCATAAACCGTGGTGTTTAACCAGTTTAGCCACTCATCAAAAGCTATTTCATGGTTGTTACCTTTGTAGTAAACCCCAAAAAAGATAGGAAGAGTAATCTAGCACCATTTTAGCCGGTTTAATTATATATATATAGGTTCTTTTACTTTTCTATGTTTGTAGGTGTTTGTTCTTGATTAAATACAATATAGTACATGGTTGACGTTAAAGATAAAGGAAACTGTGAACCATGTTTTCCCGGAACATTGCTGACCGCAGTTCTCGGCTGTTTTATCCAGCGTTTTTCAGAGAGATATGAGGTGATAGCCACAGCCAGTTGCAGCTGGAATTGACCAGCCAAAAAGTTGGGGATGGTTACTTCCAACTATCTGGTTCTGTTACTTCCGCAGCCAGTTGAGTCAACTTTTTGGTGACCTGCCAGAAAAAACAGCTAGCCGTGGAGGTCGCCAAAGAACCCACCTTCCGCGCCGTGGAATTCGCCTCCGTGGATTTTGACCGCTCGGAAGAGTTGGTTCAGAGCGCCCCGGATCCGAAAAATCCCCATCTTCTCTTGATGGGGGATGGGAGATGGGTCAAAAATGATGAGAAATGAACAATTTGAGTGGGTTTTCATGGTTTTTTGATGGGAGATGGGTCAAAAATGATCCATTTGAGTGGGATGAACATTCATAGATTGCCATAGATCCCAGCTAGTTTTTGGGGCTTCACTAGGTACCAGTGTTTCGACCCATAGCCAATTGGGAACAACTGAAAACTGGGAGAATCTGAGAAATGATCGAAATGATGTGAATGGTGACTCTGTAACTGTCATTTTGCCGGGAAATCTGATTTGGTCAAGACCTAAGATATCAAAAACAGAAAAAACAATTAGAAGAAAACGAAGCCCGGATTTGAGGTGAACGTGGACCCAGGAAATGCGTGCGCAAAAATCGCATTGAATAAGGTTTATGTATGTACCAGTGCGTTTTTCCCCTTTGTATTGGGAGAAAATGATATGAAAGCACTACCAGTGGTTAGGAATTTGAATGGATTTATGATAATCAAAGTGGCAATCCTTTGGTGACCACACAACGACCTCCCTAATGGATAGCTGCTCTGCTGCACATCAATGATATCTGGAACCAAAAGTTTGGTTTTGTGTCGTACCCAAACATCATCGAAATTCCACGAAATTGTGCCGGAAACCATGGCGTTTCCACCTTTCAATCCTGTGAGCCGTTACCGAGTTTTCTCTCATATCAATTCTGAAAAACCATTTTCCAGGTATCACCCTTCAAGCACTTCAGCCTACGTTCTACAACCTGCCGAGGTAGAAATGTCGATCAACTTCCCACCATGGAGATTTACAAAGGGCAGGAGCTAAAGCAGCGTTGGAGTGGAGCAAATACCAAGAAGCTCCAACCTCAGCACCCGATGATCGGAACTTCAGGATCAAGTGGAGGTGCTGTACCACAAAAAAGGTCATATTTTCTGGGAGATTCCATGATATTCCTAGTACATAGGCCTTATATATGGTACCTACAATCAATCGGTTCCTGAAATGGCAACCAGATGCTCAGTGTACTGATACACAATCATCATGTGTGGATCTTGTCAAATGACAAATCTTGACTGGATATACTGGAAGCATCTCCAAACGTTGAAATTCAACCCTTGCCTCGGTGAAAACTAAGACAGACAGCAAAAAAAAACAGTGGCGGAAAATGATTTTCATGAGCGAAAAGGCACTGTGCGGTTTCATGGTCGATTTCAGGGTTATGCCGTGCACCTTCTGCTACTTCCAGCTGTCTTGAGGTTCAGGGAGCGTTTGGAGAGCGAAATCGATGACGTCGATTAGAAGTAGCAGCCAGCAGCTAGCGAAACCCATGTCGGGCTCGCAGAAATCAGCCGTTCCAATGAAAACTTTGGAACTTGGCAAATGAACGCAAAATTCAGACAAAAATTCAGGTGCCATTGTGCAGCTGGTAAATATTGGTGGCTGGCTTGTCGGGTGTACTGCTTTTGCTGCTCACATTCAATTTGGATTCTGAGGTTGAATATGGTTTCGCGAACAGGAAAACATGTTGAACATTGATGCCAGGTGCCAGTCGTCAGCAAAACGTATCATGCAATGAGACACCCAAACAACACTGCCGGTATCTTCCGTTTCTGACATTTTGGGCTTAGCCAATGGGCCATCCATTGTGCCATCCATTGTGCTGCTGGGCAACACGATGCCTTCAATGCTGCCCTTTTGTTTCACTTGATCAGTGGTTTTTGAGACCCGTGGATGAAAACCGGGGACCACTACCTCTGTTCTTACAATCTCTGATCTTGCCGTGTGGCAAGGGGTACAGGTGCAGCAAACTTCTAGGACTCGCAAGATTTCAGCAAAGCCTCTGGACATGAATGCTATTTGATGATTAGTTTCACTCAAATATTGAAATGTTGTTTGATAATTTGATATGTTCAACATTGTTCAGCAGTTTTGAGCATTGAACATCATTGAACTGACAGCACGACGGAACTGTGCTACAAGTATGCTACATCCAGAGGTCTTTGGATAACAGCTTGCATCGAGCGCGTGGTGAGCTTCGTCGCACGGATCACCGCGACTGTTGGCCTTGCAACAATGTAAAGATCACCGGAACTGGCAGTGGAACTGGGATTCTGACTATCATACACTAATTTTGAATAAGTTTGCAATGTTTATTCCAATCAAAATTACTCAATATTACTCACTTGTAACACCCAGTTATAATTGTCAAACTGGGTCATTTTGGTCAGATACAATATGTTACAACTTTTAGCTCCACTTTCCTTTGACATCAGAGTGGTTTACTTCTGGAAAATTAAAAAAAAAAAAACACATTGAGTCATTGATTTGCAGAGCCAACTTAAAGTGACATTCGTAGCGGCGAAGCAGTCGAACGTGGGAGCATGATCTCGGAACGTACTCGAAAAATACGTGGCGGCCATGGTTTCGTAATTATAGCATATTATAGCTATGATTCAGCGCGCATAGGACTCATAACATGCATATGTCGTGTATGTACGATGTATAATGATGTATGTCATGTGACACAATACACTGCAATGCAATGTGCTGTGATGTAATGGTAATATGTAATGTGTATGTAAAATCATATAAAATCTATATATAATTACATAGAGAAGGAAAGACTTCACCAGCTGCTTCGAAGATTCGTTTCGATTCTTCACTCCCACGTAAAATCTCTTCACATCTTCCGATGACTTCGTGATGAGTCGCCTGCATGGAGAACCTCAAAGAATTTGAGGTGCTTTTGGAAAGGATGTGGCGCCAATTTCTGGATCCCATGTAGAATTATAGTAAGAACAGCTATGCTATATGTATATATATATATATGTATATGTATGTATATGTATATGTATGCAGACATATATAAATCTACAATATATATATATATATTATGTTATGTTATATTCCATGGTCGAAAGTGGTCAGTTTTGTTGAAATTTCGGTCATCTTGGTGGGGCCATTGAAAAAACTCCTGGTTGGCTGTGCTTGGAACCGCCAAATATGAACCAACGGGCTAAACCGCGTGCAGCGCGATTGATTTCGGCGTGAAAAAGTTAGACCAGTCGGCTGGGGGATGATGGCGATGGGGAGTTCAGCAGGGGCGAATCGAGGAAACAACTGAAATCGAGTTTTTCAGTGGATTTATAGTGGATTTATAGTGGATTTACCCATTGAAAATGATGATTTAATGGGATTTTATTGGGTTACCCTCTAGTTATGACTAACATAGCCATGGTATAGATGGCCCATAGAAATAGATGGGCCATACCGTTCTTAATAGCATGGGTGGATCTTTCCATGGCAAAGTATTAACTAAGTATTAGTCATAACCAGATGGTAACAACTTTCCCTTGGCACAAGCCAACTTCCTTGGATCCAGCGTAGCATTTTTCCAAAATGCCCAGGTTTTGGCCCTTGGCCACAGCAGATGCCTGTGATTTACCACTGACAGCAGTGACCAGGGCGGCATTCCAATGCCTCAAAGAGCTCGGAAAAAGATAAAAAAAGGGGCTGGAACAATGCAGCGGTGATGATTTGGGGATGCGTTTTTTCATGTTTTTTCCACATCAATATGTACGTATACCCTAGGGTAAACTGACATAGATGTGGAAAAACCACCATCTATAGATGATTTTCCTAGGAAAAGCCAATCAGTTTTCCACATCTATGTAAACGTTTACGGCTACGTCAAGATGCTGCTATTCTGTGCCTCAAAGATGGTTCAGAATGATGTTCATCCCAAACCATGAGCTTTACCATCAAATATTGGGCTTTCCTGTAGAAAAAAAACATATGTCATAGGAAAAACTGGTTTTACCATGGTTTTTCCTGCAATTTTTCCCTTCAACCAACTCGATGATTTATCCTCACGGTCCAGGACTTTGGCGTCCTCAGCAGTCGCGAACCAAAGGAGCCTATAAAATCACAGGTCTTGTCGGCGTTGCCATTTTATAGATATGTGATATGTTTGTATAATATATATATATATATATTATACATACATATTATACATAGTGTATCAGGAGGGGTACCATATATATATATATATTAAATACATAGTATATTATATATATAATATCCTATTCTTGGATAAGACCCATTCATGTCTGGGTGACACACAAGGACCTGGCCCTTAGATGCCCTTAGATGCCTTTGGGTTTGTTTCGGGCGCAGGAGGATCTGTTCCTAGCAGTCACACGTCGAGGCCTGAGTTACGGTGTACTCTACAGATCTACAGTATATAGAGTAACCCTCCAAAAAGATAGACAAGTGATAGTTATATACTGATGTTCAATGTTTTGTTTGGGATATATCAATGATATATCATGATATCTCTGATAGTTATATATACTGATAGTTATATATTTGATACTTATCACTGATCACAATTTCAGGATTTGACTTTTCTATCATGGCATTCCTTCGGATCGCGTCCCAGTCCCGTCCCAACACTGACCGAGGCATACGCATGCGACAGATGTCTCGAGAACGGCCCAAACAGGAGGGTTCCATGAGGGTCATCCGTCATCTAGTGACATCTAGTGGCCATGGTTAGTGACCATTGTTACAATAAATAAACTATGGAATATCACTAGTCATGGTATATACCATAACTATGGAACATGGTCATTGAATTTAAACCATATTTAACTAGAACAATAGTCATAGTTATTATCAATAAACCATGGTATATACAATAAACGAGCTGGAAAATCACCATGCTATTTTCATGGGTAATGAAAAACCATAAACTATGAGTTATATTAACACCCTCTGGTAATGACCAACAGTTGGCGAACTTGAACATGGTCATAGAAATAGTGGATTTACCCATCAAAAAAACATGGTGATTTTCCAGTTCGCTATGTGGCTGTTTACCAGAGAGTATCAAGCCACTGATGGGAGAAGCCACTTATGACAGGGACTTAGGATCACCAGTCTTCAGCAAGTCCCAATTGAGGTAGGCCGCCATGAAAAATCCCCACGATCATCCAGGATCATGATATATGTTGCCACAAGTGTTTGGCAGTTCATCAGTTCCATATTTTTCTCTGGTAAATGTTGATTCCCTTTTCTGTCGTATGAATTGGCCTATAATTCTTCTTGCTGGTATTTCCATCAACTCTAATTTTTGGTGACACACAATTGATGAAATTGTTCTGGGTGATATTCCCACAGTTTCCATTGTAAATCCTTTTTTTTGTTGGTAGAAATATTGAGTGATATGCCCATTGGTGTCTATATATCTATTGTTTTTCTATATCTTCCCCATTGTAAATCTATTTTTTGGGTGATTATCTCCTTCATATCTATTCATTTGGTGTCTCTGAGTGTGATATGCCTATTCTATTGGCACTTCAGCTGGATGGTCTTGTCGGCGAAGATCACAGAAATGGATGGTCATGGGGAAAATTTCAATTGATTGGGACAATCTACAGTTTTTTCCATCCCACATTTTCCCGTGAAATACAGAGGTGTCCAGAGGTGTCCTATATTTTTTCCCAACGAATCCATTGAGTTCAAGCTGAACTCCTCCAGCTACTGGGCCGTTTTAGGCGCCAAATCGCTCACGCTCCGTGAAGAGTGAATCAGATATGGCTCCGGCAGCCAACTCAGAATGGATCCTGGTGCGGGTTTGTTTCGTGTTGGAAGCTCCAACATGTCATGCTTTATCATGGTTTATGATGGTTTATCAGGGTTTCTTGTGGTTATTCTTCACAGAAAATCACATTAATACTGAAGCCCAAGGTTTGAAGGTGAAGCTGGACAATCTTGGAAGATCCAGAAAATGATAGAACCCCAAGCCAGCAAGTCAGCTGCGAAGTTCAACACGTTTTTGAGCACGCAACAGAAGACATGGATATGGATTAATCGGCTAATCATCCAAAAATGGGATATCCGAATTCTATTGGTTAATCATCATTATTCCCATTAACAATGGTTAACTGGGGTATGGACCCCAGTTTCAGAGGGATATTCCATGTGGTGCTGGACACTTCCCAGCAGTTGCTGGTCTCCCACAGGCGGTGAAAAGCATCGAGGACTGGATGTACAGTCGAGTACAGTGAAGACCCTCTGGTAATGACTAACAGTTGGCGAACTTGAAAATGGCCCAGTCGAAATCGTGGATTTACCATGATTTACCCATTAGCATGGTGATTTTCCAGTTCGTTATGTGGCTGTTTACCAGAGGGTAGCACTCACATCGACCCGGGACTTGAGAGTTGTGGCTTTTTCAATGGCGCTTGGCTTCGGGGGTTGGTTGCCACTAGGCTTCCCGGCTTCACCCAGGGCGATCATCATTCGCTGCTATCATCGCCAAGAATGGATCGAAATGAGCCCTTAATGAATAATCATAGTGACATAATAAGGATCTTTATGTTCAATTCGGCTATTTCGATGATTAATAAATAATGGGTTTTACATTATGAATGGGTTTTACATTGGGCATTAAACAAAAATCATCATCATCATCATCATCAATGGGTTTTACATTGGCATGTGTTTTTTCACAGCGGCTAAAAAAACTTGCTGAATGTTGTGTTACTCTCTGGTAATCAAACATGGCTGGAACATCGACCAGCTATAGTTAGATGATGTTCCTACCCAAGAATACTGACCTGCCATTCGCAGATGGCTTTTGAAATTTTACCACTCATTTTAAATGTAAATACTGGGGATGGTTTATAGGGTTTAGGCTTTGGCACAGGATGCTTTTTGTGAATCTTTATTATTGGGTTTAGCACATAAATCATATGTGTTTTTCATTGGGTTTATTATTGGACAATCACTCGTATTTTTCATGACTATTAATCTTATTTATTGGGTTTTTCTGAGTCGTCCCCCAGTACTCAATTTCATCCCCCAGTACGAAAAATTTGCTGCTCCCCCCCATCAAAAACCATCCCCTCGTCCATTTATGCCACGTTGAGCTCCAGGAGACTCGCCTCAAGTTGAAACAGATGCTCTCGGCTCGTCCAGTAGGTGTGGCTTGGGTGGAAAAGGATCTACAGCTGACAGCTGACATGAATGATCATGAATGGTTTGATATGATATCAAACATCAGAGATCATATCTCAAAATTTTCTAGAAACTATCTCTGATTTATCATATATATATATTATCTCTGAATGATATCATGATTTGATATATCATGATTTTTAGAATCCGTTTGTCTGTCATGATATCAATATACATATATATATATATATATCAAACATCCCAACGGTCGTCAAATCGAGTTTCGAATTTATACGGATCGTAGATGGGATTCTGCCAGGCCCACCGGGGCATCAGCCACACATGCTGAAGCAGAAACGCACATTTTTTTTGGATGAACAAGTCATGCGGCATGTTGGAATTCACTTGGGTAGACATCATGCCGCATATCCATGACTATCTCAAGCATCAGCGTGGAATCTGGATGTATCCCATCCAAATGACCATGGAAACCACTGTGAAACCACCCTTCGTTTGTAAAACTAGTCATCCGCACTGCACAAAAGGAGCGGTTGCACTTGAAGAGGCCGAATGGGAGACATCAATGGGTCACTGGGAGATATGACCAATACGTACCATCTGGTTATGACTAACATAGCCATGGTATAGATGGCCCATAGAAATAGATGGTTTACCTATTAAAAATTGTGATTTTCCATGGCTATGTTAAATAACCAGATGGCCCATTTATTGATGATTTCCCATTAAAACCTCCATTTACGAGGGTTTTTCCATGGCTATGTTAAATAACCAGATGGTAAGTAATATGGAGGTATCCATACATGGGGGATCCCCCAAAATGGACGGTTTATAATGGAAAATGCTATTAACATGCTATTAAAATGAATGGTTTAGAGCTACTCCCCCCATTTTAGGAAACTTCCATATAGCTTGTCATGAATTGTGTCACATGAATGATCTGAATGGAGATGATCAACCATTGGATCGTTTGTGTACCTCCCATTTGGTGGCTACTTCATGCAATATCTTCACAAAATGGCTACCATCTGCAATCATATTCCACTGATCCCACGGTATGTGGTCCCATTAACATAAATCAGCCATAATCAGCCAATGGATACCCTCTGGATCCAGCTGGAAAGTCCATCTTCGATGACGCCATAATCAGCCATGTTTGATGCCCATTTTTCAAAGTCTTGGATTTCCCAGCCATGTTTGATTTTGATGACACCTTATCTCACTTATCTCCATTTCGTGGATCCATCATATCATATCATATCATACCATATCATATCATATACCATATCATATCATATACCATATCATATCCCATACCCGAATCAGAATATTCCATATTTCATTCATCATCCGATGCATTCAAAACCTCTGATTCAGCCACTGATTCTGAATCCATCCGATGGGATCATCCCACTGAACGTCACCAGCCAATGATGATGGGACTACCCTCTGGTTATGACGTGACTAACAGGGCACGTTCACAGGACTAGCCATGGTGATTTTCCATGGCCCTAATCGAAATAGATGGTTTACTACCGTTCTTAATAGCATGGGTGGATCTTTCCATGGCGAACTGTTAGTCATAACCAGATGCTAACTGGGAAAGAATGGAGATGTCACCAATGGCCAATGGGGAAAAACGATTGAAAAAATCCATCGTGACGTTGTCACCTATCACCATCCGTTAGCATCTTGTTTTTCATGAGTTTCAATGGCGAAAATGACCCAATGATCAGCCATTGATCAGCCATTGATCAGCCATCAGCATCTGCAGGTGGCCTATTTTTGCACCTGCGCCTTGGAAGGGGAAGATCCAGAGCTTTGTGCAGAGGTGCCCTGGATTCGACCCTGGATTCCACGGAGCAGCCATGGAGTTGGAACACCCCCAGATTTCTACAATGTGGGGCCCCCGGCCACGATAGCTAAGTTGGTGGGTTTATAACTCCAGTAACTATGATTTATGCTACACAAATAACTATAGTTTTCATGGGGTTTATAAATCAATTTATGACTAATTAGGGGGCCCCAGTTCTATAGGTGATTTTTCAGAAAAAATGATAAGCCATGGGAGATACACCTCGGTACCCTATGTTCAGACCCACAACTGGAGTTTGCGAACTGGAAAATCCCCATGTCCTGAAAAAAGAGGTAAATCATGTCCTACAAACTGGCTTCCTTTCAAAAAACCATAGCGAACTGACCGGAAGGGTGATTATTCACGTCGCTTCGCGACGGCAAGCTCACACAGCAGGGGCATTGAGACCAAAAACATCCGAAAGTACTGATTGTCGGAAAAAAAAACGCGAAGAATTTGATGGCCATGTATAGCGGACCAACGCAGTTCAAAAAATAACGAAAAACATGAAAAAACGGCGAAATTGATGTTATTTACAGTGTTTTTGCGCGGTGAGAAGCAGAAACCACTGCAAATACCATGGTTTTTGAGGGTCAGGTGGCCAAAAACACTGTAATTTACAGTGTCTTATCCAACGTCAAAAAACACTGGTAGTTACGATGTTTTCATTCACACCGTAACATAAAACAGCGTAATTTACGAGGTTTTTGGAAGTTTTGAAGCTAGCCGTCAAGCATGCAGAGAACAGAAAAACACTGTAAAAACCAGTGTTTCTGCTATCACAAAACGACGAAAATCAGTCCGAAAACGGGTCCAAAAACTCAAAAATCCGCCTCCGGGCCAGGCCACCTGCGGAACCGCAAAAAAAGATGTTGCAAACCAAAAAATTGAGGTCAAAAAGTTGAAAAACACGGGTTTTTTTCACTTTTCGCTTGCCGATTTTGGACGGGCGCGTTCACGAACAGGTGTCTTCCGTACTGTTTTTTACAGTGTTTTTTGAAGGCGAGCGTCACGACCTATCAAAAACAGGAGGTTTTGGCCGAAAAATGCCCCCCCCCCCAGGTAAACCTGTAACCTTTTACGAGTGCCATCCGGAAGATCACGCCCCAGCACCTTCGGTGCGGGCGGATTTTCAGCGAAAAGAAAGCATCAGTGGCCTAAGAAACAGCTTTAAATACATAGACAAATGAAGAGTTCACTGTTGACTTCGGCCCATTAATGGAGTAGGACTTGTTGGTCGTCAAAGGTGGAGATTGCTATGGTGTTTTCGTTGTTGTTAAATGGCGATGTTTGCACCAGGCAGCGAGCAACTTCAGCCAAGCTGTTGGAAAGGCTGGACGCACAAAGCGCGCTGGATTTTGAGAAGTGGAAATGCCCAATGAGAATAGAGAATAGCCTGAGAAATCAATGTTATTTCCACATCAAAAAACACCTGAACGTGTTCGTAGAATGGTCAAAGAAGAAAGCATGGGCTCTGACAATTTTGACAATGGGGTTTGACAATTTAAGGTATTTCAATTTTGTTTCTTCCCTGAAATGAGGGATACCCGCCCTTGCTTTATCTCAACTACATGATTCACAGGGGATTCGGCGGGTTAGGTGTCAATATCCTCATGGGTGCCATGCCTTCATGGGTACCATGACCAGTCGCAAAAGGTGTGTGTTTTATCTCTTGAAATGTGGGACAGCGGCCGTCATTTCAGAGTTTATTGGAAGCAACATCAACTACTGGACTTTGGGGTATCCCATGTTAATTGACTAATGAGTTATTATTTGAGATCAATTCAGTATATAATGTAAAGACTTTAGTAATTACAGAAAATTGATTAATGAACCAATCCTTTCCTGGCTACATGTGCTACATCAAGCCATTCAGCTGAGGCTTCTCAAGCTGCCTTGCGTTCCTCCAGTTCTGCCAGTGCTTGCGCGGCTCAGCCAATTTTGGGGCACAGGGCATAGAAGTTATGTCCGGATTCTTGTTGATTGTTAGCTACTTAGGAATCAGATAATATGTCATATTATTATGTGTTGTTTAATTACGGTTGAACTATGTGTTAATTAATTTGTTGATAGTTAACTATTATCATACGTATTTATATATTATTTACGTATGTATTTTGCATCTATATCATGCATACACGCTGTATATGGCAGAGAGAGAGAGAGTGGTAATTTGATTCCGGAACTGGGACGGGTAGGTCAGGATTGAACGCCCGCATTTGATCTGTGTCTGATGATTGATGGACACATGCACAAGTATCCTCTGGTTATTCAACATAGCCATGGAAAATGGCCCATTTATATATGGTTTACCTATTAAAAATATTTAAAAATGATGATTGTCCATGGCTATGTTAAATAGCCAGATGGTATCTCGCAATATGTGTGGGGGCCCGCTTGACCAACAAAATGGGGAGCCATGTTTTGCGCGAACCTTTTAGGGTTGTACAGCTGATCCACGGCGTCAGCGACGTGCAGCTTAGGCCATGTTTGCCTCTTTGCTACGGCACCCAGAGGACCAATGGACCAAAAACCCGCCGTGCAATTGATCCAAAAGTATCAGATGCGAAGGAATTTGACTCCGATAATCAAACGTGGCAATGGAAAATCCTTGAAAATCCCATATAAATCAGGGTTTTAAACAGGAGAATCATGGAAAATCATTTTCAATTGCTATGTGACCGGAGTCAAATTCCTGTGTCCTGTGGCGATACGTCAAGGAGACCTGCAGAAAAAGAGTGGTGGACGAAGCTCAAAAGTGTGAGATCTCAGACGATCCGCGCAGCGAATTTTTCGTGGCGAGTTGATCAGTTGATCCACCAGTTTTATGACCATCGTTACAAACATCACTGGGGCGGCACCACCCTTTATCTATCCAGTGGTTAGGAGGGAGCTAAGGAGCTATGGGTATTCATATTCCCTATTAAATGGGGAGCTAAGGAGCTACCAGGAGTTTCCCAACCACATACTACTTATTGAACTGATTTTTCTACGGTGTATTTTTCGGGAATCTGCAGCACTAAGGCTCAAGTTCTAAGAATTCAAGACAAATTCAGCCTGTGAAAAGGTTAGCTTCGGCTGTGCACAGCTTTGGTGCTTGACTCTCGGCGTTTCCCCAATTTTTTCTTCACATATCTGCACTGCACCCTCCAAAAATGGGATGGTTACCTTGCAACGAATTGCCAAGAACGTTATGTTTGTTGTGGTTTTCTTGAACTGTCTGACTGTCTTCGACCTGACCAAAATTGAAACTCAAAAAGACGATCCGAAAACAGAAAAACCGAGGAAAAATCTGCGCAGCAGCAGATGCTTTTCCTCCGTCTCTTGGGACTTTGCCTCTTCGTTTTGGCTCAGAGCTTTGGTGGTAGCTTGGCGATCGCCCTGATCCCTGAGGTGAAAGAAAGAAATCGTTGAATCGTATATTTTTTTGTGAATATATATATATAACGTGGATTATACATATATATATATATACATGGAGGGAGAGAGAGATGGATAGATAGATGGATGGATAGATAGATAGATAAGATAAGATAATATAATATAAGATAATATAATATATAAGATAATATAATATAAGATAATATAAGATAAGATAACATAATATAATATAAGATAACATAACATAATATGATATAATATAATATAATATAATATAAAATAGCATAATATAATATAATATGATATAATATGATATAATATAATATAATGTAATATAATATATTATATATAATATTATATATACCTTACGTTTATATATACATTATATATATATACACATATATTCCCAAGAAAATGGGAAACACATGGAACTGTTATTCAAGCAAAAATGGGTAACACATGTATTCCATTGAAACAACTTGTCCATTTGTTTGGAAAAGACTGTGTCATTGTTTTTGGGAATAACTGTTCCATCATATGTGTTCTCCCCCCATCTAAATTCCAAAAGTTATTTCAACTGACAGACTTTGACACCATTGGACAGCTCCCAAAGATTCAACTCTGACATGATCATTCTGGTAAGAAATCCCCATGGATAAGGATGAGATATTCATGAAAGGAGCTAAAAAGTTGAAAAAACTTTCACATTCTTACCCTCCAGCAATTGAACATGGCTGGAGATTTTTGTCCCAGCTATAGTTCGATGCTTTTCGCAAACCAGGGTTTTTCCAGCCATTTGTTTGATTTCCACAGGATAAAATCCCTAGTAAATCGCCATTTACAGTGGTTAAATCCCCACTAAATCCAAATTAAATCCCCAACTAAAATCCCCAACTAAAATCCACATGAAATTCCCATGAATTTCCCATGAATTTCCCATGAAACCCCCAACTAAATCCCATCCCAATCTTTCAGATCAGCAGGTCGGGTGGCTCAGGCGCCTCGTTGCGAGGATCAAAAATCCACCTGTGAGGTGCATCCTGAGGCCGTTCCTCAGCACACCTTAGTGCCTTGAGCGAAACGTGAAGTCGCGCGGGTTCATTTATGGGATTTTATGGGGATTCTATGGGGATTTCATGGGAATTTATTGGGATTGAATGGGACTAGGGATTTCATGGGGATTTTGTTTGGGGATTTGGGATTTAATGGGGAGTTACACATTGGGGATTTAGCCTCGATTTCGTTACACGTGGGAAATCCCCAAACTCCGAGTCTTGGAGTTGGTTGGTTGGATGATTTCAGACCTGGGCAATTTCACGATCCAAGTTGTGATGCAGCCAATCGCGAAACCAAAGAGGTTGTAATATGTTGTACTCGGCTGGTTCATCATTTATCCAATTTATCCCCAGGATTTTGCGATTTCAGCGATCAAATCTCTTCAGATTATTTGCTTGCTCCAACATCTACATCCTATAGATCCTCTTGATGGATGTCTAACGATGATCCCAAGTGACATCCCGAGATTCTCGTGCCACGCCACGCTAAGGTGCAGAAAACCACAGCCACACGGCGAGAGTTCATAGAGTTGGCGGAGGACGAATTCGTCCTCCAGAAAATGGGTGTATGCCCCATGAAAACAACCCAAAGCCATGTGTTTTTTTTTAATACTAAGATGATTTGATTTTGGCCCATTTATAGATGGTTTACCTATTAAAAATGGTGGTTTTCCATGGCTATGTTAAATAACCAGAGGCTACCCTCTGGTAAACAACCACATAAAACGAACTGGAAAATCACCATGCTATTAATGGGACAACTCACTATTTCAATGGCCATTTTCAAGTTCGCAAACTGTAAACGTTTACCAGAGGGTACTTTGGTTGGTAGCCCCATGACCCCATTGGATGGCATGAGGTGATAAACAAAGCCACGTTGGCTCAATGGCGTTCTGCTGGGTTGACAGCTGCCATTGGTGAAACCTGGGTGAAACCTGAGGATGGGCCAGCGAAATCCGGTTATCACCAGTTGATAGATGGTTTATCCCATGATTTATAGGGTTTCAACATGTTTCAACCATCCCAAATTGGTGGTGCAGGATTTCGCTGGCCCATCCACAGGTTTCATGCAGGAAACTTCCGAAACTTCTCATCAATCCACTTCTTTCGCTATGCCCAAATCTCGGATCTCATAATTTCACACATGGGCTTGTCTCAGTTGATGGGCACCTTGAAACTTTCATGGGATGGTCGATCAGCAGTTTCCAATGTTTCCAAGAAAATTTGTCATAAAAATTCGAGGTCCATCCTCCAGTGAGAAACTCATTATATATTAGTTCTGCTCGCAGGTGGTTGACGACAAGTGGAAGTGTTTCAATCGAATGCCGTCTTTTTCGTATCAAGTTCTAGCAGCTGAGTAGGTTAATGGATTCCCCGGTTGTTGTTGCCATTTCCGGTGTGGTTGTGGGTTGGCTGGCACGTGATTGGACCATCCCTTCTCCCAGCAAACCGGATTGCAATTGTCACTGCAGCTTCAGCCCTGCAGTGCCTTCGGTGGAGGGGCATTCGATTGGACCCTGGGCCTTGCTTGCAATCTGCGTGGTTGGGGCAATCCTGGTGTTTTCAAATACTGCACTGGCTTTGAAGGTTAGCTTGAAAGACAATTTCTCAGGGCAGAATCGGGAAATCCATTTTGACGTGAAGGGAAAGAGCAAGGGATCCCTGGGTATCTACGGTGGTAGCAAAGGTCTGCAGATAACTCACTAGCTCTGGTCTCTATGGCTTTAGCAGTTGGAAGTCTGGGGTATGTGGACTATGGGGAACGGCCACGGTGTATCCACGTGAGACTCATCGTGGGACACGTGAAAGGGAATGAGTACATAGTGGTCACGCCAGACCACGACATGTATAGTGAAATCCTGAATGTGGCCGAGAACCCCGACATCACAAATTTTTGGGCTGGTCCTGGCAACGGCGCCATTCCTGCAGGTGGCTGAAGTGGCACGATTCATGCATCTTGGCCGTCAGGAGGCAGATCGTCTCCGAGGTGCCTTGGGCGTTGCAGCTGCTGCTGCTCCTGCCGGGGTTGCGGCGGGGGGTGAAGTTGTTGTTGCAGCTGGGGCGGGTGGAGATGCGGGACAAGATGGTGACGGTCGGGTATGGGTACTGGCTGAAATGGTGATGGGTAAGAAGATAGGTGACCGAGTGGTACCACCAGTGGGACACCCATGTGATGGAGATGTTGGGCTGATGCGCATGGTTGACTCCGAGGGGATTGACAAACCTCGACTCATTCATCGTGTGGCAGAGTCGGAGCTGAGTGACTTCTGTGATGTGCGAATTGGCATGGCGCGGCTTTCGGAAAGCTGTGAAGGCACAGATCGTGCAGCAGGAGAAGATGCTAGGACTCTTGAGGTGAAGTATGGGTTCAATGGTGAGCGCCATCGCTCCTTTAGGGAGTCTGTGAAAGAGCTGCAACAAACAGAATTTGAAGACTTTCCTTTGGAACCAAGGACAGCATTGGATTACATGCGAGCAATCTCCCAAATAGCTGAGAGCGCAACGGCTCAACATCACATGTGGTTGAACTCGTCTGGAGTGCCTCCAGGCGACAGAAGTGTTCATGAGGATCAACTTCTTGCTCGTGTTTTGGATGCTGCGTTGTGCTACGACTCACTCAACGTATGTAACCTTGCATGCGTTGAACTTATCTGCAGGAGGCGACAACTCATTGCGGATGCCCATGCAAGCAGCCCTGGCCAACCTTCTTACCTTGGAGCAGAACATTACTTAGGTGATACCTACAAAGCTGGCGGTGGCATTGTTGTTCCTGCTTTGACGGATTATGTCAGTCGGAAGATGCAGGCGCAATCTCAGATTTTGAAGGAGAAGCGCAAACTTGCTGAGGTGACTGGTGGCAAAGGCGGCAAAGGCAAACCTAGCAGCCCCCCGAAAGCGCCCCCTCAGGGGAAGCCAAGTGGGGGTGCGGCTCAGTAAGTGGTTCTCCTCCAGCTGGTGTGCAGTGGGCCAGCTGGTCGTGTTTGACACTGCGGTTTTTGTCATGGTGCGTCACTGGAGTAGCTCGATTTTTCATGAGCCTCTGCCAGACGATAGACTTCGTGATCCTTTTCCCTTGCCTCGTTTGAAACAGCGAGGGATTGCTGACAGGGGGTTGTGTCGAACTACTGCTCGGAGAGTGCTGCGCCGTAACCATGTGATCCTGATGACCAATCGCGTGGTTGACAGTTTGAATTTATTATTTTTTGGGGGAGCTGCTCCATCCAACGTCGCTGCAGTTGACCGTCTTGAGGACTTGCCTTTGATTCAGTGTCTTGCCATTCAGGACATCATTGCTGCTGTGAAACGTTTGGGAGCAGGGCCTCCTGCAGACAACTCAGGAGCCTCAAAAGCGCTCCGGGTGGCTGCTTCTGGTTATCTTGGGCCAGAAGTTAGCGTGGGCGATGTGGTTGGAATGGACTTCAGCTGTTTGTCCCTGCCTAGTGTTGGTACAGCCGGCGTGGACCTCCTTTCTGCCTTGGATGAGCCGACTCGTGGTGTGGTGAGTGAGTTTGAGGACAGGATGCTGCAAGATGACTTGACATGGACAGCAATCTCTCGTGATAGCTCTCACCTTAAACCTTACAACGACCCTTTGTTGAATGATCGGTCCAATTATATTCAGTTTCTTCAACTTCTGTTTGATCGGGGGATTCTTTCTTTCAGCAATGGTTGCAAAGGTAGGGTGGGCGCTTTCACAGTTTCAAAGAAGGACAAGGTAGTTGAGGGTCAAGTAAAGAAGAGACAAAGATTAGTGCTTGACTGTAGACAGACCAATCAGCTTTTTCGACCTGCCCCACATACCACGTTGGGAAGCTTGGCAAGCTTGGCCGAGATGGAACTTGAGGAGGGTTCAAACGTATTCATGAGCGGAGCTGATATCCAAGACTGTTTCTATGCTGTGCACATCCCATCCATGATGCAGGATTATTTTTGCCTTGGCTTCGATGTGACGCGTGAAGAGGCAGCTTTGATCTCGGGCAGCAATAGTTGTGATTTTGGTAAGGATTGGGTTTCCCCATGCATCAATGTACTCCCCATGGGATTCTCCTGGAGTTTTTATTTGGTGCAGCAGATTCACCAGCAGTCGGTATTGCGTAGTCTTTCCATTGATGAAGATGCTCTTTTCCTTGAGAACCGTCCTGCTCCTTCTATCGCCAAACATTCCGTTACTAGCATGCCTTACTGTGATAACATCCATTGCATGAGCACAGACAAGGATCTTTGTGAAGAGGCCAAACGAAAGGTCACACAGGATTTGGGTGGTCTTGGTTTTTCGATACATGAGGATGAACCTGCGTCTACTTCTTTCTTCACCTTGGGTGGGGAGGTTGATGGTGAGGCCGGGCAAATCCGTATGACAGCGGAACGTGCATGGGACCTGATACGGGCTTTTGAGTATGCAGCAAGTCATCCTATTTCTCCTTCTATCATGCAAAAGTTGTTGGGGCACGCTATGTTTTTCTCTACCTTACATCGTGGGGGGATGAGTGTGTTTCGCAGTTGCTATGACTTCATTGAGAAGGGGGGTGAATCACGGATGCTCAATCGCCGAGAAAGACAAGAGTGCACGGTTTTTGCGGGTCTTATTCCATTGTTATATGCAAGTATTCGAAGGCCTTGGAGTGAAGATCTTTTTTGCACAGATGCCAGTCCTCAGGGTTATGGGATTTGTGAACGGCAACTGGGTTGTGAAGCAGTTGGGCAGCTTGGCAGGTGGAATGAGAGATGGCGTTTTCGGCGTCTACCGCCGGAGGAGTGGGCTCCGCGAAGGCGGGCTATGGGATTGGATCCGATTGCTGATGTGGAAACGGTATTAGGTGATGAGGACCCCCTTCCCGAAGGTCAAGACTATGTTATTGATGATGATTTCCCAGAAGTTCCTTTAGAAGTGGTTGACCCTTCACAGTGGAAGACATCCCTGATGGGAAAGTGGAGGACAGGTGAACACATCACTCTTAAGGAAGGTCGTGCTCTAGTTCTTTGTCTCCGCCGCCTGGTTCGATCGAGTAGGCATCGCAACAAGCGACATGTTATTTTGGTCGACAATCTGGGTTTAGCATTGAGTATTTCAAAAGGTAGAGCTAAGGATTTTCGCATGCTGAGAATTGCACAACAAGTAGCGGCACTTTCATTTTTGGGTTTTTTCACTTTGCGATTGCGATGGATTCCATCTGAGCGCAATGTCTCCGATGGGCCCTCCAGGGGGAAGATCCGCCCGGGTCCTTTCCAGTACGCAGATGGGTGTCAAAGTGAGCAAGGCTCACACGTGCCGAGTGCTGAAGAAGAACACAGCACCTTCAGCCAAAGTTCCCAAGGTGAAGAGTGGACAGCTGCAGAATGCAACTCAACCTGTGAGCCAGGCCGCAAAGAAGCGAGTGGTGAAGGTAGAGCTGAAGAAGAAGCAGCCAAGAGAGGTGCGAGTAGTGAGTGCCTTGAAGTCGGAGGAGGTGAAGGATGCTGGAAAGAGAGCCCAGTTGAACCGGTTGACAATTCTGGAACAGAAGTCAATCTCGACCGAGGTTCGACATCAGTATCAATCATTCCTTCTCAAGTTCGAGAGTTTCTGCCGGGACAGCGGGTTAAAATGGCCGTTAGTGAAGGATGTCGACGCCATTCTTGCAGATTTCTTGGACGTGATGTTCCTAGACAACCGCCCGGCAGCCGAAGGAGAGAAGGTTGTCGCAGCAGTGGAATTCAACAACGTGAAGCTCAAAGGTTGTTTGGTGAGATCGAAGAGGGCACTACGTGGTTGGCGCAAGGAGCGCCCTCCCCAGAGCAGGTTGCCTCTCCCTCGTCTTGTGGCAGCAGGGATGGCTATGGTGCTGGCGAGCCAAGGGCTGAAAAGCATGGCTTTGAAAGTCATGCTGGATCACGACACCTACCTACGTCCTGGCGAAAGCATAGACATTCGTTGCAAGGACGTCATCCCACCAGTGGCAGGAGCAGGAAAGCAGTATCGCTGGTACGGGATTGTGGTGAGAGATATCGTGGATCAGAAGCCCGACAAAGCAGGCATCTACGACAACACCATTGCCCTCAACAGTCCAGGCAGGGAGTACTTGGGAGATCTCATGTGGCAGCAGGTGAAGATTGCAAAGAAGACAAGCGAGTTTGTGTTTCAGTTCACTGCGGCAGAGTTCAGAAAGAAGTTCCAGGCTGCAGGAGAACGTCTTCAGCTGAAGAATCTCCACCCATATCAATGCCGTCACGGAGGAGCATCAGAAGACTTAAACAGTGGAGACCGAGACTTTCAAAGAGTCAAGATAAGAGGTCGTTGGCATACGGATCAAAGCGTCAGAAGGTATGCCAAGACGGGGAAGATTCAAAAGCTCATGGCACAGTTATCTCCGAGTCATTTGGAGTTTTGTCGTTGGTCACTGAAAAACATCGAGAAGGTTCTTTGGGGCCAGTTGGCTCCCCGGGTTCCATGAAAGGTTATGGTTGGCCTGACGTCCTGAGTTTTTCAACGTTGCCGCAACAATTTGGCTTGGAGCTTTTTGCTGGCACTGCACGTATTTGCAGTGCGTTTGCACGGTGTGGTCTTCCATGTTTCCCCATTGATATTTGCCTTTTTCCTTCTCACAATGTATTCGATATTTCAGTTGAGCATCAGATTGTACATTTGCTGTTGGGAGGCCGCGTCAAAATGGTTTGGCTTGGCATGCCATGTACCAGTTTCTCACAAGCGCGAAAATGGGACGATAATGGTCCTGACCCTTTGCGTGACTATGACAACATTTATGGTTATCCATGGCTTTCACACAAGGATCGTTTGAAGGTTTTGGAGGGTAACAATTTACTTCGCTTTTCATTGCGTCTTCTGGCGATTTGTGAAAGATTACATATTCCATATGCATTGGAGAACCCTTACAGTAGTTTTGCATGGCACATGCCTCCCATGAAGAAGTTCATCAAGCTATTCATGCCCTGTGTTGAGACGTTGGACTATTGTCAATTTGGTGAAGACTGGAAGAAATCAACTACTATTATGGGTAACTATTGGAACCTTCCTGTTATTTCTAAACGGCGCACTGGTACCCGCAACATATGTTCTGCTACTGGTCGTCCACACGTGCCCTTGGCAGGCAAAGCTGCGAATGGACTATATCGCACCTTGCTGGCGCAACCGTATCCTTGGGCCTTGGCAGACTTAATTGCGGGGACAGTTTCCAGAGCCATCAACACCTGATGTTTATGGGCTATGGGCATTGGCTTCCAACACCTTCATTTAGTGAAAGGTGTCTTGACGCTCCAGCATTCAGTGACGACTTCACTGACTTCAAACAACTCTCCTGCTTTGGCATGAGTGAAAAGAAAGTGCTGGAGCGTGATGAGTCATTAGTTCTGCTCGCAGGTGGTTGACGACAAGTGGAAGTGCTTCAATCGAATGCCGTCTTTTTCGTATCAAGTTCTAGCAGCTCCACCTCCAGCCCCTCCATCCACACTGGGGGCATTGGCTTCCAACACCTTCATTTAGTGAAAGGTGTCTTGACGCTCCAGCATTCAGTGACGACTTCACTGACTTCAAACAACTCTCCTGCTTTGGCATGAGTGAAAAGAAAGTGCTGGAGCGTGATGAGTCATATATATATCATAATTCTTGGGTCTTAAATCCCATGTTATCCCAATATGGTGAATTTTACATCCATATTTCTTGTGTTCAATGCTCCAGTTGAGCAACAAACATCTAGTGTCCCTTTGAATTCCATGGTGGCAGGATGATGATGATCCGTGAGCCCTCTGAGACAATGCAGGTGGGAAAACTCACCGACTGTGGACGATTTGATGAGGAGCCAAGTTTTTGGCCACAAAAACCAAGGTTTGTGGATGTTTACTTGGGGATGATTTTCTTTAGCATTTCAATGCATTTCATATCCCCCAGAAAATGTGGCTAGGATGCATGTATTGGGACTAATTCCACTTAACTATTTAAAATATGATAGGGGGATATGCTTAGGGTTCGGATGCTACCTCCGCTAGGCCACAAGTGCTGCATCTCGAGAGTTGGCTGACATGGCAGAGCTTGCCGGGCGTCGCTGATGCGCGGGGAGCTGTGTCAAATACAGAAGGCTTGAGATATGTTGAGCGTGGCCAGGTGACCTGTTTGATTGGATGCTTGTTGGCTGGGTCCGCCCAGACTTGTAGGGAGCTATGATGATATGTATCGTATGTATATATATATACATATGATATGATATGTAATGTTGATAGAACATATGACAGATGTGTTTGATGCATATAATATATGATTAATATGACACATGCGATTTTGTAACAAGTGTCTGACACCCAGAACCAGCAACTCTCAATGGAACAGTTGGGTTTATCGCCACCGGCTCAGTTCCAACAAAAACACCTTTTTTTTGTCTTGACGCTGGCAACGGCTTGGTTTGAAGGAATTTATCTTTTCAGAAAAGGCTTGGTTGATTCATTGAAAACTGGATTCAGAAAAAGGATTTTGCTTTGCTGAAAATTGTCCCTCCGTTTTTCGAAATGGAAACGACGTCAAAAAACCATGATTTTGTGGCTGGGGTCCAGAAGCTTGGGACTCCACCATTTACAGCGACAGCTGATTTCACCTTCTGTGGATTTGGCAAAGAGTTCACCAGATCTGTACCCTCTGGTTATGTTTTAACAGTTGGCTATTGAAAATGACCCATTGAAATAGTGGATTTTCCCATTGATAGCATGGTGATTTTCCATAGTTATGTGGCTGTTTATCAGATCTGTAATCGTTGGGAACAAAAATCGTTTCGACTTCTCAATGGATTGGTTGAAGGGAAAATCGAAACCGGAAACCCACGGGTTTTTACCATCAAATTGGTTGGGCTTTCCGGTTAAAATTTTCCCATCATCCAATTCTATGAAGTATCATCACAGTATCACCACAGTATCATCACAGCATCATCACAGAGGACCCAAGTCCACTTCAAGACTTGCAGCAATGTAAAGATCGTTGAGTCAAAAAAGCTGACGTGCAGCCATGGGCCATGTCCATTCTAGCTTCATGTTGCCGGATTCCGGCAAAGGTGTGAGGATCATCCAATAATATCAGCTGAAGTTCAACAGATCTATCATTCCCATATATTCCAATTATACATCTGACAGCTGATCTTCAAATTCTTGATCTCTTCTTGGATCCCTCTGGATCCCTCTGGTAGGCGTAGAAAAAAAAGGAAAATCGCCATGGTTTAATCATAGTTATCTACCAGTTATCATCATGATATCTCAATGGATTGGTTTAAGGGAAAAATTGAAAACCGGAATCCCCTTTTTTTGTGATGGGAAAAAACTATGGTTTCCTGTTTCGATGTTCCCTTCAACCAATCCAATGAATATCATGGTTATATGGGCCATGGCCATGACGTCCTAGCCATGAGGAACCTGGACGCTGCGCAGTTACTCCGTGCATCTTGGCGGATCGATCCGTTTTTACTGAAAGAGTGGAAGTTGTGTCACCAAAGTGTAGGAAGCCCAAGTGGAATCAGATTCCAATATTTTTTCTGGAACTCGAAGATTTTGGATGATTTCAAACAAAAAATCGACCATGGCTAGACCATGGCTGGTCTGACAGAACCTCGAGGTGTGGATTTATTGCTGGAACATCCTGCCATGGATCCCGCAGGTGATTGGTCAAGGTGTAGGTGGCAAAGATACCCTGAGGCTCCGGCGACACCACCTGCCGGGATGGATCGATGGATTTCACTAACTGTTAGGGTCTTGGGATATGCCCAGAATATGACCTTTTTTTGTGCTAATCTGCTAATCTCTGGGTTGGTCAGTTGTTTTTTTTTTGTCACTGAAAAATTGCTGATCCAGTGAAACAGGTTGAAATCACCCAGATTTCTGGCGGAATTTCTCTGTGACCTTTCGGCCGAGCCAGTTGTCAACCTTTTTTGTCAGCACTCGTCCCTGAAGCCATACCCAGATGATAGTCTTTTTGAAGTCATGACATGGTATCTTTGATGGGCTTGTGATGTTTATGACTGATCATGTTTGTCCAACCTTTTTTTTGCTTCTTCCACATTCAGAGGCAAAGCTCAGCTTTGATTACCGAAATATTTCAAGATATTTCATAGGAATGCTTAGATCAACAAACCCTAAGTTGACAGCCTGGATTTCCCAGGCGATTTTCAGCATCTGTGAACCTCCTGCAGGTGAGAAACCGATGATATGGGAGGATTGTCAATGATAAACAGAGGCTTCCAATTTTATGGGGGGTTAGCCCTAAATCTCCCAGGTGTTGGTTGATGTTCCAATCTAAAGCAACCGGTTTTTGGGAACATTTGATATGTTTTGTAAATAGAAATGACCTACGTTTTTTTGGATGTTTTTTCGGCAGCTCAAATATGTGCGAAAATGGAGACATAGCAAACAAATATCATTGGGAAAGACATCCGTGGCTCTGGGGTTTCTGTGACCAAAATTCACTGGAGATAGCTGGATCAATCAGGCAGATTTTTTTTCCACAGTTTGCCAAAAAACCATGATGTAATCCGTGTTACCTCAGTTTGATATGGGGGTTTCCATGGGTTTCCTAAAATGGGGGTACCCCAAATCATCCATTTTGTTTGAGAATTTTCCATTATAAACACCTCCAGTTGATGAAGGCATTTACCATACGATGGGGATCCAAAGCTTCAGAAGCTCTCCCGTTGCTGGGCATGATGAAGATTCCAGCCACCTGGGATGTGTTTACTCACTTTGATAGGTATACCTATGGTTCGGCAATTTGTGATCCCAGGTGGTGCGGTTGCTGGTCTCCAAAGCAGAGGCACAAGGGGCTAAACCACTGGAAGATTCCACTGCAGAGATGTTTATGGTCAGGTTTTGATGTTAATACATATATATATAAGCTATAATATATATATATATATTATTATAGTCTGTTTATTATGGATCCACATAGTCATGTAAGTGATCCTCCTTTAGATCCCTTAGCTGGTTAGTATCCAAACTGTTGGATCGCATGATGGAGGACCCATGCTGAGAGACGGACATCCATTGATGAATTGGGATCTGAAATAGACATTATCGTTACAAGTAATCCGAAAATATCAACATGATCAAGCGTGCCCAGCGAATGTTTCAACATGTTTCACATGTTTCAACACTTTTCAACATTATCTCTTTTTGTCAATCTAATCACATCAATCACACATGTCAAGATCTAAAAGAAAACGAAAAACAAGGGGACCATCCAAAGAAGTCTAAAGATGCAATACGTTTGAAATTTATGGGTTTGTTTGAAAAATGGGGTACCGGCAACCAAAAAAAACGGATGATCCTCATTTTCCCAAACGTTCAGTACCATGATCATCATATGTGTCCTTTTAAAAAATCAACTTGGAGACAGAATATGTTTTTTGGGGTGACTTTTCCCCATTGGCTGATTTACAATATTGACATCCCCACAGTTGGATTTACATTCAGAATGGATTCTCATCACTTGGATTTGCTGAAGATTATTTTTTATTTTCTCCATGGGAAATCCACTTCTTGGGGAATCTTGGGGAATATCTTGGCTATTTTTTGGTGGTTTCCTTAAGCAAATCCATGAGGATTGTAGTTTTCATAAATAGTTCCCTACATTTTCCCTGCGTTTTCCCAGGCTCTGGAACGACTCCGAGCCAATGACGGTTTTCGCCTGGCTGTAGAGGTGAAGCCATGGTTTCCGGTGTGGAAATTCACGGTCTAGAAATGGTGAGTTCTCCGTTCTCCACATCTATGTTTCATGGGAAGGCGATGAATGTGGATGAATGTGGATGATAAAAAATAGTAGTTGATATATGGTGATATGAGTTTATATGAATTTCTACTTGTTATTGAGAATATTTGATGTGAATTGATATCAGTTGATATAGTTATGTGATATTTGCTGGGTGATATACCTCGATTTGCTGAAGGCTATTTTGACATTTTTCCCCATGGGAAATCCCCTATTTCGATTTGTTTGATGTATTTTGATTGCTTTGGGGTTCCTTAAGCAAATCCGAGTATACTACAGTTGATATTGGTTAATAATTATATGGTCTTTGGCTTGGGTGAAATCCCGATGTGTGATGCATTTTACCACCCCCTTGTATTTGGGATTCTTTCGCAAGGCTGTTTGAATATTTCGATCTGGCTTCGTGTCGATTGACATCCTCTGCAAAAGCTGCACAGGGGTTTGAGCTTTGGGGTCAGGTGTGCTGTCATCAATGGCGAAAACCAGCTCCACATACACCTCTGGATATTTTGGCTCAGATGACGGTTTCGAATCGCAACGAATCACTTGAGCTCTTGATGCTACTCTCAGCGAGAAAACTGTGACAATGAGTGGAGGTGCCTCGCTCCAAGTTTTCGGCCTTCGATGACTGGTGAGGAATTGGATGAGTTGTGTGAAACTGTAGAGGTCCTGGGTCATTTTCTGTCCACATTTTCCGTGACTGTATCCTCATTCACATCCCATTTATTTGCAGCTGAGTTCCCTTTTTGTTTATCCTTTTTCTGTGTCAAATTGCGAAAATCTGCACCTTGCGACTCAGGTCAAGAGGCGGGGGGGCTTATCAGATGGGTTGAAACCACCATGTTGTGTTGATCGGTAATTTGCCTCCCGGTGCCAGGACTATCCCAGTCTGGGCAAGGGCCGAGCAGCACCCGCTGCGGGCGTATGGGGTCCCTCCGGCCCATCCAGTACGCCTGGCGCGGCACCGGCCGCTGCCCCGGCACCCGCACCAGCCAGTGGTGGCAAGGATATGGGAAAAGGAGGTGGAAAGGATTGGGGTAAAGATGGTGGAAAGGATTGGGGGAAGGACAAGGGTGGAAAGGATTGGGGGAAAGACAAGGGTGGAAAGGATTGGGGCAAAGATGGTGGAAAGGACAAAGGGTGGGGCAAAGATGGTGGCAAGGATGGTGGAAAGGACAAAGGGTGGGGCAAAGATGGTGGCAAAGATGGCGGCAAGGATAAAGGGTGGGGGAAAGATGGTGGCAAAGATGGTGGAAAGGACAAAGGGTGGGGCAAAGATGGTGGCAAAGATGGTGGAAAGGACAAAGGTTGGGGCAAAGACGGTGGCAAAGATGGTGGAAAGGACAAAGGGTGGGGCAAAGATGGTGGCAAGGATGGTGGAAAGGACAAAGGGTGGGGCAAAGATGGTGGCAAGGACAAAGGGTGGGGCAAAGATGGCGGCAAAGAGAGCAAGGGTTACGGACAGGCATGGCAAGTTGTTGTGTGAATTCCACACCTCTACCATGGCTGCAGCAGTGATCCACATAGCTTGCTACTTAAGCAAAGCAAGTGCCATAAATCTCATCCCCTAAGAAAATAGGGGTTGGACGAAGCTACTCATCAACCGAGCACCGGTCAGGCTGCGGAAGCCCCTTCACAATCCTCACAGGTGCGGAAAAGAGGATTTGAGCACGGTTTAAACCTCACCTATAGCAAGATTTGGGCTTTTCTAACTCGGTTGAACATCCATTTACCACTTGTTCTTGGTGTGCACAAAAAAAAATGTTTTGATATATATGTGTTGATCCTTTGATCCTTTGATTCACAACCATTTTCAGAGTCTCATTGAGGATTCATTGTTTAGCTCACCAAACAGATCTGAATTGATCAACCAGAAGGGTGACTTCATCCCAGGGACGTCCTAAAGTGGAGCCCCAAATTGGAAGTGGAGTTCCAGTTATAAGTCTATATATGGTCGACCATATATAGCCATATATAGCCATATATAGCCATATATAGCCATATATAGCCATAGTTTTGGGGGGTATATCTCAACTTATGGAGGGTGAAAATCGCCATGCAGTTTCAGAAACCTCCATGTCTATTCCAGTCCGCAGAGACTGGCGCCACAGGCAGCCCCTTCCGTTCCACCACCCACGGCTGCCCCATCGATGGCCCCCACCGAAGAAAATCTGGTCATGGTCTCAGCGGCATGTCAGTTGAAATGATGTAGCTAGATGCTCCAATCCATCGATGTCGGAAAGCTTTTGGATGGATATGATATTATCAAGAAATGATGGATGTTGAATAGAAAAACATGCAAAACTCATCGATGTTCGGATATTCTGTTGGATGGATATGGTTGGACTTTACCCTCTGATAATTTAACATAGCTATTGAAAATGGCCATAGAAATAGTGGATTTACCCATTGATAGCACGGTGATTTTCCATAGTTATGTGGCTGTTTACCAGAGGGTAGCCTCTGGTTATTTAACATAGCCATGGAAAACCACCATTTTTTATAGGTAAACCATCTATAAATGGGCCATTTTCCATGGCTATGTTAACTTCTGGTAGACTTTTCCGCCAGAAGTTCTTCAAAGCCTGCTGAGGCCTCTCGACGTTTCGGCGCGGATGACTTCGAAGCAGCCGAGCGAGCAGATCTGGACGGGAGTCTGCATGAAACCATATGAAACCCAACTCTAAACATATCATTTGAGGAGGATAGTCACCAACCATTCATGTTGGGCATTTTTTTTGAATTATTTTGGATTTTTTCAGCATTCATGTGTACTGGATGGTTTATATCATCCTAATGATTACCAATAAATTCTGGTTCCTTTGGTACTCCTTTCTTCAGCAGTACTCGATTCAGTAACTGTCATGGGGACTGAACCAAGAAAAGGATCAGCAAAAATTCGTGGATGTGAAAAGTCTGCCTTTGCGAGGCACCAGGGGAAATTCACCATGTTTTTAAAGCGTAGATCAAGATAGAAATGAAGATAAATGAAGATAAATTCACAGAAAATCTGATAGATAATGAAGCTACCCTCTGGTATACTAACAGTTTGCTACCCTCATTAATAGCATGGTGACTTTCCATAGCTATGTGGCTGTTTACCAGAGGGTAATTGGATAATTGGTGGATCATGTATTATCCATTAATGAATTTCATATATCATAAATGAAGAAAGTGACAAACAATCTACACTCCGGTAAACTAACATAGCTATTGAAAATGGCCATTTATAGTTGATTTACCCATTAAAAATTGTGATTTTCCATAGTTATGTTAGTTTACCAGGGTAATAAATGTGATAATTCAACCAGCCAATCACAACCCAGCTATACCCAGCCAGTTGCAGGAAGGAGAGAAGAATATTGTGCCTGAAGAGATTCCGGACCGATGGCGTGGGATGACTGCATGACATTGCATGACTGGATGGTGCTTGAAAAATTGGCCCTTTCATCCCAAGCCAAGATTAAACACCCGCATTGTATGGTCCTTAAACCATGATTTTGTTCATGGGTGAAACTAGGGGGATTGGATCACTTTACGATGACCAATACTTCAAAATTGCCATATTTTTCTGCCCTGGCTTCGCTGGGTTTCAATGTTTAAAAGGGGGTGTCACAACTTGACGATGTTCTTAGACACCTCCTAAAAAGATGATCCGGTAGTAAAGAGGAGGCTAGCCACAAGCCAATGATGTGACCTCCGACCAAAGAGTCGGCAACGAGTCTTACATCTTTGCAAACTTCTCCCCTTTCCACGGTGAACAGTTCAGGTGTCTTGTGGTTGGTCAAGCCGAGATTCTGTATTCTGATGTATTCTAGAATATGCCATATACCCTCTGGTAAAAAAACATAGCTATCGAAAATGGCCATTTATAGTGAGTTTTCCCATTAAAAATGGTGATTTTCCATAGCTATGTTAAATAACCAGAGGGTAAAAGAAAATATTTTTTTCTACGTGAAGGTCATGCGAAAAGCGTTGCCTTTTTTTTTCGACGGGGTTTTGCCATTTGCTGGGTGCACTGGCTTTGCCAAGACCACCAAGATGTATCGTGGAAAATGATGTGATAATCATCCCATAGCCAAATGTGAATTGAGGATGATATTCCCATGATATTCCTATGTATCACGTATGGCTAATTGATGAATAGATCTTCGATATAAACATCAGTTGTTTGATGTTTTTTGGATCTTAATCCACCATCTATCGTCCATCATCCATCTTGATATATTCTGATTCTAGCATCAATCATCCATCAGGATCATGTGTGTAAAATCAGATGTTCTAATTATAATTTACCCTCTGGTTATTTAACATAGCGATGGAGAATGGCTCATTTATAGATGGTTTACCTATTAAAAATGGTGATTTTCCATGGCTATGTTAAATAACCAGATGGTAACAGCTACAACAGCTATAACAGCTATAACTATCATCAACCATCATCCATCATCCAGGACACACGTAGCCTGGACATTCCGCGTTTGAGCCTCGGCACGCGCGGCGAAAAGATGCGTTTGGTCTCCAATCACTTCACCATCACCATGCGGACGGATACCAAGTCGGCCGATGCCACGGCCACCCGGGCAGCAGAAACCCCATGCATGGCCCATGTGGCTGGGAAGAAAGTTGAAATGTGATATAAATGTGGTGAGTCGTGGTTGCTGTTGGTCACATTCCGATCTCCCAAATTTATGATATTTATGCTGCTTGATCAAAGAAGAACATCGTTGATCAAACAATGCTTAGAACCAAAAAATTGGTTTATTTGATTTCGCAAGGTATAAATGAGTGCGTCAGAAAATGTATACCATGGTATACCCAAAAAAATGATTTTAATGGGGAATGGAAGATGATAATAAGCCAGTGGTGTTTTGGGTACCCTATCAGAAACCCATATGATGGTCCCATGATGGTCTCTCAGTTTTATGTTGGCCAAAGATCTCCCCAAACAACAAAAACTTCACAAAAAGATCACCAAAGTTTTGACTTCTGAATTTCTGGATATTTCTGGTGTCCATCACTGCCTACTTTGTTTGTCTTCACTCAATGTTGACTCCTGTTGAAACCTGTTTCTCACATCTCCAAGGTTTGGAAGTGTTGGCGTGTCGACTTTGCTCGTTCCGAGACAGTGCAACCCAAGGTGGGTTTCTAAAAAAAACGGGAAAAGCGGGAGGATACCCTCTGGTAAACAGCCACATAACTATCGAAAATCACCATTTTCAATGGGAAAATCCACTATAAATGGTGATGTTCAATAGCTATGTTAAATTACCAGAGGATATGTGTTCCAAACCTTTGGCGAACGTATCATGGTATGTCATGGTATGTCATGGATTGTCATGGTATTTTTTCTGCAAAATGACTTAAATGACCTGAAAGCAAGGAGGGAATTTTTGAGGGCATCGAATACGCTCAGACTGACCCCGATGGATCTATGCAAGTGGGGTGCTTGCGACCAAAAGCAAGCGCCAGCGGGGACGAAACTGACCTGGTCACTACTCGCAAAAAATATGGGATAAAACACTAGGGATCTATCATGATCTATCATCATTATGAATTGAACCAGCAATACTTTAGAATATGACATACCCTCTGGTTATTTAACATAGCCATGGAAAGATCCACCCATTTTTAATAGGTAAACCATCTATAAAATGGCCATTTTCCATAGCTATGTGGTAATATGACCATTCAGAGATGGAGATGTTTCACCAACGGCAATGGGCACGTGATCACGTAGACGGTCGCATGTTGACACGGTGGATGATAGAGCGATCGGTGGCTGATGACTGGTGGGTTTCACCGAATTGTTGATCACTGATGGGTAAATAGTGGTAAATCACTATGGTAAAGCCATAGTTTCCATAGTTACCATGGTGGGTTTCAATTTTTCTGGTGGGTAATTTTTGTGGTGGCTTACCTAAGCCCAATCTTGGTATTTTTTCCCCAAGTCATCTATATGTTTTATGGCTTATTCTGTATCTAATATGGAGGTTTCCTAAGTCATGGGGGCATCCCCAGTCATATCATCCATTTTAGATTGGTATTTTGCACTTTTTGAACCGAATCCAGCTCTTCATATTTCCCCCATAAATTGGAAACTGGAAACATCACCAGGTCATATTTCATGATTTTCATGATTTTCATGGCAAATTTCGGCATCAAAAATCCAGGTCATCTCCACAAAAAAGCAGCCGGGCGCCAGGAAGGTGGCTTGATGAAGGGACGTGCACCCAAGGCCAAGGGTGAAGATGAAAGGGAAGTCTCCAAGGTGCCGCGGCCTCACAATGGTGACTTTCCATGGGGATTTCGGGATTTCCAGTGGGGTTTCAGCAACAAAAATGCTGACTTTCCGGATGTGATTTTGGGATTTTTCAGCACTGTGCTGATCAGCTGGGGGATCCAATTAAAGGATGTATCATGGATGCGAATGAGATGATCACGAAATTTGACAGGGGCTACTGATCCATCCAAAAACCATTGGGGTGGACTCAAAATTGCAGAGAAGCTGATGGAAATTCATTTGGAAAGCTCATATGACACACACTTTAAGTTGAACATGGAACCCCAAGGCCGGGCGATGGATTCTTATCCATTCCAGTTGTTACTCAGAAATGATACTATCTGGTTATTTAACATAGCCATGGAAAGATCCACCCATTTTCAATAGGTAAACCATCTATTTCTATGGGCCATTTCCCATGGCGAACTGTTAAATAACCAGAGGGTAAAGTGTTGGATGTTGCATCTGGTCAAATCGCAATCATCCGGAGGTCCCATTTATCCAGAAGCTCAGGAGTCAATCCTACGCCCAATTGCTGGCTTGTCTCGAAATATTTGTCGTCCCATAGTGAAAATCAGATAAGTTTATCACTTGCTTCATGATTTTCCCATAGTTTATCACTTGTCCCATAGTTTATCACTTGCTTCAGATAAGTTTGTTCGGAAACTTGCTTCATAGTTTATCATGATTTTGTTGAAGGTCATGAAATTTCCGAACAGTATCTGCCGTTCGGGGTCTGAACGTGGCACATCTGAAACGGTCGAACGAGTGACTTCAGGCCCTCCGCAAGCAAGCAGTGGATCTTCTACTGGAAGATGTTCCTCCCAGTGATTGGTTGCACGACGGTCCCCTGGAGTACTTGAGGTTTTCTGGGACAAGGAGGCCCATTTCTAGACCTAGTTGGAGTGATGAAATTTGGGGACCAATTTGAGATGTTGGATGATTTTGGAACATGTACTTAAAACATGGGAACAGTTGTGATTCTCATGGGTTTTCCCATGGTTTTCCCTTTGTTTGGAGGGACAGAGCCCTGGATCACAAGGCAACAACTTGCTCTACACCCGGAAGACGGTTACCACTGTGGCGGACTGTCGGAAGGAAGTGGAGGTCGGTCAGGGGCTGGGAAATCCCCCGTATCGGAGGTTTCCTGAGTCATGGGGGTACCCCCAGTCATCCATTTTAGATGGGTATTTTAGATGGCTATTTTCCATGAAATGGGGTATTTCTCCAAATGGCCAGAAGAAAAGATAAAAAAAATGATGAAGACTGGAATGGATGGAATATGGATGGAATACGGATGGAATATGGATGGAATATGGATGGAATATGGATGGAATGGGGTACCATGAGGCCGAACCTATTCCAAAAACCTCGTGGAACACGCCCTGTTTTTGCAGATCCCGCCAAAGCCGGGAAAGAGAGCGCTAAAGGTGACCATGGAGGCCCACAAGGGTGGATGGGGGGGAAAACTATTCATCATCCACCAATAAAATCTATGTCATGTTACTCTCTGTTAAACTAACATAGCTATGGAAAATCACCATGCTATTAATGGGAAAATCATCATTTTTAATGGCCATGTTCAATAGCTATGTTAAATTACCAGAGGGTAAATATGTTTATACCTGGTTGGTGGTTTCAAACATGTTTTATTTTCCATTTCATATATGGTATAATTATAATCCTTCCCATTGACAAACTCATATTTTGAAAAAGATGATTATTGCACCACTGCACCACCAACCAGATACATGTATATAATGGCTTATTTCATATGATGATATGATATATATTATATATATACATATATACATATATCATATATATTATATATATTATATACATGTTATATATATATATACATATCATATATATTATATATATACGGATGGGGGATGATTCCACCAAAACTTGCAGCCGAAAATGGTGAGATGACCTGGATGACCTGGAACCCGGAAAAAATGCTGTGACTTTCGGCGAAGGCTTCGAAGGTCAAAGACCACAATATATCGATGGGGGATTTATTTACCCTCTGGTAATTTGTTATATAATGGGTAGATTTTATGGGATTTGATGGGATATAATGGGATATATGATGGTATAGCCTCTGGTAATTTAACATAACGAACTGGAAAATCACCATGCTATTAATGGGAAAATCCACTATAAATATTATAAATAGCCATTTTCAATAGCAAACTGTTAAATTACCAGAGGGTAAATGTGCCATAGTTTATCACTATTCATGGAGAATTATAGCTAGGAAAATCATCAAAGTAAATCAAAGTAAATGGTGGATTCTCTCATGAAACCGGTATAGCTTCCATTCTTTAAGAGCCAGCTGTAATTTGCATCGGTGAACGCATGCTTTGGCACATGAAGCGCATTTTCTCATGAAGCGCACATTTTTCTCAACTGCCTGTTGGCTCACATGAGCCTTTGGTTAAAGCCTACTTCATTGGGCATGACCATTTGCTTTACCTTTTAGTGCAAAAATAAATGATAACATGACCATTTACCTTGGTAAACCTTTGGGCATGACCATTTGCAAATTTGGAGGACAATCCATTTACCATCATTTACCTACTCCAAGTTCTTGGAAGCACCTTAAAAAGTGCAAAAATCCTCAAAAAAAACAGTGATTCCCATGTTTTGCCGCAAAAAAACGCCGCCCTGCGCAGTTGAAATTCGAAGGGCGGGAGATCGACTTGGGATGGCTACAGAAACCACCTGCACCTTGGAGCAGAATCTACAGGGATTGGCTCGGGATTGGATTCAGGTGACTTCAATACGGTGTTTCCAAGAATTTGTAAGATGTTTGTAAGATTATACTATAGTTGTATAATGTTATAATGTTATATATGTGTTATATCAAGGGTTGTATTGCAAATTGATCTGATGATACTTTACGTAATAGTTACTGTACAAAAAAAGTTACATATGAAGCTATCTCTTTTGAACGATTTTTCGACATACTTTCCTAGTAGTTTTTTTTGAAACCGCCAGGAGTAAGAAGTTGTTTTGGATGCTTCTTCGAGCTACTTTCCTTTTTTTACCAGTCCAATTAGGACCACCTGTTTTTTGTCCTTCTTTAGCAACAAATTTCTAGAATCATCTTCCAGCATCAACCCCCACAATATCTGGGTTAACCGGTTAACCCACCTCTTTTCATCATTTGTTTTGCGTTTTGAAAACATACGGACAACTCTCCGAGCCATGGTCAAAACATGTCAAAACCCAGTGACCCAGGACCAGTTCAAGGATGCCTCCGAAGCCATGGTGGCCATGTCCGAACATCGTCGATTCGTCCAGGCCAACGGCCAACCTTTTGCGATGAGGAAATATGGCAGGTTTTTTTCACCATTTTTTCAATGGGAATTCCAGGATACTAAAATGGAGGTACCTCCAATTTAGGATCCTGAAATGGCCATTGATTTATATTTTGTTATGAATAAATCCCATTATTAAATCCCATTATTATCTACAGATACATAGTTATTATACCCATTTTTGTTCACCAAGGAATAGCCGGTCGGGAAATATCAATCGTTCACCTTTAGGAAACCCAAGAAAACTCATGGGAATATTCGGGATACAAAAGGCACCGCTTGGAAAATCTGGAAAATCTGGAAATGCACCTCCTAGGTCCGAACTCTTTCCCAAGGTTTAAAGTTCAAGACATCGGCAGAGATCATCCCTGCTGTGATCATCCCCGCAGATAGCTTTTCCCATGTTTTTTTTCCACATCTTTCCAACACCTGTCTTCTTTCCCGAGGGTTTTTGTTTGTTTTTCCAGGTTTTCCACCTCCAAGTTCTTCCCAAAAAGTTGGAGTAAGTTGGACATCCATCCATCTCCATCATCCCCCAAAATTCGAGGCCCCATTGTAGCACAACTTTCATGGCTGTATCAGGTTGTACCTTTATTTATTGCCGCTTTTTCAACAAGGGATCCCAACATATCCCAAAAAATGTTTAGATGGGATTACTAGAACTTAGAGGCATCCATCCCCCATTGCCCCATTGATGTATTATAATAATGATTTATATTAATTGGATGATTTTAAAATATGATCCCTATATATTAATATAATATATTATATATATAATACAGATCATAATCCCCATACAAATATGTATTTATTGTATTAGAATCGCACCATCCCCACAACATCACCAGGTGGCGATTCGCACCTTGGCCTTGGAACGTGAGGAGCTCATCGCGCAGGGCCGGAAAGTGGTCTGCCCGGACCAGCGCTTGGTCTGCGATCCCGTCCCACTGGCCTTGGCGCGTCACTTGGTCGGAGACCTGGGAGGATTTCTCCATGGAAAAATGGGGGATGTTCCATGGGAAGATGGATTTAGCCATTAGAAATTGGGAGTTTTCTGGGGATTTTAACGGGTAAAGATGGGGAAATCATGGAAGATGTGTGAGGGAAATCAAGTATAACTAATATAACTCACTGAAAATGATTCATTTAGGTCGCTTTTTTTGGGGGGAAACTTGGGAGATTTGGATAGGTGATGATAAATGATGCTCAACGGGACTTGTTTGGAAACTTCGGGTGACACCACTCCGTGGTGCCAATTGGTCGGATGGCGAAAGTCTGGTGGGCACCACCAAGATTTCGGGCCATGGGACGATAAACCACAAATTCTGCCGAATCTCAATTGGGAATGGACGCCATAAATCCCCAGTTTTTCATATGGCTATGGATCAATACCATTCAATACCTATGAAAATACCATTTTTAGGGGGATGAACATCCATAAATCCCAGCTATTTTGATTTGAACTACAGGGGTACAAGGTTTTGACACACTACCATATCCCATAAACTTCCCATTTATTCATACCATTTTTTCAGGTGAGATCTGGTTTGGCTACATTGCGCAAGTGGAAGTCGTGAACGGCGGGATTCTGCGCGATGGCAAGGTAGGACCTGCACGGACCACCCTCAGCCACTCAGATGCTGCATTCGGTGGCTCTGGGATGATGGGAGACACGGATGGTTGCGTAATGATGTTGGGGGTATTGATGAATATTGATATATGTGTGATATATGTTTGATATATATATATATGTGTGTTTGTTTGATATATGTTTGAGATATGTTTGAGATATGTTTGAGATATGTTTGATATATGTGTGTGTGTGTTTGATATATGTTGATATATGTTTGATATGTGTGTGTGTGTTTGATATATGTTGATATATGTTTGATATATATATGTGTGTGTGTGTTTGATATATGTTGATATATGTTTGATATATGTGTGACCATAATTTAACCACCATGAATCTTTCAACAAGTTGGGTGTCTGGATGTGTTGAAATACGGTGTTTTTGAGCTAGGATGATTCACCACCATTTTTGTTTAATGGTTGGTCACCTTGTAATTTACCCTCTGGTAAACAGCCACATAACTATGGAAAATCACCATGTTTAATGGGAAAACTCACTATAAATCACCATTTTCAATAGCTATGTTAGTTTACCAGAGGGTAAGGTTGGTGGTGTCAAATATGTTAAACGCTGTGCGATCCATCACCATGGAAACATGTTGAAACCATCAAGTCAAGAAGAATATGATCAACCCTCGAAGAGAACCAACACTGGTTGGTGGTTTGGAACATTTTTTTCCATATACCATCTGGTTATTTAACATAGCTATTGAAAATGGCCATTTATAGTGGATTTACCCATAAAAAATGGTGATTTTCCATAGCTATGTTAAATTACCAGAGGGTATTGGGAATAATCATCCCAACTGACGAACTCATATTTTTCAGATGGATAGGTATACCACCAACCAGAACATATCTGTGGACACATATTCAAAACGAGAAACAATTGGCTTTTCCACATCTATGTTTCCAGGTGTTTTGACTTTTTGGGATTCAGTTTCTTCTGTCTCTTCCATGCGGTTTCTGGGTTTCTGGTTTCTGCGAATCAACATGGGATCCAAAAAGGTGGTCTCCAATGGAAATCGCCATGTTTTTCCATGGTTAAAACCCATCATGAAAAATGACCCTAAGCTGCATTCCCAGGTTTGAATTTGGTGGCCTCGGTCGGTATTCCAGAGACCTGGTTCATCGATCTCTTGGGAAAGCTTTGTGTCACTGGGATCTGATGTCGAAAAATGGTGAACTGATTTGGAGTTCACTAAGTCACTAAGTGAGCTATGGATCAAACAAAAATAGGCTACACAATTAGATCCATGTTCATACTAAACATGTTCATTCATATTTGTGATCCCAACTGGGGCTTGAAGTTTTTTTAGCCCCAGTTTTTCACAGGTTTTAGGACCAAACCACCAATCCATGGATACCATGGATACTAAGTCCAAATATCCTGGCGACAAGAAAAACGAAGAGTGGTATGCCAAGTCTGCTCCTCAGCATGCTGTGCAAGTACGGCAGGCAGCATGGTGTTGGTGAAAAATCCGGAGACATTGATCCATCTTTCCATCTTCAATCCTGAAAAAGATCTATCTGAAAAATCCTGAAAAAAACACCTCATTTTCGGACCGGAGCATTAAAGAAAGGGCATCCTCCACGAGATGAGATAAGCCTACGGTTTTCGAAACGAAAAGACCAGCTGAAACAGCATTTTTCAACAGCTAAGCATGTTGTGAATCTTGACCTGTTGGCAGGGACATTTGCAATAACTATTTCCAGTCGGATTCTCAGATCACAGACACGTTTTGCATTGAGCACTGAATGTCACGCATATGCATCATCATCATCATCATCAGCATCAGCATCATCATCATCATCATCATATTCATAGTCATATTCATATTCATCATCTTCAAAAAATGATCCACCTACAAAAAATAACATCTATTGATCATTGGGAATCCAGGCAAGGCAATCGAGAGTACCAGCGCATGCGTGATGCCCTTCGTAGCGACTTGGGCTTGAGGAAGCTGAAGCCCAGCAGCAGTTGAGTGACACCTCGGGGGCTGGGTCATCATGAAGACCAGCTGAGATTTCTGGATGTTTATCTCTCAGAAATATGGTACCCCGTGGTACCCTCTGGTAATTTAACATAGCTATTGAAAATGGCCATTTATAGTGGATTTTCCCATGAAAAATTGTGATTTTCAATAGTTATGTTAGTTTACCAGAGGGTAGACCCTGAAAATGACCAATTTATAGTAGAAACCAGTCTTCCAACCCCGATGACTGGCAGGGTCTATGATAATTTACTGGAGGGTAATGTATGGTATACCGGTATACCCTCTGGGAAACTAATTCCATAGTTATGTTAGTTTACAAGAGGGTCAATAAAAGAAACATAGCTTTTGATCCATCCCAAAATATTGCCCAGGCTGTGGGCAAACGTATATTCTACTTGAGTACATGTCAGTAGTCTTAGGTGGAAGCAGATTCTGAACCTGAGACTTAGGTGCTTCTGATACGTATCCTGGAATCCTGGAACAACGAGGTAGGTAAAGATTGATCTGGTAAGTAACCGTTATAAACTAATGGTAAGTAACTATATATATATTATTAGTATGATTAAGATTCATATCAGGAGAGCGGCGTTGGAACACGAGAGGGACCTAGCCATGAATTCGCAGGAATTTTCTCCAATAACAAAAAGTCGATGGAATCCATTCAGCAAAGGGATCAGCAACCAAGTACCCTCTGGTAAACTAACATAGCTATGGAAAATAAGCCATAGAAATAGTCGATTTACACATTGATAGCATGGTGATTTTCTAGTTCGTTATGTGGCTGTTTACCAGGCCGGGTATCTAGCATTCCTGATCTCCTGTCCAGCGAGGAAAGTCCGAGTGGACTACGCCGATAAGGCAAACCTGGTGTTTTTTGCAAAAATTGCTGGTAGCACTGGTGGTATAGGTAGAAGATATACTATGTGGTAGGTGGTATACCTATATACTTAGTACATAGTAGGTAGTATGATAATTCGTAGGTAGAAAAGGCAAAGTGGGTAATAGGTAGTGGCTATAAGCGCAAAGTGTTGCTGAAGCCTGTTGTGCCAACCGTTTTGCTGGTGAAGGCAAGATGGACTTGTTGTGGTGGTGGTCGTATGTTGTTGTGGTAGTGGTATGGTTGTTTTGGTTGTTGTGATTGTGGTTTAGTTGTGGCTGTGGTTGCGGAGGATGAGGATGAGGATGAGGATGAGGATGAGGATGATGATGATGATGATGATGATGATGAGCATGACCAGGAAAAAAAAAACAAGAGTTCTTGATATTGTTCCAGGTGTCCCCCCAAGCTTGGCTCAACCTGAGATTCTGGGGGTTTCACTGGTTCCACTGGCCACACCAGAGTTGCCAGACCTTCACGGGGAAGAAAGTGGTGGACATCACCGAACGCCCTGCGAATCGCCAAGAGTTTGACTGCGAGGAAATGGGCGGCAAAGTGTCTTGGCCGTTGAGGAAAAGCATGAGAAAATCGTCAGTTTTATAATGAGGAGATAACAAAAACTAACACCAACTGGCTTGGTGGTTTCAAAATGTTTCAAAGATGAACTGGTAGAATATAGGTATGGGGGATTGGAAGCTTTGGATTTAGCAAAGAATGTTGAATCCCGCATGCATTTGCATATTCTTCACATGTTCTTGCTTGGTTATTCTTTCTCAGCAGAGATTTTGAAGGACAACTTTTGGTGTCAGGATACCTTAGAAATTAGTGTGACACTCCCTGCATTTTTTCCAGATCTATCCAGCTTCTGATGCTGTCAAGATCTGTCAGGTGGTCCGAAATCATCAAAATAATCTCTGCCACGTTCCCAGTGTGGGTTTTTCTCAACATCTCCCTGTTTCTCTTTTTTTTTTGTGTTTCAGGTGAATGTGGTGCAATACTATCAGCACAAGTACGGCGTCACAGTTCGATATCCAAACCTGCCATGTCTTGAGCTGGGCAAACCCGGCAACTGCTATCCCTTGGAGTTTGTCACCGTCTTGGGAGGCAGGGTGGAATTTGAAGGGTGGGATAGGTCTGCTACTTGAAGTTGGTACTTCTAGAATAACCACGATTAAGCCACTATGAAAATCGCTATAAAACCACTATTAGTGTTAGTTACACTTATAGACTTATAGTATCTTATAGTTTTTTAATTGCATCTTGATTATCCAGCAAGTCTATTGCAGTTCTGGCTAGTTTCGGTGAAAGATCCATGAATTGGGTGGTTCAAAGATCTCCATATGATGTCTCCGAAGGAATACCAGTAACATACATGGCGTCACTGAACGGCTTCTATGCCAGTCACTTTTAGTGGGATGTCCAAGTAGCCAAGTGTTCCACAAGTGTTCCACAAGTGTTCCACAAGTGTTCCACAAGTGTTCCACAAGTGTTCCACAAGTGTTCCACAAGTGTTCCACAAGTGTTCCAGGTGAACACAACTTGGAGGTGGGCAAACTCAAAGCTGAATTTCAGCAAGAGGTGGGATCTGTGAGCTGCAAAACCTGGTCATTTGGTCATCCATCAGTGCATATTGAGTTTCCGGGTAGATCAGATATCCACAACAATCGATCGTTGATTCGACTTTTCTGGGTGGATCTGGGTCATCATTCCCCACGATTCACATGCCATAAAATTGTTGGGGCTATCCCAGTGTCTCCTAAAACATCCAAGGTGACCAGAAAAACTGCCATGCCACCAACTCAACGACGAGATCAAATTCTGAGAGCTCACCAGAACAGGAACCTGGGTGCGGACTCCCAGTGATCCACCAATGGCGAGATGAGTGAAACATACGGTGAAATCAGAGAATCTCCATGGGAATCCCCATAAAAAATGGATCTTAAATGGCCATTTGCCATGGAAAACAACCCCAAATCTCATGGTATGATCAGTTTCCCTATGTTTAAATCAACTTAAGAGGGAAAAAAGACTGGGGCTGTCCCCCCAGGCAAACGCAGGTTGCTCCTAGTCATTGAGTCACAATTGCAGTTAGAAGATGATGGTGGGAAAGAAGCGGAAATCAGAAGAGTATGAGTCAATCATCGTCATCAGGGCATCCCCTTACTTCTCAAATCATCCAGCGTTCATTACAAACACGTCCTCTCGAAAAAAGATTGGGAATAGCCAACTGTTCGTCATGATAAAGATTCAAAAAACAACAATCAAGATTCAAAAACAGAAACCTATAAACGTTATATAAGCCATATTTCTCAGAAAGATCATATAAAGACACGTTGTGTTTCTTAAAAAATCAACTGCTGACCAGGTCCTGCGGCTGCGCTGGAGGGGAAAGGTGTCCGCCCAGCTCAGTGGGAAAGAGCCACAAAAAACACCAGGAATGAAGAAAAAAGCTGAACAAGGAATTTTCATGATGCTGTTTCTATTCCACTTATTTGGGGTCTAAAAATTATCAAAACAGAGAGTCATGTTTTTTTTAAAAAAACATCGATTTGCGAAGATCAAAAAGCATTTCCAGAATTTCCAGACACCCTTTCTGTTCAGCCCGACACTGAGATCAAAGTGGAAACGGAGATGGCCATGGTGACGGGTCGCCGCCTGGAACAACCGCGTTTGAAGGATGGCCTGGAAACTCAGAGGATTGAATTTGTATCGCATGAATCATCCCTGGTTCCCCGTGGTTTAATGTGGTTTAATGTGGCTTGAAATGGCAAAAAATGGGCCATAATATTTATGAATTCAAAAGGATGTTTCTCACTTTTTGTCAGTGTTGAATGTTGGAAGGACACCAAGAAGTTTCTGACTTTCAGTGCTTCAAAGTTAGAGAGACCTGCCACCTGTCACAGCCACGCCCGTGCTAAGCTCGATCTGCGGCTTTGTCGGTGAACTATTCCAACAGTTTCCAAACTGTTCAACCTCCAGGCTATGAGGCGGGACAAGCCGAAAAAGTTTCATCAGTTTTATTCTTTAAGGAATTTACGGAATTCAAAGGAATTTGAAGGAATTTACCCTCTGGTAATTTAACATAGCTATGGAAAATCACCGTTTTTAATGGGAAAACTCACTATAAATTGCCATTTTCAATAGCAAACTGTTAGTTTACCAGAGGGTAAGCAATTTTAAGGAATTCTAACAGAGTTAAGGGATCCATTGGTATACCAATTTTGACATTACCCAGAGATCTGATGATATATGGTTCTGACAACAGAATCTGGGGATCAAACTTGGTACAGCAAGTTTGACATTTAAAGCCATAGAATCCCAGCCATAGATGTTTGGCATTGTTGGAGCAGTTGTGCTTTCTTGGAGGTGAGCTGGGGTATGTGGTGCTTCTCCCAAAAACTCTCTGAGTGCCTTGGCGACAATGGATTTTCCCCAGAAATCCTGGGTGATGATTAGTTCGGGGATTATCTAATTTTTCTTGGGTACTAATAATTGATTAATCCATAAATCCGAAAACCGGGAAATCCCTCTGATTTAAATTGATATGACCATATGATACCCTCTGGTAAACGTTTACAGTTTGCTATTGAAAATTGCCATTTATAGTGGATTTACCCATTAAAAATAGTGATGTTCCATAGCTATGTTAGTTTACCAGAGGGTACCATATGTTCAAAAAAACTCTTCAAAGGTGTCAAAATGTTGCAGATATCGTGTGCAAGCTCCGTATCCATCAGTGGTCCAGCCCAGGGAATATTTCCGTATTTCAATCACGTTGGTTGGGAAGGAACTAGCGAAAGCTTGCCTTAGCTATAGACGTTCTTGTGTGATTGTGTGACCAATCAGCTTTAAAAGATTTTTGGTGCTGTGGTTGCGTGCCACTTTGGTTTCTCCTCCGATTCTTTTTTACATGGTAATTACAAAGATAGATGACCATAAATCACGAAAAGCAATGAGCAAATCTTTGGTCCAAAAAGTACCAATCCAACTGTTGCTTGGCATTGCCCCGTTCACCTACACTCAAAAAGAAACAGCAGGATGGACAATCCATAGTCTGACCGCTTTCAAGCCACATGGCTATCTCCACATCCTGAATTCAGGAGAGATGTGAAGTGGTTGGCAGGGGAGTTTGTGAGCAAGACCAGATCCAAAAGCATGAGATTCGGTGAGCCCAAAATGGTGGAATGGCCAAAAGAGGCGAGTTGCCTCGGGAGGTCGTTCCATGGTCGTTCCAAACACCTGGATACCGAAGAAGAGAAAAATGTGATCTTTTTTCGTAGCAAAAAAATCCGGGGAGGTATTACCATGTATGGGAATACACCTTAGACAATGCACAACTCCTTGGTAGAATCTGTTCATCTTGTGCCTACTTGGGATGTAGAAAGGTGACCTTTCCTTATCTTTTTTTTGGGAAACCACCAAAAAATTAGAAATGGAGGTGTCCACGCATTGTCATGTGGATACCCCCAAATCATCCAAGTCCGTGACCATCTTAGTATTGAAACCGGTTTTGGGGATCCCCCATTTTGTCAATGGGAAATTCAGGATCCTAAAATGGAGGTACTGTACCATATAAGGCCATATTTTCTGGGGATGTTCCCTTACATAGGCCTTACATAGGCCTTACATAGGCCTTATATATGGTAGGTACCTCCAATTTAGGATCCTGAAAATCCCATTGATTTTGGGAAACCTCCATGTTGATGTGGACTTGGCATGATCCAACGAAAAAAACATGATGGCTCGGCCACCGCTGCAGTCCTTCGATGCCTACTACGAAGGTATCTTGGCACAGACTAGGGCGCTAAACTGTGCTGAGCAGATAGAAAACGGAACCTGCAAATCAAATGAAGTAGCAGAAACCATTCTGAAGATTCCCTAGAGCTCAGTTCTTTCCAAACCATTTTAAGCGACATTGAAAGATATTGAAAGCTGACATGCCAAGAGCAGGGCCCCTTTGACCATTCTGCCGTGGCAGGGCAGGGCAGTTGTACTCCTGTTCGGTGATATTTGGCAGAACAGATCCAATCCAAGACCGGTGTGGTATATTGTGGTATGGTCCCCAAGACAGACAAATTTCTTAGGGGTGTTTCGACCTGAAATTGGGATGTTTCAGATGTTTCGTCAGATCTATACTGTCTATACTGGCGAATGAGGAGCTCGGAGACGAGAATCCATGTTTCCAAAGCTGCAAGAGAAGTTGAGATCCGATTTGCGGGCGGTGCAGCAGACCTATCGGGACCGCTGCTGGATTTTGGGATGTTTTTTGGTGCGAATTCAGAGCCAGCAATATCCAGCAATCAGATCAACCGAGCAGAAGCAGAAACTAGGAATTCCATTGAAATCGAGAGATCCGGAAATATCCGGAATCCCAATCCAACAATGGATGTTTTCCAACAATCGAGAAATCCAACAATCAATTGATATCCAACAATCATTGATATCACTTCAAATTGATATCACTTCAAAATTCCATTAAATCACTACATCATTGGTTGGTTCATTTTTGGCTCAGCCCTTTGCTGAGCCATCCCAAGTTGCCATGGGGATGGCAGGACTTCAGATTGCTGGTTGTCATCGTGGACGATAGCGAGGTGATGGGCACTGGGTTTTCAAAATGTCGGAGATCTACTCATCTACAAATAAAATCTGAAGCCCAACTGGGTTTTTTGGGGTTTGACTTCACTTTACTTCCAACAATCTTTTTGTGCAACTTACCCTCTGGTAAACTAACAGTTTGCTATTGAAAATGGCAATTTATAGTGAGTTTTCCCATTAAAAATAGTGATTTTCCATAGCTATGTTAGTTTACCAGAGGGTAAAGTGATATATGTTTGTCGTCCTTAGAGCTGCATCTCATAACTGGGCACCATGTTTTTTTGGCTCCGGTTCTAGGCCATGACGGACTACCTCTACAAGAGCATGAAGTTGATCACCGAAACGGAACTGGGCATGGTGACGCAGTTCATCAACTGTAAGAAAGGTGTCAGTGTGCCTCAAAGGCATTAATTAAAAGGGGAGGGCTTGAACTGGTTTTTTCTTACATGTGTGTGGTTTAAAAGTGTTTACCCTCTGGTAAACTGCCACATAACTATGGAAAATCACCATGCTATTAATGGGTACACTCACTATAAATGGCCATTTTCAATAGCTATGTTAGTTTAAAAGTGTTTAAAAGAAAACCTAAATCTGAGTGGATGCTGGTTCGAATGATAGGAACCGTAGTCCTGGACGAAATATGAAACAACCCCAAAAATATCAGGTGCCCCAGAAAGCCCCCAGGTTGTTAATGTATGTTAATGTAACCTGAAGTGCAAAAAAGCCCCAATGGACGAAAGAAATCAAAGCCCGAAAAAGTTCATCACTTTTGGTTTTCAATGTGCGCTGAAACATTGAGATTTGGGGGTGCGGGGGTTCAACATAGTGCGTTTTTTGCAGGGTTTGAAGATTTTGTCCATCTACTAAGTAGGACTATCAACTGGAGATTTTTTGCGGTGGCTGAGCCACCAAGCCGATGGTGGCCCATTTGGATATCTGATGAATGAGACAGTTGGAAGTTTCATATTGAAAATTGAAAATGGTTTCAGCCTCCCAAAGCTGTTTTTTGAATAGGAAAAAGATGAAACAAGTCTGACATCGTCCAGCTCGATCACATTTGACCTGGCACCCTGGTGTTTTTGAAAATCGCAGCGAAAAAAAAAAAAGAAGAGCAAGCTGTGCTGAGGATGCGGAAAGGAAGTTGAACAACATCATGCTGAAGGTGACCCCCAAACTTCCCGTGACGTTAACGGCCAGCCGTGCAGCTCACAATGTAGTGTTGGCCTCGCCACATCGACTGCTGACCAAAGAGGAGGTGGGGATCTGCACACGAAAGATCCAAGATCATGTGAATGTAATGTATATGATATGATATAATATATTTATACATATATATATATACGTATATCACGAAAGCTAGCGTCAGCTAGCTGGAGTCTTCTTGCTTTAGCAAGTATTGGGGGGGCTGCTCAAGGACATCACGTGATTTTTCACGCGAAAGGGCCCCCCCCCACCACCACCACCATCACCACCATCACCACCATCACCATCATCATCATCATCATCATCATCATCGTCGTCATCATCATCGTCATCATCATCGTCATCGTCCTCTCCATCGTCCTCGTCCTCGTCCTCATCATCATCATCATCCTCGTCATCATCATCATCATCATCATCATCATCATCATCATCATCATTCATCATTCATCATTCATCATTCATCATTCATCATTCATCATTCATCATTCATCATTCATCATTCATCATCATCATCATCATCATCATCGTTATTCAATTACATTTTATCATTATTGGCAATTATTGTCATTATCACGAAAGCTAGCGTCAGCTCGCTAGAGTCTTCTTGCTTTAGCACGTATTCCGGGGCTCCCCAAGGACATCACGTGATTTTTCCCGCGAAAGGGCCCCCCCCTGCCCCCTCCCCCATATATATCATTGTTATATATCATATATCAATATATCATTGTTGCATCCTCGTTGGGACGAACAATGCCGCGACACGATGATGACAGTCCTTCCGCAACTCACCTCTTCCCTTCCTTCTTTCTCCTACCCCGCTAGCTTTCGTCATCCACCCCCGGCCTCAAGTATAATATATAATATATCATCGATAATATATAATATATCATATATATTTATATATAATATATCATTATATATACATAGTTATTATTACATCATAAATAAGTATATACTAACATTGTGTATGTATATATATAATATATATCTACTGAAATCATATCGAATATCTCCTATAAGCCTCAGAAACCTGGCTTGCTGTTCGAATCACACTGAGCCATTACTCTTGAGAGGTGCCCAATGTTGACCCGTAGCTTGGAGTCAACCATACCCTCCGGTGTCATGGCAAAACTGGAAGATCCCCAAACTCGTAGCTGGGAAAATCATCGAACTAAATCCCACCCAGATGCAGCCATCCGCCATCATCCAACATTTTCAGGGCACGATGATTATGGGCGCAGATGTGTGCCACAAGGTGGCAGGCATCAGTGTCGCAGCTGTAGTGGGAACCACTGACTTCAGTTTTGTACCTTGGCTGCAGTCTACCATGGATTGATAAGAGGATATACTGCCATATTGAGGATGAGCATAATGAATGTCCCGGATGTGATTTTGGAGAGGTTTGGGGGGGGGAACTTGATTTGGATTGATTTCCTGTTTTTTTTGGTGGGTATGTTTTTTTGGGAATTGATTTGACTTTAGTTAACTTCCCGGAAATGATTTTTGGGGAATTTGGGGGAATTGATTGACTTTCCCATGTGAAACAACCGCCACAGAATGGATAGAAGAAATTGAAAAGATCTACAGTACATTCTGATGGAAATTATCATCTACAACATCCTGGAAGATATGTTTCCATCTAAGTATGGTAAACCCAAGTAAACCAAACCCCAAGACGTCCAATTGGAAATGTTTAAAAACAAATTATTCCTATTATGTCAGTGGGATTGAAACCAACTCAGTCAAGAATCAAAACAGCCTCCAATGAGACTTCAAGTTGTGGGCCACGAACGCACATCGGACTTAGACTTGTTGGAAGAGACGGTTTCCCATGTTATGGTGGTAAAGATAGTTGCATGTATTGTTACATGTAACTGTATATATATATATAGCCATCCCAACAAAGATAATTATAAAAGTTGGAAACCTCAAAAATATCTGATAAATATCATCTATACCATTCTGCAAACACTTGTCTATCTTTTTGGGGGTTACCATGTACCTATGACAGTGGACCACTGTGCACCAGCATGCCTCACGCTGTGCTCATGGAGGATCGTCCATCATCACTAATGATTGGATTTATTATGGATATAGCATGATATACCCTCTGGTTATTTAACATCGCCATGGTATAGATGGACCATAGAAATAGATGGTTTACCGTTCTTAAAAATGGGTGGATCTTTCCATGGCTATGTTAAATAACCAGATGGTAGCTGTAGTTAGATACCAGATGAAGTTTTTTTCACCAAGCAGCAGCCAGGGTCTGACCTGGGGTGCCCATTTATGGCCCATTTATGGCCCAGGGCACCCCATCCCTGCAGCCAGGCCTCCTATTTCCATGAGATCCGAGGGCAATCGCCTTACACGCTGAACGAATTGAAGGTTCGAAGTCGTCAGAGCGAGGAACGGATCGTGGACTTGGCCAGTCCCTGGGCGGATGCGAAGGGCAGGGGACCCAAAGATGCGAAGCAAGAACTGGAAGAATATGGCTATGAGTCAAAACCCTGGTACCTAGTGAACCCCAAAATAGCTGGTAAATGGATGTTCATCCCATTAAAAATGTATCTATAGGTATTGACCCATACCCATATCAATAGTATGATTTGGAATAATACCAATAGTAGTGATGTTTTTCATCATAATTTCTTTACACTATAGTAAGTATGCCCTATTGATAGATACTATTTGGTATAATGAATCAGCCATAAACCCAATGGAATAGGCATGATTGGGGATAATACCTATAATTACACCGGGATCGACCAAGCAATAAATAGGTATTGAATCATACCCGACCCAACAAATCCCAAGTAGTAAACAAAACATCCTCAGAAAATGATGGAAAATCCAGGTATATCCCAGTTTATTTGTGGGATCCACTCAACCATTAACCTTCCCGATGATCTTCCCATTCACCAACGACTGGAAGGTCATTTTGATTCTCAAAAAAAGGGGTATACCCAAGTTCACAAACCCCGGGGGGGATGGTTTTTTTTATAGCTTTACTAAATCACCAAGTTCCCAGGAGATACTCTCTGGTAAACTAACATAACTATTGAAAATTGTCATTTATAGTTGATTTACCCATTACAAATGGTGATTTTCCATAGCTATGTTAGTTTACCAGAGGGTAAACCATCCCCCACTTGGTTTTTTTTTCAGGTGCCAGGTGGAGAGATAGACCCATCATTTCCATCCTCTCAAGTCTGCCGATGCCGCCAGGTATGACGGTGAATATCTTGGAACGATGGAAGAAGTGCCACAATACCTTGCCCAAGACCATCTTCTACTACCGTCCCTTGGGTTCAACGCCGAAGGGATGGGAAATGATGGGATGGCAATGGATCCCCAAGGGCTGCACTGCTATCCCACCATATCCCACCATACACAGCCTCAGGGATGACAGACCGCCCCTGGCAGGTGATGGTGTCTCCGATGGACAGTTTGTCAACGTCCTGACACGCGAGTTGAATTTGTTGGAGCATGGCTTCAAACAAATCGATGCCACCTACAATCCGCAGTTGGTGATTATCGTAGGACAGCGCCCTGTCAGGTGATAGAAAGACATAGTTGCCTAGTTCCCGGTGGAAAATGGATGGGTTTTCGGTGGGGTGTTTATGCTGAATTTTGGAGATGAAAACAGATTCCATCCCTGGAAGAACAGTTTGCAAATTAACCAAATATAGCTACTACCGTAGATGGACGAATTATCCAAACCCTTGTAATCCAATATATCCCCGCACCCCCAATTACAATGTTGTTTTTTTTGGTTTGGTTCGCTCCTTCGAATGGACGAAATAAATCAAACCCTAAGATCAGGATCAAAGATACGAAACCATAACGTTGAAATTTGGGGGGACAGGGGGCAGCCTACAACTCATGGATGCAGGGTTTGAATAATTTGTCCATCTACTGTAGTTCACTCATTTTAAGACACCGGTTCTGTTTTTCCCAATCCAGATAGATTCGGGGTTCTTTTCCTCCAAATGCAGAGATCTCCAAGGAAACGACACCAGACTCGGCTGTGGATGGAGCAGGGCTCAGAAAAAGGAGGTGGAAAGGCGGCTCTCCTTCTGATGATCTTCACAGCCGTGAGTTTTGAACGAATTGCGGATACCTCCGGTAATTATGATCAAACATTGCAAAAAAAAAAACTATCTAGTTGGTGGTTTGGAACATTTTTTCCATTCAGTTGGGAACGTCATAATCCCAACTGTTACTCACTCCATCATTTTTCAGAGGCGTAGGTAGGTATACCACCAACCAGCTATGAACAGATGATGTTCCCATTGCCACGGCTGATCCCCAGAGGATCCAATCCAAAAAAACCCTTTAAAACGCCATCAGCAAGCGGTGGACTAGCCCAATAGCAGGAAGGTTTATAAATCCATCTATAAATGGATGATCTGGGTGTGTTTCCCCATTTTAGGAAACGTCCAAATAGACTTCATGAGATTAGAAGAATTGGATGAATTAGATTTCATGAGCTCTCCGAGCAAACATTGTATCATGCATCAATCCCAAAGATTCCTCCTGCTCACGCAGGGAAAAGATGACAAAGGAAAGGGCAAGGGCAAAGGCAAAGACCCCGCTCAGGCGGAGATGTGTGGAGCTACCTTTTGATCTTACCCAATTTCCCAAGAAAAAGGCATTGATCCAACCAAATGGCAAGTGGACACATTTATCATTAGAATCTGTTTGCCAAAAAACCAGATGGTTTCTCCGAAGAAAAGATCCACCGCCGGGGATCCAAGCTAGGTGCCCCCTGGCACAGTGGCCAGTGATGCCATCGCGCAGCCCAGCCACATGAACTTCTTCTTGGTCTCCCAGGAAGGCATTGCATCCCCGGAACCAAGAAAGTGGGGCTGAAGCGGCTCAACACCAACAGTTAAGTACTTGGATTTCAGCACGATGTGAGGAAATCAATACGAAAATCTATATAAAATCAAGTAGTATAGTACTGATTGACAATGAGTTTTCATGCTGAATATATGTAATATAACTCAATGTATGCTGATTCAGTTCCTGTAGAAGTGGTTTAGTTAACTGTGTTTAATCCAACTCATTCCATCATCGGATTCCATCGTTACGTCTCAACGGCCCAGCAGGTCAGCCACAAATGGGGTGGGATTTTTTTATGTGGGAAAATGGGGAGAAAATCGTTGGATTGGGGTTTTGGAACTAAAAAACGTGGTAAACTACCAAGAATTTTGGCTGTTTCCAAGAAAATTTGCCATTTCTCATTGGTGGTAAATGTTATCCTGAAATGGTAGGTTTAGGGTTTAGGTTCTACTACATTATCCCAGTTTCAGTCACACATTTCGGGCAGGTATTCAGGGAACTTCCGTTCCTTGTCACTACCACGTCCTCCACATGGACAAGCGATTAATCCAAAGAGGCATTGCAGTGGATGACATTGAGACTTGGCTGCGATCTAGCCCGGTTTTTCTGATTAGTTCGTCATGGAAATGGGGGGGTTTAACCATCAGAATATGAGGATAGTTTTGGGATGATACAACTGATCAATGATGGTTCATGATTTCTACGGGGTTTTATTATGGAGAACAGATATTGGGAATATCACAATCCCTAAAAGGGGAAACATGTTTCATTACGTTTCAGGCCCCATTTCTTGTGAGTTAAAGGTGGTTCCCCAAATTGGATGGTCCCATTTTTTTCTTTGGAACACCCTTTATACTGGCTGGTTGATAATGGATCCCAGAATGCCATATCAGGAATCTAAAACGGTTCAACGCAGATATATGGGGGTTTTCTTAAATGGGGGGTGCCCCAATAGCTGGATGGTTTGTAATGGAAAATCCTATTAAAATGGATGCCTTGGGGGTATCCCCATTTTAGGAAACCCCCATATAATGCAGCCATAACACGAGCATTTTAAGCTGCACCACGGACCTGCGGCTACGCCCACGCCTTGCGCTGACCATGACTAATCTCATTGCAGGCTATGGCTGGGGAAAAAAAGAGGTCAAAAACTTCTAGATGAATTCTGAGTTGGAGAACTTGCAAATCCAAAAAAATCAGAGCAGTGGAAGCATCGGATTTTTTTGGTGTACCAGCAAGATACCGATTTTTTGTACTAGCACCTCACAGGGACCATCGATTTCTGAAAAACTTTGAAAGTCAGGGGCGGGAAATGTTTGTAGGAAAAAACATCAACCACTGCAGTGGTGTATTTATTGAGCAAATCGTTTCTTTCTTAAACTGGAGTGCACTTTTAATGTTGATCAAATCGTGGCTTACTTTCTCATCATTTGGAGGTTCCTGGTCAATTTGTGGCTGTCGACCTTTGAAGTAGGAAGGACCACCAACCAGTGGACTCAGTAGACCGCTGTTCAACATGACTTCGCGCCTGTGATTTTCCGATGATTCTTGGTGAAAAAAAAACCAATCGGTTGGTTGTTAAAACCACGTGGTTGGTCAAACACCTATTTGCATGTTTGAATTTTTTACTTTCTCTTGAGAAAAAAGATCAACACTTCTGCACTTCTGTTGGTTAAATGCCCATTTCACCAAGGGTGGATCTTTGCAAAATCAAGCTGAGGAGCAAATCACCTACCAGCTCTGCCATATGTATTCTCGCGCTGACAAGTCAGTCGGCTATGCCACGCCAGCGTATATGGCGGATCACGCCTGTCACTGGGACGCCAGGGTGATTTTTTTTGGTGTTGATCAACTTTTGCTAATACTTTTGCTGAAACCAAGATATGGCCCATTCAAATCATTCAAAATGCAACACGATTTATTGAAAGCCTTGTTTTACATCTTAGTGTTCAGGGGTGTAGAGAGGCCCACTTAAGATCTCCCATGTGTTGTTTAGCCAAAAAAAACGCCTCAAGAAGATAGAAAAGTGATGTATCAGTATTTTAGCAGGATATATGCAGAATTCTGCTTTTCAAAAAAAAAAAACATGTTCTATCTTTGTTTTTGGGGGATGACTCTCCACAGGTGAGCGCGGCAGGCATTACCTGGAAGCTCACTTTGGTGCCTCCGATATCCAATCGACCTTGGGCTCGTCCTCCAGCGAGGAACGGAAAGAGGAGGACATGCGGAAACAGATCGAAGATAGGACCCGGTGGCTCAACGCCTTGGCGCGAAAGAGTGCCTTGATGGATGGGGAGATATGGGGAGATGGGGAGATGGGGAGATGGCGATGGGTGAAGGATATGGTGAAAAACCATAGTTTTTCAAAAATTGGAACCTGCAAAAAACCACTGCCCAGTTAAGCTATTTGAATTCGAACGAGGAAAATGACTGCCTTGGGCTGAGGTTTGTCGTTGAAACTGAACGGCCTTCAATTGTACTGCTAAGATGGTAGCAGCAGCAGCAGCAGTCTCACCGCGAGCGCGTGAGGGGTTCGTCCTGAAATATTATGAGAGCAGATGGCTCTCCAGATCTGATGTTTTGTTGAATCCTAAGGAATTTCACTAAGAAAAACATCGAAAATACCCATGGTACCAAAAAAATCATGTCATGGCGGCCAACATACTTTCTGGATCCACCGAGTTATTCCCGGTCGCCCGAAGTCGCTTGAAGCCTCTCGGCCATTGCATCCAGCAACGAATGTCTTCGGTGTACAGAGCTGGGTGATGGCCGGTATGGACATAACAAGAAAGAAGGAAAGGAGATTGGAAGTACCCTCTGGTAAACTAACATAGCTATGGAAAATGACCCATTTATAATCATTTATAGATGATTTTCCCATTAAAACCTCCATTTAAATAACCAGATGGTATGTCTTCTAGCTGCAATTCTGCAATTTTCAGAAATCTCCAGCAAGTTGTTCTCAGGAATCAGATGAAGCAATGACGCATGAATCATTTGCCAGCCATTCACATGCAGATGCGACAGAAGCCTGGCGTGCTGCCAGTGGCATCTGATGTAGTTCACAAGAGGACGTATTTGAGGATCCAGCTGGGGCACTTTCACATATGTTCACAGCGTTTCACAGTCATCCAACTGGTCATGGTCCGATTTTTGTCCGGCTGCTTGATGTCAAAAATGGATATTGTTCATCTCCAAATCATGTCAGCGAATCACAAAATGAAGATGTGTGTAATCTATTCCACATATTCTCCATACAAAAGGAGCAGCAAAAAGTGATAGAAAGTGACATGAAGTGACGGAAAATCAAACATGTGACCCCCAAGTGCCGATGGATCAATGTTTTCTTAACTACTTCGTCTCACAGCATCTTTGCCACGGGCAAAACTCAGAAGCAGTCTGCGGACTGGAAACATCTGCTGCCGGGGTCTTGTTTTGCAACGAGGATCGGATGGCAACTGTCTAGTGGTAAAGATTTGAGCATCTCACAAAGTGTAAAGTTACCCATTTTAGTGATGTTCTAGAAATTTTCTAGTGGTAAGAAATCCCTCAGTTTTTGCCCATCTGAAAATGACTCATCTGCTCGCAGCGCCAGGCTTGGAAACAGGGAAGTCAAGTGGCAGAACTGGCGCAAGAGTCGCAGATTCCCAGAGTCGACCCATCAGTTGCTGCTGAACGATTTTGAGATATTTTGAGGTGTTTTCCTGTTGAAAATGCCAGATGGAAAACTATGAAAACTTTCATGGAAACCATTGGAATTCATGATTGGATGAGTTTGGATGATTTTTTCTTGGCTTGCAGAGATAGAACATGATAAACTTCCGATGCATATGTCTCATTTATCCCTAGGATTGGGATGGTTGATGATGAAAGCACCAACCCTATTGCTTGGTCAGATGTTGATTAGTTGTTTGCATTCTAAAAGAAGGCTGCACTGTGGTGTGAAATTCCCCTGTGAAATGATGAACCCTAGTTGATTACTATTTGTGAGATAGGTTAAGTACCAACAACCAGCACAGTTGCTGGGCTGAAATAAGATGAACCCCAAAAATGAAGCTGTCAAAGATGATTTTCCCAAGGGAAAAGACACTGTCGTGCATTCTGTCCCAATGTCAAGATCTTCTTTGTTGACGTTCAACAGAAAATTCAACATGTGTCCATATGCAAAAAGAATTGTCAAAGAAAAAAAAACGATGGTTTTCTTTAACATGAGAACAAAAAAACAGATTCTGTTGATTCTGTTGATTCTGTTTACATATTGATTTTACATATTGATGGTCTATTGATGGTTTTTCAACATATGACACCCTTACCATCCTCTATCATCATCTTGATGTTCTCATCAAAGGGGTCATCCCCTCACGGTAGGATGACCCCCAATGGCGCATCAAGTTCATTTCATCGTCCCAGTACTCGTATCATATCGAATCATATCCCATATACCATTAGATCCATATACATTAGATCATCATTAGATCATCATTAGATCATTGTTAGATCCTGATAGTTCATATTTAAAAAATGAAACTCCCCTTGATTTCATCATATCTACAATGTTTTTCCCCCGGCCACGATAGCTAAGTTGGTGCAAATAACTCCAGTAACTATGATTTATGGTACTTATAACTATAGTTAATGGGGTTTATAAACCAACAAACATCACTGGGGTTGCCACATTGTATACCATCAATCACCATTAGTATACCTTGATTTCATCAGCATATCTAAATACACATATACCCTCTGGTTATTTAACATAGCCATGGAAAATAGCCCATTTATAGATGATTTTCCCAGCGATAAATAAACCTCCATTTATGGTTGGGATTTTCCATGGCTATGTTAGTCATAACCAGAGGGTATATGGGATATTAATGGTTAATGGAATATTATATGGGATATTAATGGTTAATTATAGGTAATATCCCATGTTGCACCTATGTTATTGGGATATCTAAATATATCTTTCATATCCCATGCTGCACCCCATGAGACATGCCCTGTCTGAATCTCCTATGAGGTGTTGCGCTCTGATGCTGCAGCTCGTTGGGGGCACCCTGGGGGCCATTGAAGAACATGGGGATATTCGTGGGATATGGATGTTCTTTAATGCTTATCACCTATCTAAGAACATGATATGGATATCAATGACATTTATACTGTATACTAATACTTATATCTACCTCTTTTGATATGGATATCATCTAATGACATTTATATTATGATATAAGATATACATATATATATACATATATACACAGTTATATTATGTTGCAACCAACTTAAAGTATGATAGTTGGCTCTGAAAATGGAGCATTCGCCTCCAAGAAATGGCTTTGAAAATGGAGGAATGGTGACTAAAAATCAAATTTTGGGGTACCCTTTTTTCATATGAGCTATGGTCAATACTCATGGTTAATAACCATTAATAGGGGCTAGTCATCCAATGGTTCATAGGGATTTATAATAACCATTTTAAGGATCCTTATTATGGATGGGATGACCATCAACCATATAGTGAGTATTGACCATGGCTTATATAAAATCTATGAAACATGATAGAACTGAAGCTATGCTTAGAATGTTATTTAGATCCAATGAATGTGATTCTGTACATTATGAAACATGTTTTTTTGGGGGTCCGAAAAATGAACAGATCCAATGCTGAACCATACTGCGGGTGGTGTTTCCATTGGTAAAGCGATTCACAACAACCGTGGGATACAACAGATGGCACGACAGATGGATCCTGTTCTTGGTGATACAACAAGGTGCTGCCCATGTTTGTTGATATATAACCATTATGAACTAGTTTGGTACACCATAAACCCAACAGTTTTCGCTGTTTTCACCTGCTCCCCCGGCCGGTCACCTGGAAAAAACAAGTTCTGTGTGTGCCCGCGCGCCACTAGCAGAGTAACTTGGTTTGTTTTGTTTTGACACGCAAAATCAGGATTTTTGATAGGTAAATCGGTGAACTCAATGGGCCATGGCTTCTATAGCTCCGGTTTGTTTCTATCAAGGCACCACAAAATGCACGTGCAGCCGCAGCCGCGGGGGCTGGTGAGTGTGCGGGAATGCTCAGCACTTGAAAATCTGGAGATTGACGGATTGACCTGCATGTTGCCCATTGGATTGACCATCTGGTTATGAGATCCACCCATTTTTAATAGGTAAACCCAGGTAAACCATCTATTTCTATGGGCCATCTATACCATGGCTATGTTAGTCATAACCAGAGGGTACCATGAAGAATTTCAACTTATCAGAAATGGAGCATCATCGCTGTTTGACGTGGAAAATATATGAAAATATCCTATTGACACCGTTGAGAGATGATTCCCCTATTTAACATGTGTGTTTGCCAGCCAGTCATGTTTGATTCCCGGAGGGTACTGTTCCAGGGTCATTCTGATTAGGCTTGGCAGCAACAATACACATTTAAGCCATCAAAAACTTGCTATTCTTTGATCTGAATTGGCACCATCATTGACTGGTTGGTGGTTTCAAATATTTTTTATTTTCCATGATATATGGGATCATCCTTCCCATTGACTTTCATATTTTTCAAGATGGTTATTGCACCACCAACCAGTCAACTACTGCTTCTTCGGTTACTGCTTCTCCTAGTGCTACCCCACAACCAGCATCAGGCCTTGACCTCGTGGCAACGCTGTGTGGCTACAGATGTTGCCTTGCGAACGTCTCCTGGCGCAACCGGGCGTAGCGGTGGACTCGTGGGAGCAACTGGAGCAATTGACCCAGTTGGACACGCACGGGCCGCATGTGATGAACAATGTCCTGTTTGTGCTGCCTGATGGTTACTATATGTTAGTTACTATGGTTACTATGGTTACGATTGTCACTGATTGTCACTGATCATGTAACTTGGCATAATTCATGATCTTTTGTGGATTTTGTTGGCATCATTAAAATCTCGAGGTCTTTGGTGCAAGGTTTCGCCGAGGCGCGTGGTTTAAAAACGATGTTTTTTTCAATGGCAATGATGGCATCGCCGAGACCCCATGGGACGCTGAATCTGCGGCAGGTGTCATTGCTGTGCATGCCATACCTGCAGGAAAGACCACAGGCCGATCAAAACCGGCGGTTTGCTGGGCTTTTGAAATTTGACCGCCAGTTGGTCTCAATAGGAAACCAATTCACATTGGACCCAGCAAAATTTGCGAAATGGTTCAGCCAATGGTCAGACTTTTTCGCATTAAACCATTCAAAGCCAAGTATTAAACCATGTTCAAGAATCATGGAAATAGTCCTTCCATGTCCTTCGAAAGGTTCACTTTTCCGGATGGTTTAACCATGTTTAACCCCAAGTATAGTGACAGTGGCTTGGTAAATGTCCCAAGGTTTGGCCTCACCTACCGGGGTTCAACCATCCGGACCATCCATGCGTAGGACATTTACCAACCCCAAAGCATCCATTTCTGAGGATAGATTAATAGATTAATCAAATATATATATACTATGTATATATTTAAGTATATATATAATGTATATATATATATGGTTATTATATATATACACAAATAATTTTGATCCATGCCTAAGAAAACTGGTGGATTGCTGATCCAATGTGACCAGGTTCTGTCACGCCTGGCCTGTGTGACTTGGCTACTCCAGAAAAGTTGAACAGAAGATCTATCAGATGAAGTGCGATTTTTGAATCTAATGTGTTCTAATGTTCATATATATATATATATAGCCATCACTAATAACCATTAATAACCATATATAATCATCATTAACCATCATTAATAACCATATATAACCAGATATTCGGATATTGATCATCTATCAGATCATCAACACGTGTTCAAGGTTTCCAAGATGATGTTTCATGTTGTTTTTTCGTGAGATATGAATGGGTAATAGCCATGATAATCATTCAGTGGTTTTAGTATGTTCTAACCAGCAAAGTTGAATGGAAACTCGTTTTTTTCAGAGATAGACACCACATACATGAATGTCAAGATAATTATATCGCCAGATACATCAAAAATCAGATGAGATACCTAGATATTTTAGTGAGATAAACAACACGAACAGTTAACCCAGATACTTTCTTATCAGATACAACACAGCCATCATCTGCAAAAGTTCGCCCATCAGCTGCGCCTCCGGCCAAGTGGTTTTCCGAGGAGAGTCTTCGGTCGTTGGTCACCTGTGGTTCCGCCCCTGTGATCTTGGCTTTGCTGAAGGTCGGGGGTTAGGTTTTTTGGGGTAGGGGGGAGCCAAGCAAAGCTCGGATAGCTAGGATTTGATACAGCAAACTTGATGAAATAACTGGGAAGTTCGAGGAATGTATACATGTGTGATGTTTATATATATATATATATCCAGTCCATATATGTCAAATCCATAGACCTGCAGATTCCAACCGGGACAGACAAACAAAACGAAAGATATTGGAGTTCACAAAGCGACCAAGAAATTTTATTGGGGCAATAAGATCATGGAATCGCCCATTTTCTCGATAGCCTAGGATTTTCTGGGTCAGGGACTTGAGATTTGCTAAAACTAAGATCAACTAAGCTCGGTCCGAAATTCATCATTTTATGGTCCATCTTACAACTGGGGGAACCAATATTTCCCACCCCTGCCATTTTCAACAATCCACTGAGTTGTTCGAAGCCCAAAAAGAACAACCCCTGGAGGTTCTGACGAAGATCTCACAAGATATCAAATCGGCTCCATCGCTGTTCAACTTAGGTTTGGCTCGGCACTCAGATGATATGGCTGCAACCAAATCCAATAAATGTGCTTGGCATGTTTGGAAACCTGTTGCTTTTGGCCTTGATGGTTGACATTGATTTGAGTGCTTGACATTGGTTGACCAATAACACCACATCTTTACATCTAACATTGGTTGACATTGCTTGACCAACAATAATTGACATCGGTTATCATTGGTTGACCAATATTCATAAACTGCGTGAAATTCTGACAGATGATGACCATTGATCCCTTGAAATTTGCTGCGCCAAGCCCGAGCTTCTTCTGGCTGTCTTGGGACAAGACAACCTCAGTAGGAGGACTCAGGCATTGGACTGGCCTGACCTGGCAATAATATGTCTCATATATAGGTATAGAACTGCTTGTTGTGATAGCTATGATAGTTGTGACAGTTGATCTTCGTTGCTATTATGATTCATAATAGTTGAGATTAGTTTCAATTGTGATTAATAGTTGAGATTAGTTTCAATTGTGATTAATAGTTGATATTAGTTGCAATCCACCGATTAGTTCATGGTTATGATTGATCATGGTGGATGTTGTTTGATAATTATATGATATTGGCTGACCATGAAACCTGGATTTGCTGACAATGACTTTTTCCCAATGGGAAATCCACTATATGTGGGGGATTCTTTATAGGGATGCGTTTCTATTCCCAATGCCATAAGCCATTTTGAAAAGAGGTTTATGAAACTGGGTATAGCCCTAGCAGTGTGATGACGTTTGCTCGTTTGCTACGACCCCCAGTCATGGTTGGTTAATGGTGTGGTGCCAATGGCATTCGGTTTATTCGGTTTACCACATTATACAAGTCTTGTGTTTTTGGTCTGAAATTTCCGGAATTATTTGGAAGGTTGTCTGATATTTCTGGTGTTGATGTTCCAAATTATACTATGATATCAATGATTTTTCTTGCTGGATACTCTTTTTGGGGTTCTCCAAAAATACTGGACCTCAACCTTTCGAAACCTCATTTTCCCCAACAACTAACGGCCATTTCTGGATCAATTCACCTTCAGGCGCCAGGCAACCAGATCCTATAGGTTGCTGGAGCCAGCAAATATGAGCCATTAGCGATACCCTCTGGTTATGACTAACATAGCCGATGGGAAATGGCCCATAGAAATAGATGGTTTACCGTTCTTAAAAATGGGTGAATCTTTCCATGGCGAACTGTTGAATAACCAGAATGGTACCCCGGTTGATTCCTTATTTGAGGAAGTTATACACCTGGCTTACTGGGGATTATTGGAACGCAATCATTCTGGTTGATAATTCTGATATCAACATGATTACCCTATGCTTATTTAACATATGGAAGCCATGGCCCACAGAAATTATCAGAAATAGATTATGATTTATGATTTATTTACCTAGCTATGAAATTTCAAAATGGTAATTTTCCATGCTGCTTCATCTATACTCGGGTCCAATGCCTACCCAAGAAGCCAAAAGAACCGCATAAAATATGCAGAGAATCTGAGGCAGTGACACGGTGATGCGGCGGATGGCGGCTGAGGTGTGCAGTTGACCATCTTAACCATCAGATTTGCGGCCTTTAAACCCATAAGATATGGGAAGTCACCTATGAAAAATTATCAAAATATGGGGTAGGAAGGTTGATCCAGCAACAAAAATCGAGAGCTAACCAGGGTTTCAGTGGTTGACTAGTTGGCCAACCATGGTGAAATCGTAGGTTGCTGGGCCAAGTATCGGGGAAGATTTTCACAGCATCTTTTGAGCATTGCTGGCATCTGAATCAATGCTGAAGCCCAGCAACCATGTTGATGAAGTACACAGTCCTGTTGATGAATTGAAGTTCGCTGTCCAAAATGTTACCCTCTGGTTATGACATTGCCAGTTCGCCATGGTGAGGTATCCACCCATTTTTTTCCAGAACGGTATGGCCCATCTATGTCGATTAGGGCCATGGAAAATCGCCATGGCTAGCCCTGTGAACGTCATAACCAGAGGCTACCTTTCTCGGTCTCCCGGAGTTAATCCCGCCAGGTCCTGGTGAAAACCATTTCCTTCGCCGTGGTAGGTGGCCTTTAACAAAGCAGCAGAGAATGGAGAAAGTTCACACGCGAAAATGGAGGATGCTATTGAGGATTGATAAAAATGAAGGTTTCAAGATTTTTCAAGGTTGAAGTTATAGTTATTATATGTTATTATGAATAGATCCTTGGGGAACAAAACCAAACACCAAAATCATTGATTTGTGAATAATCCATGACAATTTCTGGCCTGTTGTCAGGTGCTGGTCGTCAAGCCCCGCCACCGGCTCTTTGCAGCACCAGCGCTGTTTTTCGAACAAGTAGGAGTTTCCAGTATCCCCCCCAAAAAAACAGGGTACTATGGCGAAATGTGTCAAGAATGGTCACCAAATGTGTTCTCACCATCTGTAAATCTGCAGGAAGTTGATGGTTCTCACAATGTTCTCCTTCAGTGTTGACCCATAAAGGAGCCAGTGACAGAAAAAACGTCATGGCAGGTCCTGCTCCAATGGGAAGTTTCCGCTTCAAGGCAGAGTGGGTCCATGATCCCCGGGATGGGTCGACACCAGCAAAATTAGATGGGAGATTCATGTTTACAGTTGACATTGACCGAAAACATGAAATGTGTCATGTTTACAGTTGACATTGACCAGCAATATGTTGATTGGAGATTCATGTTTGACCAAAAACTGGAATTTCTCTGATCGATGTGAAAGCCAAATTCTGCTGTGCTTTCTGGTAGATCGCAAAAGCTCCCAGCAATCGACGTCGAAAACATACTTCTCTGGGAAGAAAAAGGTGTAATCATCCAAAATATCATATATATATATATTATCCATACACAAAATCAGTATATTATATCATATTTAATATATCTGGTGTCAAAATATCCATAGAAAATATATCACAAAAACTCAGTACATCATGAAACCACCATAGAAAAATCATAGAATGTGAGGCCCCCTAGATTTTAGATAGCTAAGTTGGTGAACATAACTCCAATTTCACTGGGGCTTTTGTTAACCAACGTTCACATCACCTTGGCCCAGGAGTCCAGACTGCCGAGGGCCACCGACTCTTGGCAGGCCAGCAATGGGCCATGGGGAATCCATTGAGATTGGCGATGTCCTTTTCCCATTGGTTGGTTGATTAATAGAGGGGTTTGAAGAAACCCCTTTAACAACAGGTAAATGATAATAGATGGTATACCAAACCGGCCCCTCTATTTTTACCAAAAGGACATGATTGATAGTTTCTTCATGTTTTTCCCATAGATTTCACCTTTTTGTTCAGAATCAGAGAGATCATTTTATAGGTGATGTTCCAAGGATTTTCCATAGATTTCAGCTTTTTTGTTGAGAATCCAAGAGGTCATTTTATAGGAAAACCATGGTGATTCATAGGGGTTAATGGATGTTAATGGTGATTTAACCTATGGTTTAACCTATGGCATAGCTATGGATCCAAGGTGCCCTTGACCGAAGGCAGAGCTACAGAGCAGGCGACCTCCTCAGCCAACCCTGGACCCAGCCAGTTGCAGGGAGCTCAGTGGTTGACACAGGAGATCCTATGGAGAATCCAATGGATATGGATTATGGAGAATGGATATAGATTATGGAAAATCCCCTCAATATCCCAGTTTCTATGTATAGATGTTTTCTGATTTTTCTGGTTTCCACCTAAAATATCCAAGAAATATCCAAGTTAAATATCCGATCTTTTATGGATATTTTCTGGAGATATCCCATAAATACCCTCTGGTAATTTAACATAGCTATTGAACATTGCCATTGATAGTGAGTTTTCCCGTTAAAAATTGTGATTTTCCATATTTATGTGGCTGTTTACCAGATGGTCATGGAGATAAATCCCATGGATCTCTCCCGTCGTTTCCGCTCATGGCTCACCGAGCCGACGGAGGCGCCAGTGCTTTGAAGCGACGCTTAGAGACATGGAAGGTCAGCGATGTCAGATCGAAGGTTGCCCAAGGTGTCCATCAATGGGGCAATGGGGATAGCCCAATAGATGGATGGTTGCGGATGGTTGCGGAAAATCCATCTGACCCCTACCCTCTGGTAAACGTTTACAATAACGAACTGGAAAGATCCACCCATCTTTAATAGGTTAATCAACTATTTCTATGGGCCATGTTCAATAGCAAACTGTTAGTCATTACCAGAGGGTACCCCAATAGCTGGATGGTTGTGGAAAATCCATCTGACCCCTTTTTATGGGTGGTTTATTTTGGGGAAAATCCCAATCTTTTTGAATGGATGATGAAAAATGGGGGGTGTTTCCCCATTTTTGGAAACACCCATGTTCATCATCTTCCCAACCTTGATTCAAGGCCTTGAAATGGCCAGAACTGGTTGTTATGAAGGGTATTTTAACCATTAAAGATATCTATATATATAATATTGAAACTGTTTATTTATATATATATATCTTAACCATTAGACTGGTTGTTATAGTTAATATAAAACTGTTCAGACTGGTTGCTGAATCCTGCCATGGAAGCATGTCTGGTTCGCCCAGTTCCGCGCTGTGGCGCCATTTCGCGTGAACTCGTGCGAGGGTCCGGAGGTGCTACTGGGCGAGGTAACAAGCCCCATGAGATTTTTGATGAGTAGCTACCCTCTGGTAAACGTTTACAGTTTGCTATTGAAAATGACCATTTATAGTGGATTTACCCATTGAAAATGGTGATTTTCCATAGTTATGTTAAATTACCAGAGGGTACCCAAAATTGTGAAATCTGGGCTTGGGATGGTTAATGATTATTTTTGTGAACCAGGTGCATGTTGATGAGGGATTTAAGTTGATGGTTATGTATCTTAACTTTGGGGGAAATAGATGGCTTTTGGCAGCAAAGAGAGACAGATAGAGGCCATCGGCTTCTGGCTGCTGCTCAACTGTCAGGTGGCAAGAATGCTGATTTTCAGGAATAAGATCGTGTGAGTTCATTTTACAAGTTGTCTCATTTCAAGCATCAGATCATATCAGATCACTTGGACAGACCAAGCGCCGAATTTCATCTAATGTCCATAAATCGCAGCATATGGTCATCTAATTTCATATCAGATTCATAGATTCATAGATCATTTCATCGATCATTTCATGCTTTAATCATTTAATCATCCACAGCATCCACAGCTATCCACAGAGGAAGCCGCGTTGGACTTCGATGCGGACTTCGAAAGTGGTAGTGGGATGATCAGAATGATCAGAGGGGTGGAGCAGCCCTTGGCTCTTGCATTGGAAGGAATGGTGAATCTATAGCGGAATAGTGAATTTATTATATATGTTGACTATTGTTATTAGTACATATTAGTACTATTATCATGAATTACTAGTATTAATATATATCTATATAGTATTTATCATGAATGTAATATTATTATATAGCTTATTACTATTCTCAGTGGTATCTATGAATCATCTCCACCAAGGTTTGGGCCCGGTGACTCGCCTTGGTCCAGCGGAATATGAGGAGCACAGCACAGCAACGCACGGGCGAAGCTGGGTGGGACGATATCTGACAGAGGTACCAAGAGGTACCAAAAAAAAAACGGAAATGGCCTGAGTTGTGTTTTTTTTTGAACTTTTGTATGTCTTTGTCAAAATGAAGTTTCAAGAGTTGGAAAAAAAAAAACAAAAAAACGTGGATCACTTGGATCTGTTGAACTCAGAAACTTCATTGACATCTGAAAAAACTGTTGGATTCAGCTGACAGGTTCAACTCTTATCAGACGCCAATGGAGGCTATGTCCAGTGGCCCTAGCCCTGGAGGACACTGACACCGAAAAACACACCGACGGCTAGGGCTGTACCACATACCCTCTGGTAAACGTTTACAATATCGAACTGGAAAGATCCACCCATCTTTAATAGGTTAATCAACTATTTCTATGGGCCATGTTCAATAGCAAACTGTTAGTCATTACCAGAGGGTAGGATCGAGATGTTCCACATGATTTTCAGGGGAAAAACCATAGGGCCAAAAAGGACATGGTGTGGGTTTCCGATGGTTTCCCAAAAAGACCGAGGTTTTGTTTCCGCGTGCGGCGGATGAAGGTTGGAATGTCGGCAACTTCAGATGAAGTCCTTGATGCCAAAGCTACGGGTGAAATTTCGTATGGGTTGCTGTGAAAATGGATTCAAAAAATCCACTGGTGTTCCACTTCTGAAGTGGATGTGGACTTTGGGGATCCCTGAAACATCTTGAAACATCCTGAAACCATGAAACTCAAAGCATAGGAACCCAGCTTCAAGCTATGGAAAGCAGCTGAAAGCCAGACATCTTGGTGTTTGTGAGTTTGAGGCCATACACTTTTCACCTCACAAATCTCATTAAACCTGGCAGTCTATTTGCCTGGACCTCAGAGGCAGAGTTTAGGTCTCCAATCGAAGATTGAGCCAACTGACAGTTGAAGATTCTGGGGTCTGGGGTTGTCCACAAATAGAATCAAGTACCCCAAAATATCCCAAAAAATCCTCAAAGAATCATGAGTTGTTTGGTATTAAAACGACGCTTTGGGGTTGTACTACCCCATGTTTGGGGAAAACCCCCGGAGACTGTTGTTTTCCCCATATCCCCATTCATTCCATTAGAAAAAAACAAACAAAACACTTACTTACAGTATATTAAGTAATACAAAATTGTGTGATATCCCTATTATTGTGTGTATATCCCTATGTCATATCCCAATACAATATTACAAGTATATGATATCATATGATATCCCCATGAAATTCTGTATGTAGCTGTGTCAACCAATCATTTTTTATAACTCAGCCGTGCCGTTCACCCAGGAAGAGGGTTGTCAGCCGGTTCTGTTCTCCAAACGGAGAATGGAAGAATGTGGCATCGCCTGGTCTCGAGAAGGCGATGAATGAGGGGTCTCCGAAACACTCCGAAACGAAATTAATGTACATATTTAATCATAGTTTAGTTATGTATATAATATGATATAATATGATATGATATGATATAATTATTATAATATAGTATATATAGACATACATGTATACCTATGCACATATATAATTATATATATACAGTATATACATTTGCATGTGGGAAACGCCAAAACTTATTGTTTGAGAATGGAAAGCTGACAGAAATCACACGGTAGAAACGACCGAAAGTGACCATGGCCTCGAGCAGGTGCAGATGTGGCATACTACCCTTGCAGCAGCTTGGATCGGTTTTGTGATGCAGGGCTTGAACCCACTTGGTAAATCAGATAGTGATATATATATATATACATAGTGATGTGGTACTGGAAGTGGTGAGAACTTCACAAAATGTTGGATCTTGGAATCAGCATAAATCATAAAACCAATCTGAACATTCCCCGTTGATCTGAAATCATGCGATGGGATCCGGCGAAGGCTTTGGTTCGCGGAAACTCTACCGGGTATCCTTCGACATTTGCTTCCCCTTTGAAGAGGTGGGTAGATGCGTTCAGTGCTGTCGCGGAGTGGCAAGGATTGATGATTATCGATATCAATAGTAGCTAGTTGATAATAGTTTAAAAGTGATGATTAAAGAAAAAGATCATGTTTATCAATAATATGTACATAAACAGATGAAGGTCCAGAAAAAAATGCATTCATATTCTAGTGTTTTCTATTCGCGCTTGGCAGCTTGAAGCCTCAAGATCCGTGGCTGAATGACCTATCACTAGCTGTTCAGCTGTGACCAGGCTACTTTGGTTTGACCTCATTACAACTCTAAGAACTGGTGCAATAGTCATAATTATATAAATATGAGTACAATCAACATGTATAGATATATATATATATATGTATGCATATATACACGTGTATATATACAAAGCGAAGCAGTTGCTCCACACCTGGCGATCTGTGAACTCGGGGAAGCTTCTGGTGGCTATGGCGAAGTCAGTGTCACATGGACTCTCGCACCGCAGGGGCTGAATGGAGGTTGGCCAGCAATGATGAGAATGAATAGATTGATACATATATACTTATAACTGACATATTTATACATATGTATATATATATATATACATATGTACATGATGTACATGTATGGAAAATCATTTATATGAAATATCTATATAGTCTATATATATATATGGTGTAAACCAATCATGATGAGGATATATTCTGATGTATTACTGTACTCCCCGTCATGATATGTGGCCTGTGAAGCCACCAGTTCCAATCCAGTTCCAATCCACCCAATCCAACCAGTGGCGCAGCCAATCCGAGTTCCAAGGAAGTTTAATCATTTGGATTCCAGCCCTTCTGGCGCTGCTGGGCGTATGTTGGGCCTTTCTGCAACAGGACTGGGGTTTGTAATCCAACCCCGCGCCGCCTATTCATTTAGTCGAAACCATGATCCCCCATGAGCCATTTTTTGCTTTCACTCGAAAAAACGATGAGAGGAAAAAGAACAAAACGATAACGTTGGTTATGTTAATGATCTGTGTCCGGACTCTTGAAATCCAATGTTCTTGATTCTTCCATCGTTCTGCAGTGCTTTTGGTCTCTTCCTTTCATTGTTTGTGTGTCAGATTTTGCACAAGGAAGGTGCCTGGTAGGTGGTTATCATCACTCCTTTTTTGATGATTGCAGCCAGGTCAGATTCACGAACGATAACGAAAACGATAACTTTGGACATCAAAGATGGTCCGTGTGAGACACTGTGTTGTTTTTTTCTTTTCCTCTCCGTTTCCTCTCTCCTTTCCTCCCCCATCTCTTTCCTTTTCCTTTCCCTGCATGTACTCTTCCTTTTCCTTTTCCCTTTCCTCGCTCATGTGAATTCTGTGATCAAGGTGTGAAGCCAGCGCTTGGAAAAACGATAAGACGAAAAAAACGATAACGTGTCGAACAACCATTTGAAACGGCTCGGGGGGTTTACAAAACCCCAAATGGGAGTGATTTATAGCCAGGTGTTCCCATATTCATAGTTGTTATCAATATTTATGAATGTGGAACTCAACTATTGTTGACTCAATATTTATAACAACTTATTATATGAATAACATAAATGTTGTGTTTCCCACTATATTTCTAGTTCCACGGTGCAAAAAACATGACTCAACTATTGTGGACTTCTGCAGGAGGCGACTCGAAAGGAGGTCAGCATCCTTGTCACAGGCCATGGTTTCTGTGGATAGTCACTCTGTCAAAAATAAGAGATACCTATGGATACCGGATACCTGAAAATGCCAGTTTTTTGGTGAAGTTGATGATGGATGATATTGTCAAATTTAGGGCTACAAGGGCTACACGATTTTCGGACAAGCCTAATAAACGCCAGCTATTTTGGTGGGCTGTCTCCGGGCCTACCCACAGTTTCTATTGGAGAAATTCTTCTGCGTCAGATTGACCGAAAAATCCTGCAGCCTTCCAGCCTTTGGACAAAAAGTTGGAGCTTGGATCATTCTTGATCAAAGGTTTAAGACCCGAGTCAGCTGGAGCAAACATGGTACCATCATGTACCAAATCCCAATGAGATTTTTGAATATCCCGCATTTTGCCAGGATTGAGAATTTCCATCACTGGCTCTGAAGCTCAAAGGGCTGCATTACCCCAGACGACCCCAGAGAAGGAGAGGGACGCCAGCGTCATCGCCCCTCGGAACGACTTCAGTGGCCAGCAATGAGACCTTGGTGAAACCTGTACTCGGTTTACTCGGAGTTACATCGAAATGGCGAGTTCCCCCATATTTTGTCATGGCTATCTCTACACCATTATCTGAAGTATGCACATGCCTCAATTATGTATATATATAATATAATATAATATAAAATATAATATAATATAATATAATATAATATAATATATAAATTTAATATATAATATAATATAATATAATATAATATATAAATTTAATATATAAATATAATATAATATAATATAATATAATATATAAATATAATATAATATAATATAATATAATATATAAATATAATATAATATAATATAATATAATATATAAATATAATATAATATAATATAATATATATATATATAAATATACACATACATGTGTGTGTGTGCGTACACACTTTAGAAGTGCGTCCCCTGGATTGTGCCTAAAGGGTGGTTCCCCGCCAGTTGTGTGTCTGTGTGTGTGTTGCTTGAGAGCTAAAAAACACATTAACTAGCTATATCATGCTATATCTACCATAAACCATGATATGCACCTAGGGACTTTCTAACCAACTTAGCTAACGACCTGGGGCAGATGAAAAGCGTTGTTCAGCGGTGAAATTCCTATGTTCATGGTTAAACCCAATGTTTCATGGTTAATCCTCTCTGGTAATCAAACAATCAAACAATTTCAATTGAAATGGTAGGTTTAAACGAGAAAATCAACCATAAATGGTGGATAGTGGATTGTTTGGTTAGAAAAAAGCCTTGCAGTTTTTTCCACAAAAAAAGGCCTTCTTCGTAGTTGCCATCTTCGAAGTCAACTGGGCCCTGCGATTGCTGGTAGTGGAGCCTTTGACACGGCTGTTTATCGGAGCCCAAGGTCAACAGCAACTTGGAGACACTGCAGGGGTTATGGAAATGGATGAAATGGATCAAGAAATGGATGAAATGGGTCAAATTTTGAGGACAAAACCATCAGAAAAGCAGTAGAAAAACCACAGATTCTGTATGTTCTGATAGCATGAAGTTCGGATTCAGCATCCGGCATCCAATTCTTTAGGGCTAGTTTTAATTCCCATGCGGATGGTCCTTCATGTTTTTTTCTGTTTGAATATCAACCACAATGGGGGTACAATGGTGGTATTGATGTGGATATGCAACCAACAATATGATTTAGTAGTCGGAGTGTCTGAAAACGGGCCATTTCACTCCAGATAAATGTGTATTTCCATGAGGAAAATGATGATGAACCATCAAATGTGGGTGTACCATATTTGCAGACCAACCCGAAAGTGATGATGATGCCCTCTTGTCAGATTTTCTTGAGGCTGAAACCAGTTGGTATGTAGATGGATCAAAACCAATTATACCATATTTGGGGGATAAACGTGAATGTGCCAGCTATTTGGGGTTCACTAGGGGTTTGATGGGTTTTGACCAATAGCCACATTTTATCATTTAGAATCAAAGTTCTTGTGGCCTATCAAAGATTAGGGGCTTCATATTAGGGGATTCATATGGATTAGAGATGATTAGAGTGTCGGATGCGAATCGACCAATGGGCATGTTGGGTCAAAATTCATCTACATAGATGGGGATGGGGGTAGATGAAGGTCCTGATATCCCAAGAGATGGTTTTCGGACGAAAAGACCCTGGGATATTGTGGAATTCCTCTAGATATTATATATATATATATACATGTGTGTGTGTTGCTTGTATACATGTACATATATGTACACAATGCATATGTATATAATACATATGTATGTATATGTATGTGTATATTATATATAAGATAATACTGGTATATGTGTGGGAAGATACAAGCCTTCAACTGATCTTCGCGGCTCAGGCTCATTAAGTTTTCGCAATCCGTTCTCGAGGCCAGGACCAAAAAGTGGTGCCAGGGACACCTGGGTCGATGCTGGTTTCTTAAGTCATGGGGCATCACGGGGCATCCCCAAAATCATAGGTTTCAATACTAAGATATAGTAATATGGTCTAATGACTTGGATGATTTGGTGGTACACTGGTACACCTATAGGAAACAATCAGATGGTATCAGGCCATGGTTGGATTTGGTGTCACTTTTTTTTTCTCTTTGGATGAAGAGTTGGAGTGTTTTTGGCCATGCGAATGGTTGATTGCTATCCGGTAAATCCAGCGTGGCTGGCTGAAACATGCCCCATATCGGTGGGGTGATTCTCCAGCCAGCCACGAGGGTATTTTTTATCACGATGCCGAGTGGTTCTTTTTTGGAACCCAATTCAAACATCTCAGGGAGCAAAAGACCGAAAAAAAAAATAAGGACCTCTCATGTAGCATGTTTATACATGTTTCATATCTCATGACCGATATATCATATATCATTGTACGGCATATCATGGTCATATATCATGTCTGATGTATCATATATCCATATTCAAATCCAGGTTTCAATGTATGGTACAACATGGTACAACCTTGCAGGCCTTGGTCTATGGTATCTTTACCATCATTGGCATTGCCATTGTGCCTTCACTGCAATAAAAAATGGAAAACGATTGATGTTTACTACCCAGGAGTGGTGGAGACTTGTGTCATATGGGAAAGAGAGGTTTCCTCAATAAAGCTTCCAACTATGTCAATTCATGGAGGGGAATGAAACACAGAGTTGGTCGTTTTCGAACCATCCGGGTATTTTGGCCAGAATTGGTACTTGATTCTTGAACCATAGTAGATAAGTGTCATCTAAAGATAGGACCCAACGAAAAATCAGAAATGAGTCATTTGAAATTTGCACGAAAGTATCTAAAATGAATTGTTTACATGTAAAATCTATCAGATGTCGATTTTCCGGACATTTGATCTCAATCATCCCAGAAATCTCTGCAATTTTGCTGTGGGTTTCCCCAAAAAAAACAGGTGCCCAACCAGCCTTGGGCCTGGCCTTCGGCCAACTGGTGGAAGGGATTTGATAGCGGTCGGAGCCTGAATCGGTGGGACATGGCTGGACTGCAACCGGGTTGACACGTGAAGATCAGGTTTTAAGAAGCTTCATGTCAAAAAATGTGGGCCAGTGATTTTGTTTGTCCAGATTCGGTAATTTTTTTAATTGACTCAGAAACAGGCACGGCAGCGCCTAAGGTGACCATTTGATCATGCGATCTGATTTGCGATGTTTCTACATCCTCTATGCAGCGCGATACATCCAGGCACAGCAGACTTGGCATCGTCATGCATCGTCCCATCCTGCGGCGGTTTCCAGTCGCATGTCGTGGCGTTGCAGGCAGCCGTGACGGTACTCCTGGAGCCAAAGAGGAAAGACTTCTTGGAGATGATGGTCACATTCTTAGTGTCAGCTAAGCTGATGGAGGATGATGATTGATGGTTGATGGCTGATGGCTGATGGCTGATGGTTCATGATCATCATCATCATCATCATCATCATCACCGTCGTCATCATCATCATCATCATCACCGTCATCATCATCGTCATCATCATCATCATCATCATCATGAGCAGGAGGAGGAGGAGGGGGAGGAGGGGGAGGAGCGGGAGGAGCGGGAGGGCGATGGTGTTGGTGATAGTGATGGTAATAAGTTGTGCTTATGATTGTAATGGTTGTGATTCGATATGTTTGATGCTGGTGATTTTTCAATGTGAACCATGGCACAGCATGCTTCGCGATAGCGAAAATGCGCACACAGAACCTGGTGGATGTCGCTCGAGGTTCACCACATCGTCACTATCGGAGTTTCTTGGTGGAGAAGGACGATGAAGGACGATGGTAGACCCAAATTTTGCAGAAATGATTGAGTTACTACAGTTCTGATTGGGTAACAGTTGCCCGCTTGCGTGAAGGAACCCACAGAACAGGAAACAAAGATGCCATAGCACCATTGAAATTCATGAATTGACAACAATTTTTGACTGTGAGTTCAAGTGAAGTTAAGCTATGTAGATATATATATATATATCAATGTTCATGCAATTCATGGACTGAATTCACCATAAGCCAGCAATGTAAACCATTGACAAGCGAGTGTGCTGCTGGCCGCAGCCAGCAGATGGTAACAGCGCCTCCAGGTGGTCTATGTTTCCTACTTCTGTGGTTGGAATCGCGTGGGTGTGGTAGTCACTTGGCAAAGACCTTGGAGATCAAAAAAAAAACAGATCGACCAGAAATGCCTGGGTTTTTTCAGATGTACCACAAAAAAATACCTTGGGATATAGCTAGCAGCTATGGCCACATTAGTGATATAAGTGATATACCTATGATATACCACATGAGTGGCTTATATTTTACCACAGTTCTTTCACCATGTGCTTTGAGAAAAAAACACCTCAACTCCATGGCCCTCAAAAAAAGCCTCCGGAAATCACATCGCTGGCTGGAGAATCCACCATTTTGAAGCGTTTCAAACTTGATGTTGCCAAAAAAACCTCCGAACTTCGGGAAGTTCCTTGCTATCAGAATTTCTCACAGGATTTCAGAATATCCCAAGAATTTTCGGCAAAATCTCCATGTCGAACGCTTAAACCTCTGATTTTGCCGAGGTTATGGTCCTCTTGGATCCCGCAGATGTGCCATTACACCTTGCGACACTGGAACTCTATGGTCACAAATTGATCATGGGATGGGTGATGTTTGATGAGATGTTGCCAGGGTGATGTTTGATGAGATGTTGCCATTTTCAGGGGCCTTATATATATATATATATATGTGTGTGTGTGTGTCATTGTTTGGGGGGTTGAATCATGGCTAACCATTGAAGGTGATACGGTGATATGTTTCGCATGTTGTGTTCGGGAACTCTGCTGTACTGATTCTGCATTTTGCACTGTCTAACGATCATAAAAATTGCTATCTTCCCTCGTTGATGCTGTTGGAAGCATGATATGTGGGTATGGGTCAAAATTAGGTACCCCAATAATTGGATGGTTAATACTAAACTAGACATGACTAACATCTGTGGTCCCCTAGGTCCGGTCTTCCATTTTGACCCACATCCATGCGGCGAATCCCAAGCCCATTTCCAAACTGGTTGGTGGTTTGGAACATTTTTTATTTTCCATAATATATGGGATAGTCCTTCCCATTGACTTTCATATTTTTCAGAGGGGTTGAAACCACCAACCAGCAAAGGTTGCCCTGATCTCCGAGGAAGCTGTGCAAGTACACCTCGGAGGCTCTGGAGATGAATATTTGGCAGTTCTTCGCAGATCGGCTCTTTGAATTCTTTGCGGTGCTGTTACTGGGCAGTAAAAGAAAAAATGAATGGCAAAACTTGTTTTGTGACCAGTGTGAGATGAAGTGTTATCAACTTTCAGAAAATCATAAATTACTGTTTGGCTGAAGAATTGGATGAAATTTGATAGAACTTATATAATTGGTTACCTGCTTACCTTAAGGTTTTTAGATGTTGATGAAGCAAAAACAAACATGTGTTGGAGATACCCTCTGGTAAACTAACATAGCTATTGAAAATGGCCAGTTATAGTGGATTTTTCCATTAATAGCATGGTGATTTTCCAGTTCGTTTTTTGTATGTTTGAGGGTATCCCCATTGCCCCATTGGACATCTTGGGAAACAGCTGACATGTTAGTTTACCAGAGGGTAGCTTGGGTAGGCCATGACCCTGCGCAAGGGCAATGCTACGATGGCGCAAAAAGGCACTTCTTGGACCGCTAGGATGACTGGTCATTGACGACGGATGTTTGAGATATCACTATTGAATGTTTATCTATGTATAATATATAATATAATATATAATATAATATATAATATAATATATAATATTATATATAATATTATATATAATATAATATAATATAATATTATATAATATATAATATTATATATAATATAATATAATATAATATAATATAATATAATATAATATAATATATAATATATAATATTATATATAATATAATATAATATAATATTATATTATATATAATATAATATAATATATAATATTATATATAATATTATATAATATAATAAATAATATTATATATAATATTATATATAATATAATATAATATAATATTATATAATATATAATATTATATATAATATAATATAATATAATATATAATATAATATAATATAATATATAATATATAATATTATATATATATGATCCAATCGTGATAGACATATTCGTCATAATTATCACCATCGGCTTCAAGCCAGCTGTCTGTATTTATCAAAACGTATCAAAACTATTTGGTTTTTTGAGGTTTTTCTCCTCAGGACATGTCCGCAGCGATTTTCGTTTCCACCAAGGTTCTTTGTGACCCGCCTGGTGATGTTTGGGTATGTCTGTTGGTCAGCACCCCCAGGGCACTCAGCTGAAGACCTGAAAAAGATGTTGCTGAACCATGACAAGTTGAATATGGACATTATACTTTATATATATGTATATGTATTTATTTATGTATATGTATATGAATATGTACATATATATATATATATATGTATATATATAGACATATGTATACATACACAAATATAAATATATATATATGTACATACATATTTATATATGTATAAACATATATGTATATACATATTTATATGTATACCTTGTCTACTGATGATATTGTGTCGGACAGCATCAACTGCTGCTTTGGAATTCATGATGGTTGATGTTTTTCCTACCTGGCAGACCTTGGCTGTTTAGGTCTGCCCATATCGAGTCAGAACAGTACTTTCATCTGGATTATGCCGCGAAATTGTGCGTGCCCTGGATCCGCTGAAGAGGATTTTCTTACTTTTTCCAAAAGGAAATTGTGTATATATATAACTGGGGATATAGTTATATATGGTTTATTCTTCTGGGGATATATAACTGCGGATATAAACTATATTGGGGATTTGTTTTTTGGATGTTGTTTATTTTGGGGGGGCTCCTGGATCACAAATCCAAGGTACTGTTGCTCTATTTACTGATGGTCCCTGGCTTAGACAGCTCAGATTAGTGCTTTAAAATCGATTGATTTAAGATCAAGAATAAATCGCTAACTGGATCCAACTGAGGTCTTGCAGCTATATTGGTTCGGTTTGATTTTGAAGGTGCAGCTGGGGGTTCTCTGACGCGTCGCCGTTGCTGAGCACCCAAAAGGGGTTGAATCTCAAAAATGACTGCTTCGTTGACAAAAATAAATCATCAAAGACATGCAATATGTCAATATGTTTGGGTTCTCCATTTAAATTCGCTATATTCAATCATCCCCCCATTTCATCATAATATGTATCTAGATCTATGAGATCCTCACATTTCATTCATAGATAGATCATAATATTCCCATGATATTCATTTGACATATGTGACACATATATTATATATATACTAATATCATACATATAATATCTATATATATATAGAGTAAATATAATATCTATAATAATTTATCACCCTGATTTTGGACATTTTACCGGTGATCCATGTCGCCAGGTGGCCATGAAGCTCTTGCGAGGCCAAGGTGCTGAGGACATTCGCTCTGACGATGAAGACGAAGATCCAAAGAGACTTGGTTGGCTCAGCCGTATCTAAAGATAGATACCCTCTGGTAAACAGCCACATAACGAACTGGAAAATCACCATGTTTAATAAAGTTTAATAGGAAAATCCACTATTTCTATTGCAATTTTCAATAGCTTATGTATGTTAGTATGATTGTAATATGGTTCTATGATATATTAGTTTGTATTTATTATTATTACTATTATTTTGTGTGTATATATGCACCAGGCCCTGCCACCCCCCCCCTCCTCCCCCCCCCCACATGGGATGGGTCCCATATACTGGCCCCATATGAGATCTTCCCCCTCCCCCCCCTGTGGTGTGGTGGGGGTGTGGTATGGTATGTTGGGTATGTATGGTGTGTATGGTCGGTCTGGTATGGCATGTTTGGAAAGTATGGTATGTTTGGTATGTATGGTAGGTATGGTATATATATGGCATGAGTGGTTGGTATTGTATGGATGGTAGGTATGGTATGTAAGTCTGTTGGGTATGGTATGTTTGATATGACAGTATGTATGGTCTGTATGGTATGTATGATTACTATTATGGGTATGGGATATTTCTTATGTAGGTAGGTACGGTATGTATGGCATGTATGTTTGCTATGGTATGTATGGTAGGTGTGGTAATTACATTTCATATGTATGGTATGTACGGTATGTACGGTATGTATGGTATGTATGGTATGTATGGTATGTATGGTATGTATGATAGATATGATAGGTATGGTATGCATGGCATCATTGACATGTATGGTAGGTACGGTATATGTTAAACACAGGTAGTGTTGTCAGAGTACACAGGTAGTAAGTAGGAAGTAGATACAGTAGATGCATAGCACATGTATATATGACTATAGGTAGCACGTAGATACTTTGAAGGAGTATGTGTGCTACGCAGGTCGCCTAAAAGGTAGCATGTACCTAGTAAATGCGCGGCTGGTAGTCAGAAATGATGCAAAGACCTAGCAAATACGAAGCTGGACCTCGGAAATGCTGCCAATAGCTTGCAAATAGAAGGGAAGGGGGGTGCTACCTGGGGATCCAGCACTGTCCCCCTCCCCCCCTGTGGCGTGGTGGGTGTGTGGTACTGTCCCCCTCCCCCCCCTGTGGTGTGGTGGGGGTGTGGTATGGTATGTTGGGTATGTATGGTGTGTATGGTCGGTCTGGTATGGCATGTTTGGAAAGTATGGTATGTTTGGTATGTATGGTAGGTATGGTATATATATGGCATGAGTGGTTGGTATTGTATGGATGGTAGGTATGGTATGTAAGTCTGTTGGGTATGGTATGTTTGATATGACAGTATGTATGGTCTGTATGGTATATATTGTTACTATGATGGGTATGGAATATTTCCTATGTAAGGTAGGTATGGTATGTACGGCACGTATGTTTGCTATTGTATGTATGGTAGGTGTGGTAATTACATTTCATGTGTATGGTATGTATGATATGTATGGTATGTATGGTATGTATGATAGATATGATAGGTATGGTATGCATGGCATCATTGACATGTATGGTAGGTACGGTATATGTTAAACACAGGTAGTGTTGTCAGAGTACACAGGTAGTAAGTAGGAAGTAGATACAGTAGATGCATAGCACATGTATATATGACTATAGGTAGCACGTAGGTACTTTGAAGGAGTATGTGTGCTACGTAGGTCGCCTAAAAGGTAGCATGTACCTAGTAAATGCGCGGCTGGTAGTCAGAAATGCTGCAAAGACCTAGCAAATACGAAGCTGGACCTCAGAAATGCTGCCAATAGCTTGCAAATAGAAGGGAAAGGGGGCTGGTACCTGGGGACCCAACCCATGGGGGGGGGAGGGGGGGGGGGAAGGGGGGGGGGGGGGGGGGTGGAGAGACGGAGGACGGGACCATATATATGGTCACTGCCCTCAAATGGTAGGTCCATTCAAGGGCGCTGAACATATATATATATATATGTATACATAGCTGTGTAACGGGGCACCATATTGGGTTATACAATCAATCCCCACCTACTGTGCCAGTGGATAGTGAAGGTTGACAGGGGAAAAACATGTGATGATATCTGGTGCTGAGTGGAATCTTGCGCTGGGGGAGAAGCCAAAGTACATCATGGCCTCAATTGAGTGGTATGTACGTAGGTGTTTGTTCTTCTTACCTAGCGATCGAACTATTTAGCCAGCTACCTAATTGGCAATTTTTCTACCAATGTAGATGTAGATTTTGACATCTAATTGGATTCCCATCGTATTTTATTTGCATATACAAGTAGGTATATTCACGTCGCTTCGCGACGGCAACCGCCCGCACCGCATCGTTGGGCTCACACGGCAGGGGCATTGAGACCAAAAACATCCGAAAGTACTGATTGTCGGAAAAAAAAAACGCGAAGAATTTGATAGCCATGTATAGCGGACCAACGCAGTTCAAAAAATAACTAAAAACATGAAAAAACGGCGAAATTGCTGTTATTTACAGTGTTTTTGCGCGGTGAGAAGCAGAAACCACTGCAAATACCATGGTTTTTGAGGGTCAGGTGGCCAAAAACACTGTAATTTACAGTGTTTTTTTAACCAACGTCAAAAAACACTTGTATTTACGATGTTTTCATTCACACCGTAACATAAAACAGCGTAATTTACGAGGTTTTTGGAAGTTTTGAAGCTAGCCGTCAAGCATGCAGAAAACAGAAAAACACTGTAAAAACCAGTGTTTCTGCTATCAAAAAACGACGAAAATCAGTCCGAAAACGGGTCCAAAAACTCAAAAATCCGCCTCCGGGCCAGGCCACCTGCGGAACCGCAAAAAAAGATGTTGCAAACCAAAAAATTGAAGTCAAAAAGTTGAAAAACACGGGGTTTTTTCACTTTTCGCTTGCCGATTTTGGACGGGCGCGTTCACGAACAGGTGTCTTCCGTATTGTTTTTTACAGTGTTTTTTGAAGGCGAGCGTCACGACCTATCAAAAACAGGAGGTTTTGGCCGAAAAATGCCCCCCCCCCCCCAGGTAAACCTGTAACCTTTTACGAGTGCCATCCGGAAGATCACGCCCCAGCACCTTCGGTGCGGGCGGATTTTATATATTTGGTAGTGTCTTCAAGTGACTGAGCTTTTGACCATCAAACATAAGATTTAAGATGATTTAAGCGAACACATGTTTTTCTTGTAATCTCCAGTACTGATGTGATTTGGCCTGGTAGTGAGACGCGAGTAACCAATCATTGCTGAGTCGTGGGGATGCATTTTTTTTTAAAAGCTGTTGATCATGTGGTCAGAAAATCCGACATGTGGTCAGCTGCATCTGAAAATTTCTGGCAGCCACTTTCAGGAGAATCCCGATTGTTGATCGATATTGTCAAAAGTGATCTACCGGTACTGTAAATCTCAATGTTGGGGAAAACAGTTGGTAAAGTCCAAAGTTTGGTTGAATTTCTCGAGATCCCACATCTTGTTGGCCGAGGTGTAAGTTTTTTGTGGCTTTAAACAATATCTTTATTTAAATCATGAGTTTTGTTGGCAAAGTCACCCTTTTCCGTAGTTTTCCACATGTTGAATCACCATTTTTGTTGGTTAAGTCACCTGGTGAAATCACAATTTTCTATGGTAAAATGGCAATTTTCCATGCTAAAAATCACAATTTTCTATGGTAAAATCACCATTTGTTCATGGTGACATCACCATTTCTGTTGCTTCCAGGCTCTGAGCAGCTGAAAGAACGCTACACGGAGCTGAGCAAGGAGCAACGAGTCGCAAAGGCTGTGGCTGAACATGGGATATACCTGGCATAACATATATATATATATATATCGATATCTTATATATCTCGCTATATATATATATAGCGAGATATATAAGATATCGATATATATATATATATGTATGTATCGCTAGGAGGCTGACGTTTGCCCGAAATCCACGGAATTCCATGCAGGACTGTAATCTGCTGTGTTCTTTGGCTGTGTGTTTTTTGCAAACTGCGAACATACAAAATATTGATATTTCCTGCGTCTCATGGCATTCTTGCGCTTACCTAAGATGGTGCCAAAATCACCGTTTGAAGCATGTCTAAAGGATATCCTCCGTAATTTGCAATGTTTCGAGCTGTTAACTAAAACATCAACAAACCACAAGACTTTGAAAGAACACCAAAATAACCTAACACTAAATAAACCCTAAACAAACCCTAAACCAAACCTAAATCAACCATAAATAACCTAAAAAGACCTTAAAGGAACCTTAAATAAAATCCAAAAACAACAATACATAGCACGACACTTAAGTAAACAAGCCGTAAATAAACCCTAAATAAAATCCAATAAACCAAACCTAAGTAAACCATAAAACAATCTTTAATAAATCCGAAACAAACCACAACGTAAGTAAACGCCAATGAGACTTTGGGCGAACGTCCACCCCGGCGGGATATATTATCAATATATATATATATATATACATCAATATACATATATATATATATATAGTCTAGGTCTATGTAAGAGCTATGATAGCCCCTATGGCTTTGTAGGGTACAGTATATCTTTAGGTTAGGTACCTGAAATGGCAATTGATAAAATCTATGAAAATTGTGATTTTTATGAGGAAGAATGATGGGAAGCCATGGGATATGATGGATTTCAATGGTCATTTGACAGGAAAACGATGACATGCCATGGGATTTGGTTTTGAACACACCCATAACCAACTAAGATGATGATTTAAGCAGCAGAAATGGTGAAGAATGACCAGCAAAAATGATGCCAAATCACCAGCAAATATTGGGATTTTAGGAACAGACATGGGGATTTAGCCAATGAACTTCACCATAGAAATAGGAACTTGAAAACCATAGAGATTGATTCACTCAGAAAGTGAGAGTGGAAACCTATCAACATGCCGGTATTCAGAAACGAACAGACTTGGGATTCTTCAGCCCCGCTTGGGAATTGGCTGGCAACCATGTAACACCCAAACCGAGGCCATGTGGGGCCAAAAAAGGGCGGTTTACAGGGCGCGGAATCACTAGATTTATAATGTTCGACATTCTGCGATTCATTTGCAAACGCACAAAGCATCAGAAAGACTGTATACAAAGAATTACATCACTCTACATCTATAGAATCAGTGCTAATCAGATCTTAGGACAGAAAGCTCCTGAGGTTGGGATGGCTGATGTTTTTTGTGGAACGAGTGGCCGCAGGACTTGGAGCTTGCCCAGGAGAAGGCAGGAACGATTCTCTTGAGTTGGGGATTGACCCACAGACACAGAGAGGAATCTTTACATGAAGTTAAATCTATGGGTATGATGTATTTACCCTCTGGTTATTTAACATAGCGATGGTATAGATGGCCCATAGAAATAGATGGTTTACCTAGCTATAAAATGGTGATTTTCCATGGCTATGTTAAATAACCAGAGGGTAAATGTATTGCAGAAGGTATATACATGTATTTAAATGTGTATATATGCAATGAGCACACTCCAAACGCACAGAGTATGCAAACATGAACGTGTAGTGGTGGTCAATGTGGATAATAATCGGATGATACAACCATTGATCCAGGTATTTTTGTTTTCATCCGGACCACCCAAGTGATCCTGGAGCACGGTGGTACCAGTTGGATTGGACCACCATTAAAAACCATGTGGGCCCATTGGCACCCCATTTCGCCATGACCAGTAAGTTTGACTGCTTGGTGGTTTCAATGATGGGCGATGATAACATTTTGAACCATAGAAACAGGACGATGATATCCAATGACTCAGATTTTTCAATCCATCAACAAGGTGGGGGGTCAGCTCCGTGACAGGCACGAATGCATTTCCAACATCGTCGCGAGGCGGAGCACAGCAGTAATTTCGGTAAAAAGGCATGAGGGCCATGAAAGACACACAGTATGGGATTGTGACTGGTTGGTTGGATTTAATGATTTGTCCTCAAGCGATCTTAAGCCTCAAGCCTTATTTTAGAGAATTTTGGGATCATGATCCCCACGACCACTGATCAGATGATCAGATGAGCAACTGACAATGCAATGGATGTTGTCAATCGAGAGGGGATGGATGGGGATGAACGTCCAGTTCGAGGAATTGCAGCAATCCTTGTATAATTACAAGGAATCCATTGTGTAGGTAAACTTGTTGCTAGCTCACATGTTTTTCGTCAGGGATGGTGCCATTTGCAGCTCAGGACACATCTTTCCACGACTGCAGTCCACCAAAGTGGTAGTCTGGACACTCCTTTTTCAAAATGGTTATAATACAATCCGCTCCTGGTGCTGCTTCCTGTTTTAAATGGCGAGACAAACACCCCACAGATTGATGTAATCCATTGGGGGCCAGATTGGAATCTCAACTGTGAACCTGGGTACACTATAGTCATGTAGCTTAATAGGTCAGTTTGTGGTAACAAATGGTGGAACATGTTGTGCCCACCGAGATTTTTTCCCGGATTAATCCCCGGTGTTTGATGGTTGAATTCTGAATGCCGTTTCCTATGTCCACACTGTACATGGTTATACAACTGCTTGGTGGTTTGAAATATTTCGAAGATCAAGCACATTAGGATTATTATTTCAATTGATGAGCATATTTATCAGGTGCTGGCTCAGCTACCAACCAGTTGAGTTTCTGAAGTTTATCTCCCTACTGTTTATTTGTTTCTCGGTTTTGTTGATTATGTGTACTTACATAAACTTACATATATACACATAAAACATCATAAAACCATGAAACATCACCATGTTTAAGAACAGTAAATCATCCACAAATGGGCAACATTTCCGACCGCAAACTTTTTTAAATCACCACCATTCATTGATTTTCCATGATTTTCCATGATTTTCCATGATTTTCCCCTATATAATATCTCCATTTCTTGCGGATTTCTCCTTGACTTCCCATGGAATCCCCATGGATTTTCGATCCCCAGAGTCCGCCAAAAAACGCGCCGAGCGCGAGGCAGAAACAACGCTGACCCTACTGGAGCAACAGAGGGCAGAGGTGACAACTCGACGACGGTGGAGATTTCGTGGTGGAAAATTTCCATGAATGGATATTTAATGGATATTTAATGGATATTTCACCAAAATTTGCTGATTTGATCCAATTTTAGGCGCCATGGGATTTTTCAGCGGCAATTGGTTGGGGATTGAACCAATGAGAATGGTGAAGCAAAAATTGCATGAAGAACTGGGATTTTATCAAGATTTGTGAAAAGTAGCTGGACAAGATTTGTTTAGTAGATGATAGTCCTATTTCTGACTAGGGATACTCCTTTTTGTACGTGGAAAGTGATTCGTGAATCAGTTGTGCCTGGGATGCGCATCCCAGTAATTGATCATGCTGAGGTAGACGAAAGGTGACTATAGATATATCCAGATATTTTGATGAGTATAGGACTATAGTGACTATAGATAGTAATATAGATAGATATATCCAGATATCTATAGACTATAGTGACTATAGATAGTAATTGATCATGCTGAGGTTGCAGCTGCCAACTGAAATGATGGGTACTGTACCATCCACCGCTTCGGGATTTGGGCCAATCACCAATTCATAGCTGGGATAACAACCTGAACAATATCTGAACCACCGTAATTCCTTCCTACCAATACTCAATAGGGGATTTACACACATTTGGGACCATTTATGGCGTGTTTAACATTAGGGGGGGTTATATATTACATCTATGTACTGTACCTGGCTGCAATCCTTGTTGGAGTTGAAAGAAAGGTGAACTGATGTTTTCACCAGATCGCCGCACATGGAGTAGGATCCACCCAATCCCATGGCGTGCTTGTTGATGTCGCGCAGCCCAATAGCGGCTCTATTGTAGAGTCGGAGTGTCCAACAGGAAATATGAACAGAACCCACTCTTAGCTGTGGCATGCTGTGCCTTATACATTTTTATATGATGTATATATATATATTATAATATCAACAGGAAATATGATGCAACCATTTTTGAAGGGTTCTAAATCCGTTTGATGCTGAGGTTAGCTTTTTTGTTGGTCCATTCAAGTGGTTAAACCAGCGCCAGTATTCTTGCCCGAATCCTTCCGTGCTCTGATAACATGCTTTGGGTCAGGTTTGTAACGGATACCCTGCTGATTGTTGGTTAGCGTGATCAGCATACATTGAGACCATCTCATATTGGTCGACCAACATGCTATACTTTGGATGCTCACACGGAATCAAAAAGATGCTTTCCTTGCTCAACACATTTTTTCCCGCAAATGAAACACCTGAAACTCCTATATTTTCCAAGTCCATTTCGCTTCCTTCAGTCCTCAATTTCTTCAAAACGCTCCCGGGTCTTTTCACCAAATCTCACAGGTCAAACCTCTGTTGGAAGCGCCTGCCTTCGTGAAATGTCCCAGTTTTCTCAGGTGAAGCGCTTCCAAGATTTGAAGGCGCAGAAGGAGGCCTTGATTGTGGAGGCCGTGAGGTCCTTGGACTACAGGGTCTTCACTACATCAGATTGATTGAACAGGCTTCTTTTTGTACTGCAAAAAGGGGAAGATACTGATATGGTCACTGCTACTTTACTGATAGCACAAAGAATGGTCACAAGGTTATTCAACCTACATGACAATTCCTGGAAACTCAATTCAATCGAAGATTGGATGAATGCCCATGGCACAACTGTTTGCGTGCTTTCCTTACAGCGTGGCCCATGGAATTTTGCAAAGTGAGCAGCAGTGATGGGGTTCTGTTTGGATTCGAAAGTGCTATGATGGCGACTTCAAGCAATTTCGATGCTCAACAAGGCCGGCGGCACACCGAAAAACATAACAATTTTCGAAGTTCAAGCCTTTGGAGCCATTCCCATAGATACATATTATGTATATATATATACAGTATATATATATATCATATAGATACCATAGATACATAATAGTAACTGTTTGCTTCTCCATATTTGTGTTAAGTCTCTGGAGGGTCTCCAACGGTGTCCCGCTCTTGAGCCGACCGGGACGCCACCAAGGCCCTGTTCCGTCTCTATTGCGCCGACCGGGACGCTACGAAAAATCTGGAGGAGCTGGGTGGGTAGGGAGCTGGGTGAAAAAACATGGGAAGCAACTGCTGGGTGATATGGGAATGGAAAAGCAAACAGTTATGCATGTAAAGTTCCATAACTGTTTGATTGTTCCACATCTTTTGTAACTGAGATATCGGGGATACACCGATACGTTGCAACTGTCAGGTGTTTTTGAAGCAGCGTGTCTCGTGCCCCAACAGTTGCCGACTGGTTTATTCATCTACTGTTGGCCTGGATGCCCAGATTGTCCTGGATATCCCTTTTAAGGTGGTGAGGTCAAACTGCCTGAGGTGCGCTTTCTTTTGGGTGGTAGCCATCATCAAAAGATCAAACGAATTGCTTCAGGGGAATAAGGACACACGAAAACGCAGACGACGAAGACTAGGTCAATGATGTGCCATGATGTGTCATGTATACAATTCTGCTGCGTTTTCCAGCCATGTGTGATGCCCACCAGGGAAACCAATCAACCCAGTGACTCAAGCCAGCTTCCCCGAAACACTGCAGGAAGCGCAACAAGTGAGAGAAGAACTTTCCAAAACCGAGCATGACTTGCGGAAAAGGCACCTCTGGGCCGTGGTGATCAGTGCCCCAGTTCACTCCTTGGGCTGGTTGGTTGTTGGGTATAGATCATAGACTGTTATGGATTTTGGATTTACCTCTTCCCGACATGCAATGTGATTGACAGGTGTTTGGATGATGAACACTCCCCTTTTCCATCCTTTTCGCAGGGTGTTCTGGGGGATGATTCCCCAGTCGACCCTCTGGGACGCCACCTTTCTCCACAAAGAGCACCATGTCAGGCCTCAAATCATCGCTATCTGCTGCAATGTTCTGTTGTAGCATCTTGATACATCTTGATTGTATACTACACATATATGTTATATATATATATCATATGTAGTTATTTGGAGGCTTCCATAGACCATAGACATGGGGGGGTACCCGAATAGCTGGATAGTTTCTTTCATGGACAAATCCTATTGAAATTATTTAAATGAATGAAGGGATACCCCAATTTATGGAGTTTCCCAGATATATACATATATAAATAAATAATCCATAATAATTATAGATGATCCAAGGAAATGTATGTGTATATATATATATATACATAACCCATAATCATCCCATAATCATCTTTAATTATCAGCATATAATCATCCACAATCCAGTATTATTGGTATTTCTCATCCAGTATTATCATACTATCATTTTATAATCCTTAGTATGGGATCTATGCTTTCTTTATATAGTACCATAATCATATATAACATATATGGGATCTCATTATATATGGGATCTTATCTACACACATATCCTGTATCATCTTATATATTATTATCATCATTTGTAGTTTATAGACAATATATATATATAGATTTATATAAACAGTATATCATCATCCTTAATCCTGAATCATCATTATCATCCCATAATCCTTAATAGTGATCATTAAATAATCCGTTTATCATGATCAAACATCCATTATTACTAACCATTATCTATGATCATGAAAACAATCCATATAATAATTATAGATGATCTACAGAAATCACAAATAATCATTAATAATCCACAATCTTTGGCATTTATTAATGATCATAGATAATGATTAAATATAATGATTATAATGGCATCCATTAAAATGATCATTACAATATTATGATAGAGAATGATTATATATATATATTATAACAATAATCGCATTATAATGATCATTATAATGATTAATCCCAACCATAATCATTATAATCATTATAATCATTATATATCATCGTTGCATCCAAAAAACACCATGCTTGGCAGATCATGATCCCACGGACGTTGCCTTGCGCCGGACGCCTAAACGGATCTCAGGCGCAAGGCGCTTGAGGCCTCTGAGGTGCGTCGCCAGAAGTTGGAGACCGAGGTGCGGGAGGCGCGGGGGAACGCGCTGGAAATGCTGCGAGAAGGGATGGGATGGCGCTGGAAAAGCTGGGAAAATACGATGGATTTAGACATGATGATCTGAGATATCAATAGATATCAGAATATTATGATAGATAATTTATATATAATATTATGATCATGATTGATTGTAGCTATTATCCATATTTTTCAGACATGATGATTGAAGACATGTGGAAACCATGGTGAGAAAAAATAAGACATGAGGAATGGCGATTTCACCATGAAACATGGTGAAAAGTGGTGATTTAAGACGGTTTAACAATGAGACATGATGATTTATCCATCCACGAAAAAATGGGAGTTCACCAACAAGCATGGCGATGTAATGGGACTTGATGGGGCAAAATTACAAGGTTAAGGGACCCATATATCATTCAATGTGGGCCCCCCAACACAGCTAAGTTGGTTTACAGCTACAATAACTTCGGGGTGGGGGATATATGTATATTCAAATGGAGTGTAAACCAACTGAGAACTGGGGGTGCCACATCAATATGGGCATGTGTCAACAGCCATTTTGCCATCATTTGAAATATCATCAAAATTGTTTAAATGTGGGAATACTGTTGATACATGATGGTTGTTGGTGGTTGGTTGACAATTAACAGATGGTTGATAACTATATGGGTTAGACTATCCAACATATTGTGGATTACCACAATTCATGCACTGGAAGATCCAATTAACCAGCTAGTCTATCTTCCGACATACCCTCAGTAATAGGTGTAAATATTCCCATTATGAGGAATCCAATGATGATTGTTTACAAGTGGTTTGTAATCATATAACACACACACATATGTATATATATATATATATGATATAATATAACCCATTATTCTAGCTGGGGTACTACCTTGGTTATTACTAGTTATTACCAACTTATGATGCCTGGCGTGCACCCCCTTTTGCATCATGGGCCGGGATGGGTTTTGACCCCCTGTAGCCCTTTTTTAATCGCTGGTAAATGGTGGGAAATGGATACTCACCCTCCCAAGAAATGGTACCATAGTTTGGGATGGGCTTGGATGAACCATAGCCCATAGTTTTTGGTCGGTTAAAAAAATGGTATTCATCCATAACCATATATGTTCAGATTTTCCCATAGTTTCCCGAAGGTTCGTTGATGAAATTATTGGAAGCACATACCAAAGATGGACAATTTATAGGTAACAATGGCTGAGAACATCTTTTTCACGATGAATACATGTTACATGACCATTGTTCCATGACTTTGGATGATGATTTGTGTGTGGAATTTTGTAGGTGGTTCGGGCACCAGCTTGGGAAACACTATGCAGATGTATACAGTGATCGGGATATTTTGCAGGTATATAAATGGATATAACGTTGAGATGATGGTACAGTATCATATATTTCACCAACCATATGACCATATGATATTATATTTGGGTAACTTTAAATACAATCTTTGATTCTTTGATCCAATGCTGAATGGATTATATAGGGAACATTTTGCCTTTTTATGATGATGGTGATGATGGTGATGATACTGTTTAGTAATTAGTGAAATATTGTTTACTGTTTTCGCATAAGGCATAAGACATATGCAGATTAGTGCAGGCTTATATATGACACTGGTGCAGCATTTGAATGCCAATCAATTGTTAAAAATCTTGGTTTTGCATATGATACTCACCCCGATCTGGGTATGTATGACAATTACACTTCTTGGCTATATGCCCACTTTCTGTTGGTGTCCTTGCCAACCAGCAGCCTACGTCGTCAATCGGCTTTGTCCAATTTTTTTTATGATGGTTAGATCGCAATGTTTGTTGGTGAAATCCCCAACTGTTATTGGTAAGCTCATTTTTTTTCTTATCAAACGTATGTTTTTGATCGAATCCCATGTTTATTGATTGAACCCTTGTTTTTGATGGTTGAATCCCCAAAACTCGATAGTTGAGTCTAATTTTTCTTGATTCAAGCAACAGTTTTGTGTGTAAACTCCAGCAATTATTCATTCATCCTGGTATATGCGATAGGATCAAATTGATCCATGTAGCCATTTTGTAGCTATTAGGTAACTATGAAACACTGTAAATCATGGGATTTTTTTAATAAGATTTTTTTTTCCATCTACTAACTGCAGGATTTACCATCCACACATTTTGTTGGGTGGTTTTCCCATAAAATATGGTTTTCCCATGGTTTTCCCATTATAAATCCAGGTTTTCCCATGGTTTTCCCATGGTTTTCCCATGGTTTTCCCATTAAAAAAATGGAGGCCGAATCCGACCACTTCGCGCTGAACGCCGCCCTGGAGCAGCGGAAACCGGAGATCGCCAACTGTCGAAAGCAGGCGGGGTCCCGGTGGAACTGGGAAGAAACAAACTGGAACCAGTTCTACAATGTATATATATAATATAATATAATCCATAATCATTCCATAATCATTCCATAATATAATTGAAGATGATTATGGAATGATTATGGATTATATATATATATTATATACATAAATTTCTATAGATAAATTATGAATTATATATATAATAAATTTCTATAGATAAATTATGAATTATATAGATATAGATATGGGAAACTCCATAAATGGGGGTATCCCTAAATCATCCATTTTAGATTGGGATTTTCCGTTATAAACCAACCATTTTGGGGATCCACCATTTATGGAAAGACCCATGTATGATACATTTACCATATGGTTGGATACAAGTATACTACCTATCAAACATGAATTTGATATAATGTTTTAGATAATCAACAGAAACGGGGACATCTCATAGTTAGCTATGATGTGTGTAACCAGCAAACAACTGAAATCCTCTGCGCCATGGTAGGCAACGTTTGAGTCAAACTTCCCCTGAGCATGAACCGGGGCCCGAAAATGCATACAGATGCGATGTACCATGACCCATATCATCCATGTATGGTATATATGCTAACATCAAGGGGGTATATTGATGGTAAATGTTACCATATATAGCATACATGGATCCTATGGGTGATATACCCCATAGCCATAGTCATTTTCTAAGCTGTTGGATCTTATGGGACCAAGGTATGCACAGATTTGGGGCAGCACCCCCATCAGGCAGGTGCCCTGAAAACCAAGAAATTGGACATGGCAATATCTGGGGTCGCCGATAGATTTAGAGGTACATTTAAGGGTTGTACAGTTATACATGTTTATGTGTTTGTGAAGGTCTTTTATAGCTTTTTCCATTGGTGAGGAGTGTGTAAATGTTGACCAATGTCCGGTGCGCAACATGGCTACGCGGAGCCATCATCTACTGACAAAGGTGCAGCAGATGAAACTGATGAGGTCGATCTTCAGGTGCTGTGCCTGACTGGAGAAGGAGTGAGATCAAGCGTCCCCCGCTCTATGTTTGGGTACGACCTGCGGAGGTTGGTGTCTGAGAAGCTTCCATGCAAGCCCGGCGCAAAGCTCGCTGTGCATCATGTGAATGGAAAGCTGATGCTCGATCAAACCCTGGGAGAGCAAGGGATTGTTGGAAAACCGGCAATGCTGTCCTGCACTTACATACCAACAAATGTGTACACTGCATGGTGTTATGTCTGTGGGCTCCCAACTGCTGAGAGAGAGTTTGCTCTGGAAGGTCTTACGAAACTTGAGGGACTAACAAATGGAGTTTTTTTGCACAATCTCCCCTGTAGCCTTGCAAGCTTGAGTTTTGGTGATGATTTCAACCAAAGCCTGGAGCTGGTGACCTTGCCATCGAGTCTCCAAAGCTTGAGTTTTGGCTATAAATTCAACCAAAGCCTGGAGCGGGTGACCTTGCCATCGAGTCTTCAAAGCTTGAGTTTTGGCGAGGAGTTCAACCAAAGCCTGGAGCGGGTGACCTTGCCATTGAGTCTTCAAAGCTTGCGTTTTGGCAGTGGGTTCAACCAAAGCCTGGAGCGGGTGACCTTGCCATCGAGTCTTCAAAGCTTGAGTTTTGGCCATGGGTTCAACCGAAGCCTCGCGCGGGTGACCTTGCCATCGAGTCTTCAAACCTTAAGTCTTGATCAGAATTTCATCCAAAGCCCGGAGCAGGTGACCTTGCCGTTGAGTCTTCAAAGCTTGAGTTTTGGTGATAATTTCAACCAAAGCCTGGAGCGGGTGACCTTGCCATCGAGCCTTCAAAGCTTGAGTTTTGGCATTGCATTTGACCAAAGCCTGGAGCGGGTGACCTTGCCATCGAGTCTTCAAACCTTAAGTTTTGTTCAGAATTTCAACCAAAGCCTGGAGCGGGTGACCTTGCCATCGAGTCTTCAAAGCTTGAGCTTTGGCCATCTGTTCAACCAAAGCCTGGAGAAGGTGAGCTTGCCATCGCGTCTTCAAAGCTTGAGCTTTGGCAAGAGTTTTGGCCAAAGGCCGGAGCGGGTGACCTTGCCATCGAGCCTTCAAAGCTTGAGTTTTGGCAATATGTTCAACCGAAGCCTGGAGAGAGTGACCTTGCCATCGAGTCTTCAAAGCTTGAGTTTTGGTGATTGCTTCAACCAAAGCCTGGAGTGGGTGACCTTGCCATCAAGTCTTCAAAGCTTGAGTTTTGGCTTTGATTTCAATCAAAGCCTGGAGCGGGTGACCTTGCCATCGAGTCTCCAAAGCTTGAGTTTTGGCGTTTGGTTCAACCAAAGCCTGGAGCGGGTGACCTTGCCGTTGAGTCTTCAAAGCTTGAGTTTTGGTGATGATTTCAACCAAAGCCTGGAGCGGGTGACCTTGCCATCAAGTCTCCAAAGCTTGAGTTTTGGCTTTTATTTCAACCAAAGCCTGGAGCGGGTGACCTTGCCATCGAGTCTCCAAACCTTGAGTTTTGGCTATAAATTCAACCAAAGCCTGGAACGGGTGACCTTGCCATCGAGTCTTCAAAGCTTGAGTTTTGGTGATAATTTCAACCAAGGCCTGGAGCATGTGACCTTGCCATCGAGTCTTCAAAGCTTGAGTTTTGGCATTGCATTTGACCAAAGCCTGGAGCGGGTGACCTTGCCATCGAGTCTTCAAAGCTTGAGTTTTGGTGATCATTTCAACCAAGGCCTGGAGCATGTGACCTTGCCACCGAGCCTTCAAAACTTGAGTTTTGGCCATGGGTTTAACCAAAGCCTTGAGCACGTGACCTTGCCATCGAGTCTTCAAAGCTTCTCTGCCAGCCATGAGTTTCGTACAATCACTGTTAGTTCTGCCATTTGTTCTTTAGTTGTTTGACATATGCATATTCACTAGTCATCTCAAATGCAGCTTTCGAAGCAAAAGAGGCTTGCTTTTTGAGGCGATCAACATCGGGGGCTTGAGGCGACCCGAACGTTTTCTTTTTTTGGAGGTAGTCAGTCCCATTTGTAAACACGTGTTGCAAGGTTATATATTCGATATGTGTGTATATGTATATATTTATGATCATATGAATATAAATATAGATTCCAATAGCATTCAACAGCTTGTGCAGTTACATGACATACTGTGGTTGTCTCATGAATGTCTATATATGTATATTATTATAATTTATTATATACATAGATCATAGACACCATCATATGCCCGTCTTATTGGCCATGGCATTTAACCGCCTTCGGCGTGTTCTGCCGGCCACCATGGGAAGAGCTACCCTGCAGACCGCAAACAGCGCTTGCACAGGCCAAGCAAGAACTTGGTTTTTGTGTAAAACATTGTGTTTGTATAAAAACACGGTGTTTGTGTAAGACAGCGTTTTGTGTAAAACATAGGTTCATACAAAACATGGTTTCTGTGTAAACCACGATTTAAGTTTAAACCAAACCCTCTGTGTAAACCAGGGTTTTGGACAAGGCCATATTACATAAGGTTAATTACGCGTGTAAAAGGTGTTCTGCACAAAAGCCAGTGGATGGACAGGCCACACCTATATCAAGTATTGGATATAAGAACGATGGAGCAAACCGATGGAAAACACAGCAATAACGGCGGAACAAAACAATGGAAATAACAACAAACATGTTGATAACCAAGCGCGTGTTGGGCGAGACGTGGGCAGAGTTGAGCCCAGCACATCATAGCGAAAGATGAAGACAAAAAGCACGAAGAGGATGATGGCGACGAAGACCAAGAAGAGCGGTGGGTTCAAGTTAGACGAGGTAAAAATCCGCGCCAAGGGGAAGTCTAGACAAAGACAAGAGACAGAACAGACAACACAACACAACTACAAGCAAGCACGATCCATTAATATTCCATGAACATGACACTAAATCCCATTAGAGGATATTAAAGTTGGTTGTATAATGTTATATATCCCATTAGGCCCCATAAAATCCCATTAAATCTGCCATCAAGGACCCCATTTTGGCCCCGCCCCTTGGCTCGAGTTCCAGGCGGCCCATTGGACGATCAAGGAACGCGAAGCCCAGGCGGTTTTTGTTTGATGAGATGACCGAATCATCAATGCCTCTGTTGGCTGCGAAACCTCTGTTGGCTTGATGGGATTTAAGCATCATATAATCATATATATATAATCATATATATATATACATATATATATACATATATATATATGAGGGTTTTGACTATCAAAACATGGGCATGCAGTTGATACATGATGGTTTGTTGTTGATTGGTTGATGGTTGGTTGATGATTAGTTCAGGGGGTATACTATCCACTATATTGGGGACTGTTACAGACTGCAGGCCAGTGTGGGAAATCCTTTTTTCAGGCACCAGCATCCCATGGAATGACAAAGGGTTTTGACACTGCTGAATTGGTGATTTATATACCCAACACAAGAAATCCAGTATAAACTATACTAGCCAGCCAGAGTTCAAGCAGCCAACATGGGTGAGTTTTGGACCACGGCCAGGCTCGTATTCATCAGGAGCAGGAGAAGATGAAGACATTGGAGGCCCCATGTCTTCACGCTGAATGGTTGGTGAAAATGAGTTCCTTCAACTGTGACACTAAAATCAGAAATTTATACGTCAGAATTGGGTGCTAACCACCAAGACCATTTGAGTAAAATTTGAATGTGCTAATATATGATTATATGCTAATATGAGTACATTCTATTGGAGGACTACTCTGGTCTGCAATCTATTCTTAACAAGGAATCTGCATGGGTAGTGAGAGATGATCAACAAAGATTCTTCAGGTTTTTTTGATGAGCCAAGGGATCTAAATGGTGATTTCATGGGATTTCATGATGACTAATGATGACGAATATTCTCTGTTTTCTAGCCATCCTTCAAAGTTCCATGGTTCAATAGTTTTCAGGAGTGTGAAGAGGAATTTCCAGGGTATTGCTTTGGGGGTAACAACCAGACCCTTTCAAAGGTCCAGGTGCTGAAATGGATTTATGTTTCGCTTTCAGCACATGAAAGCAACGAAACAAACACCATAAATCTGGGTAAACCAACTCGCAAAGGGTAAATGATACATGTCGCAACATATGTATATGTGTATGAAATATGTGTATGACATATGTGTATGAAATATGTTGTATATGTATATTCTATCTGTATATCATATCTGTATATGTATATGTATATGAATATATATATATATATATACATATACACACACACCACACTTGTACATACCCATATTTCCCATATTTTTATAATGGTTTGCTTGCTGGCAGCCAGAAGGATACCCGGTAATCAAACATGGCGAGTCGGGAAATCGAAGAAATTATCCATTGCCATGTTTTCTCAAATATAATATTTTAAAAAACAGATAAAAACTCAAACATGCTGATTTTCTAATAGGCAAAGTAAACCAGAAATATTGAACATTAGAATCTTGATCTTTCCTAAGGAAAAACATATGACAAAGCAATTCATGGGTTCTGACTGTCTGGACTTTTTTGCTGCGAGAATAGGATTTTCCAGTGATTCATTCAGCCAGGCTGAATGGCATGATGCCACAGCAAAAAGGGAAGCGGCTGAGAAGGACTGAACTGAGCATGGGTCGAACTTGGGATTCAACCGACGAAGAACATGGATTTATCGAGCAAAAACAGGGAATTTATATAACTGTTCAAAGATTGGAACCATGAAAATTGGTGGTTTGGCAAAAACATCCCATTCCATGCATTCCATTCCAGAGATTTTTTGAATTTGGACCATACAATTTGATGATTTCGACCCTGAAAATTGCGGGCAAAACCATCAAGAGCCGAGTCGACAAAAAAGCGGCCGACTTGACGCCGCTTGAGATTTCCTGAAGGGTCCAAATGCTGCAGCTCATTACCGGGCAACTGGACTGGAAATGGACACATCTATCCATCTATCCATCTATCCATTTATCCATTTACAGTATCCATCTGACTCCATCTATCTAATAATCTACAGTCTACAGCAATCTAATCTAAATCTAAATCTAATCCAATCTATCTATGTATTTATGCGTATATATGAAAACATTCGCATAGATATACACACATAAGATTTCTCTCAGTGGGCCGTCTATGCAAAATAGGGGAGACAGCTATTGGGTCAATTTTTCCAGGGGACATTATCTCGACATCTCTGAATTGTTTGTTGATTGAGTTGTTTGTGGCATCCTCAACTTTGGAAATCATAATGCCCTTCATTGATAGTCCTGGATGGCCACAGAAATTCTCCTTTGAACTTGATTTGCATGAGCTTTCCAGCGATCCAGTGGATCTAATTGGTATTCAATAAGCAAAATCATGCACAATCCACATTTTTTTTGATAGACACCACATCCGCATTTTTGTTGCATAGATTCTGCAGTTTTGATGGTTGAGTCAACATCCCCAGTTTAATTGATGGCCGCCCGATAGTCTAAGTGGCTCTAGGCAATCCTATCATCTAAAACCTTGAGATATTCCACTGCCAGATGACCACAGGACATTTTTGCCGCATTTCTGCAGGTTTCTCAGCTGGTTGGTGGTTTGGAACATGAATTTTATGACTTTCCATATGGGTTTGTCTGAAAATGGGGTATATTCCCAATGAAATAGCCATTTAATAGGGATAATGATCATTAACCATTGGGTTTAGGGGTACACTATTTTCAGACACACCCATAGATTGGGAATAATAACCCCAACTGACTTTCATTATTTTTCAGAGGGGTAGGTATACCACCAACCAGTCATGGTGACACATCCTATTTCTTGGCTATGTGCCCGTCCCACTAGGGGGCACACAATTTTCCGACCACCAGGAGCTCGCGGATGTGCGGCGCCGCAAAGTAGACTCAGTAGGGAGCCCCGTGAGATGTCAACTCAATCCCATGCAGATCTCTACCAGTGCATCAGGGTGTCCCACGTTCGGCACCAGGCAATTTGCCATCAACAGTCTTGGTCTTTTTGTCCTAGTTCTGTATACCTTGCGATGTTTGTGGCTTATGAATCCAACCTGGGATGATTTTGATGGCTACTCCCTGGAGTTCACATAGAACATGTATGAACATGTTACATCATGTCATGTAAGGACTGTAAGGATTGAAACAACAAATGAAACATCTGGTATTTCCTAGAATAACATATCTTATTGAAGGGAACATTTACAGGATTTTTTTTGTGGCCAGTAAAAAAAAACTGTGGAAAGCATGGTTTCGTGCAGATTTCCACTTGAACCAATTCATTGATTTGTGGTCAAATCCTCACGTTCCAATTGTTACTGGTTAGATCAATATTTCTGGGTAAATTATAGAATGGGCTAGCGCCCAGGTGCCGCCGACCCCCCTCTATTTGGGGGGGACTGTGGGGAGAGAGAGAGAGAGAGAGAGAGAGAGAGGAAAGGGAGAGAGAGAGAGAGAGAGAGAGAGAGGAGAGGGAGAGATGGATGGATGGATGGATAGATGGATGGGGATGGATGGATGGATGGATGGATGGATGGATGGATGGATGGATGGATGGACGGATGGACGGATGGATGGATGGATGGATGGAGAGATAGATAGACAGACAGACAGACAGACAGACAGACAGGTAGACATGTGAATAGATGATAGATTGATGGATAGATAGAGGGATAGAGAGAGAGAGAGAGATAGATTGATAGATAGGTAGATAGACAGCTTGATAAACAGGTGGATAGATATTGTTGGACAGATGTATAGATAGAGGGACAGAGAGAGAGAGAGAGGGAGAGAGAGAGAAAGAGAGAGAGAGAGAGATATAGATGACAGATAGGTAGATAGACAGTTGGATAAACAGATGGATAGATCGATTGTTGGATAGATAGATAGTGGCATAGGAAGAAAGACGGATGGATTGATATATACTTTGAGTGTCAAGGACCCTCCGTTTTTAGGACTGTCATTGTAACCTCATGTTTTTTCCTGCCTGCTGCTGGCTGCTGGTGCTGGCTGCTGCCTGCTGCTGCCTGCTGCTGCCTACTCCTGCTGCTGCAGAGGCTTTTGCCATCCAGATATGCTCTCCTCGTGCCCAAAACGGGCCGCCCTCGAAGAGGGTTCCAACTGAGACACGGCACCACGTGCAGCTAAAAGGTGCCGCAGTGGTGGGGCAAAGTAACATCGATGTGGAACATCACCATGAATTAATAAGAAAAAAACAATTTCAATGGGCCAGTGTTCCAGTTTTTTTTTGGTTAAGCCTGGAGGATCATCCCATGCACGGATGGTAAGTGATTCGAAGTCATTGCTGTGGATCTGGGGTGCCTGCTGGGGACGGTGTTTGGAGGGTTTGGCGGGTTTTGGAGGGTTTGGAGCGTTTGGAGAGTTTTGGAGGGTTTGCGGGCTGGCAAACGGCAGCTTTGAAAGCCCATAAAAAGTCTCATTGCTGTGGCCCTGGCCCTGGGGGTTTGGAATTTTGGAGGGGATTGGAGGGTTTGCGGGCTGGCAAACGGCAGCTTTGAAAGCCCATAGAAAGCCATTGCTGTGGCCTGGCCCTGGGGTGCCTGTTGTGGAAGTGGCCTTGGCCCTGGCCCTGGGGTGCCTGTTGGGGAAGTGGCCTTGGCCCTGGCCCTGGGCCCTGGCCCTGGGGTGCCTGTTGGGGAAGTTGCCTTGGCCCTAGGGTGCATGTTGGGGAAGGCGTTTGGAATTTTGGAAGTTTGGATCCTTTGCAGGCTGGCAAACTGCAGCTTTGAGGCCCATAGAAAGTCATTGCTGTGGCCCTGGCCCCCTGTTAAGGCAGCTTTGAAAGCATCAAGAAAGTCATTGCTGTGGATCTGAGGTGCCTGCTGGGGACGGTGTTTGGAGGGTTTGGCGGGTTTTGGAGGGTTTGGAGGGGTTGGAGCGTTTGGAGAGTTTTGGAGGGTTTGCGGGCTGGCAAACGGCAGCTTTGAAAGCCTAAGAAAGCCATTGCTGTGGCCTGGCCCTGGGGTGCCTGTTGGGGAGGTTGCCTTGGCCCTAGGGTGCATGTTGGGGAAGGTGTTTGGAATTTTGGAAGTTTGGATCCTTTGCAGGCTGGCAAACTGCAGCTTTGAGGCCCATAGAAAGTCATTGCTGTGGCCCTGGCCCCCTTTTAAGGAAGGTGTTTGGAATTTTAGAGGGGTTGCAGCCTTTGCGGGCTGGCAAACGGCAGCTTTGAAAGCATCAAGAAAGTCATTGCTGTGGATCTGAGGTGCCTGCTGGGGACGGTGTTTGGAGGGTTTGGCAGGTTTTGGATGGTTTGGAGCGTTTGGAGGGTTTGGAGGGTTTGGAGAGTTTTGGAGAGTTTGCGGGCTGGCAAACGGCAGCTTTGAAAGCCTAAGAAAGCCAGCTTTGAAAGCCCATAGACAGCCATTGCTGTGGCCTGGCCCTGGGGTGCCTGTTGGGGAAGTGGCCTTGGCCCTAGGGTGCATGTTGGGGAAGGTGTTTGGAATTTTGGAAGTTTGGATCCTTTGCAGGCTGGCAAACTGCAGCTTTGAGGCCCATGGAAAGTCATTGCTGTGGCCCTGGCCCCCTGTTAAGGCAGCTTTGAAAGCATCAAGAAAGTCATTGCTGTGGATCTGAGGTGCCTGCTGGGGACGGTGATTGGAGGGTTTGGCGGGTTTAGGAGGGTTTGGAGCGTTTGGAGGGTTTGGAGGGTTTGGAGAGTTTGGAGAGTTTTGGAGAGTTTTGGAGGGTTTGCGGGCTGGCAAACGGCAGCTTTGAAAGCCTAAGAAAGCCATTGCTGTGGCCTGGCCCTGGGGTGCCTGTTGGGGAAGTTGCCTTGGCCCTAGGGTGCATGTTGGGGGAAGGTGTTTGGAATTTTGGAAGTTTGGATCCTTTGCAGGCTGGCAAACTGCAGCTTTGAGGCCCATAGAAAGTCATTGCTGTGGCCCTGGCCCCCTGTTAAGGAAGGGGTTTGGAATTTTAGAGGGGTTGCAGCCTTTGCGGGCTGGCAAACGGCAGCTTTGAAAGCATCAAGAAAGTCATTGCTGTGGATCTGAGGTGCCTGCTGGGGACGGTGTTTGGAGGGTTTGGCGGGTTTAGGAGGGTTTGGAGCGTTTGATGGTTTGGAGGGTTTGGAGAGTTTTGGAGAGTTTTGGAGGGTTTGCGGGCTGGCAAACGGCAGCTTTGAAAGCCTAAGAAAGCCATTGCTGTGGCCTGGCCCTGGGGTGCCTGTTGGGGAAGTGGCCTTGGCCCTGGCCCTGGGGTGCCTGTTGGGGAAGTGGCCTTGGCCCTGGCCGTGGGGTGCCTGTTGGGGAAGTGGCCTTGGCCCTGGGGTGCCTGTTGGGGAAGGTGTTTGGAATTTTGTTTTGGAAAGTTTGGAGCCTTTGCGGGCTAGCAAACGGCAGCTTTGAAATTCATAAAAAGTCTCATTGCTGTGGCCCTGGCCCTGGGGGTTTGGAATTTTGGAGGGGATTGGAGGGTTTGCGGGCTGGCAAACGGCAGCTTTGAAAGCCCATAGAAAGCCATTGCTGTGGCCTGGCCCTGGGGTGCCTGTTGGGGAAGTGGCCTTGGCCCTGGCCCTGGGGTGCCTGTTGGGGAAGTGGCCTTGCCCTGTTAAGGAAGGTGTTTGGATTTTGGGGGGGTTGCAGCCTTTGCGGGCTGGCAAACGGCAGCTTTGAAAGCATCAAGAAAGTCATTGCTGTGGATCTGAGGTGCCTGCTGGGGACGGTGTTTGGAGGGTTTGGCGGGTTTTGGAGGGCCCCCTGTTAAGGCAGCTTTGAAAGCATCAAGAAAGTCATTGCTGTGGATCTGAGGTGCCTGCTGGGGACGGTGTTTGGAGGGTTTGGCGGGTTTTGGAAGGTTTGGAGCGTTTGGAGAGTTTTGGAGGGTTTGCGGGCTGGCAAACGGCAGCTTTGAAAGCCTAAGAAAGCCATTGCTGTGGCCTGGCCCTGGGGTGCCTGTTGGGGAAGTTGCCTTGGCCCTAGGGTGCATGTTGGGGAAGGTGTTTGGAATTTTGGAAGTTTGGATCCTTTGCAGGCTGGCACACTGCAGCTTTGAGGCCCATAGAAAGTCATTGCTGTGGCCCTGGCCCCCTGTTAAGGAAGGTGTTTGGAATTTTAGAGGGGTTGCAGCCTTTGCGGGCTGGCAAACGGCAGCTTGGAAAGCATCAAGAAAGTCATTGCTGTGGATCTGAGGTGCCTGCTGGGGACGGTGTTTGGAGGGTTTGGCGGGTTTTGGAGGGTTTGGAGCGTTTGGAGCGTTTGGAGAGTTTTGGAGGGTTTGCGGGCTGGCAAACAGCCATTGCTGTGGCCTGGCCCTGGGGTGCCTGTTGGGGAAGTGGCCTTGGCCCTGGCCCTGAGGTGCCTGTTGGGGAAGTGGCCTTGGCCCTGGGGTGCCTGTTGGGGAAGGTGTTTGGAATTTTGTTTTGGAAAGTTTGGAGCCTTTGCGGGCTAGCAAACGGCAGCTTTGAAATTCATAAAAAGGCTCATTGCTGTGGCCCTGGCCCTGGGGGTTTGGAATTTTGGAGGCGTTTGGAGCCTTTGCGGGCTGGCAAACGGCAGCTTTGAAAGCTCATAGAAAGTCATTGCTGTGGCCCTGGCCCTGGGGTGCCTGTTGGGGAAGCTGCAAACTGCAGCTTTGAGGCCCATAGAAAGTCATTGCTGTGGCCCTGGCCCCCTGTTAAGGAAGGTGTTTGGAATTTTAGAGGGGTTGCACCTTTGCGGGCTAGCAAACGGCAGCTTTGAAAGCATCCAAGAAAGGTCATTGGCTGGGATTGAGGTGCCGCTGGGGCCGGGGGTTGAGTGTTTGGAGGGTTTTGGAGCGTTTTTAGGGTTTTGGAGCGTGGGGAGGGTGGAGTAGAGTTTTGGAGGGGTTGCGGGCTGGCAAACGGCAGCTTTGAAAGCCTAAGAAAGCCATTGCTGTGGCCTGGCCCTTGAGGGTTGTTGAAAGCATCACGAAAGTCATTGCTGTGGATCTGAGGTGCCTGCTGGGGACGGTGTTTGGAGGGTTTGGTGGGTTTTGGAAGGTTTGGAGCGTTTGGCGCGTTTGGAGAGTTTTGGAGGGTTTGCGGGCTGGCAAACTGCAGCTTTGAAAGCCTAAGAAAGCCATTGCTGTGGCCTGGCCCTGGGGTGCCTGTTGGGAGGGTTTGGAGAGTTGGAGGGTTTGGAGAGTTTGGGGGTTGGCGGGCTGGCAAACGGCAGTTTGAAAGCCAGAAAAGCCATGACGGTGGGAATGCGCCCTGGGGTTGAAAGCATCAAGAAAGTCATTGCTGTGGATCTGAGGTGCCTGCTGGGGACGGTGTTTGGAGGTTTGGCGGGTTGGTGGTTTTGGAGGGTTTGGAGGGTTTGGAGGGTTTGGAGAGTTTTGGAGGGTTTGCAGGCTGGCAAACGGCAGCTTTGAAAGCCTAAGAAAGCCATTGCTGTGGCCTGGCCCTGGGGTGCCTGTTGGGGAAGTGGCCTTGGCCCTGGCCGTGGGGTGCCTGTTGGGGAAGTGGCCTTGGCCCTGGGGTGCCTGTTGGGGAAGGCGTTTGGAATTTTATTTTGGAAAGTTTGGAGCCTTTGCGGGCTAGCAAACGGCAGCTTTGAAATTCATAAAAAGTCTCATTGCTGTGGCCCTGGCCCTGGGGGTTTGGAATTTTGGAGGCGTTTGGAGCCTTTGCGGGCTGGCAAACGGCAGCTTTGAAAGCTCATAGAAAGTCATTGCTGTGGCCCTGGCCCTGGGGTGCCTGTTGGGGAAGCTGCTTAAGGGTAAAGGTTTGGAGGGTTTGGAAGAGGACAAGGTCCACACCTGCGGTGGTCCCAGGCGCCGCCCCGGCCTTGGCGAAGGCCGGGGTCGGCGGATAACGACCTCACTGCGACCGAACCCTGGAATCATGGTGAATAAGGGAAATCATCCCCAAATGGCCCAGATATTCAGGTTGGTGAATTAATATAATTTACCCAGATATTTCTGCTGGTGAATTTCTGCTGAGTAAATCCATTGCCATACCGCCATACCACGCACTTTTTTGCATTTTTGTTGCTTTCGAAACTAACCGGGGCTTCCGGAGGCCCTGAAGCTCACTGCAGCGCAGCGCAGGGAGTGCCACGGATTGCCACGGAGTTTGTGGCGGTAGCCACCCGCCATAGTGATACAACCATCAAGAATAGGGATACCCTCTGGTAAACAAACATAGCTATTGAAAATGGCCATTTATAGTGGATTTTCCCATTAAAAATGGTGATTTTCCATAGCTATGTTAAATTACCAGAGGGTGATTGAGGGACATCAACCACCATGGGGATTACTGGGGATATACTGGCAGAAATTCATGACCAACAATGCCATGATTACTGGGTGTGTCTGAAAATGGGGTACACCCCGAAGTGGCTAATGTTTGGCTATTTTGATGGGGATGGTCAGTCAGATTTTTCAGACAAACCCGGAAGGGCCAGCTATATTTGTTGATTCTGAACCAAAATCCATTTACCAGCTATTTTGTATGTTTACCAGAATAACACCAGGATTTTGACCCATCCATCTCAAACTTAGAGACCCAAATTGTTGGTGCATTGTTTTTCAGCGTGTATGCGGCATCGCTAATATGCGGCATGCTGGACTTCAACGACCTCCATGGTTGTCAAACATGATGCCTCAATGATGGCTCTTGGCTGATGGACCAGAGATGGAACATCTATCATCACCTCTGTATTCTATGTGCCAGAGGATTTTCATGGATTTTCCATCAAGCCATCCTTTCCCAGGGGGCGTGTTAGAGGATTCTACCCCTATGGTAATTCCAAAGGACTTCCAAGTCATTCTGACGTGGATCACCACCATTTGGCTGTGGCTCAACGTGTTCTATCCCCCCAAATTTGCGTGGGCCCATTGGTGCACCATTTCTTTCAGATATACCAAAATTCATAGAGATTGGGATATCACAATTTCTTTACATGGTAGATATGGTAGATAACCATGTCTTCTAGATATACCCAACATTTCTATTGTTAGATATTTAACTGATATATATATATATAGTATTAATTATATAGGATATCATAGTTATGATATCACGTGTATAATATACTGTATATATATTATATATATATATGCATATGCATATTTCTACAGCGATATATTTTCACAGACTATTTCTATGGTTACTTCCCCCAATTCACACAGTCCCTGAAAATAACAAATGTGCAGTAGAAACTAATCTTCCAACCCTATTTGGAAGGGTTTGCGTTAATATACAGGAGGGTAACTATCATATATATATATATACATATATACACATACATACCAATCATATATACACATACATACTAATAACATATATATATATATATATTTATACACATACATACATACACACACATATATATATATATATGTATATGTATAATAGGTCGTGGTGACCATTCGCAGCCGAACGGCCGAAATGCTTGGCTCAGCGTAGCTGCCCCGCGGCCCGCGGTCGCCAGGTACGAGCAAGCGGTGCAGAAGACGGAGCAGCTGAATACCAAAGCGCGCGACAAGCTGCGAGAGGCGTGAAATGCCGGAGCTGGGGAACGGTGGATGTCTGCAGAATGGGTTGATGGTTGATGTTTTTTTTAACAAATCTATTATGAGAAATGAGCAACAATAAGGTTTATATCAAAAATCAACAATAATTACGATGATGTGTCATCATAGTGAGGTGAAGCCAACAACGTTTACCATCCCACATGGGGTTTACCATTGTGCCCCCACTTGGGATGATTCATAATCGGGTTGCCACACTAGATCTGATAACATAATGTAATGATGGGGATGTAAATGATATGGATCTATACGCCATGATATGGATATATAATGATATATATATACATTACATATGTTATAATAATATATATATATATATATCAATATACATGTGCGGCTCTGTCTTTTTTTTGGGCTGCAATTTCTAACTCACTGAACAATGGGAAATCCATCATCTATAGATGTTCCCAGCGGGGCGGAACAAAACATATCGCCTGCACGAAGATCCAGGTACTGTGTGGATAATGCAACATGACATGTTAAGAATGTAGTATAACCTTTAGATGACATATCATAGTACGTATTTATAAGTACCAATATGCAAAAGTATGACAATAAAAGCAGCAATCATAATATATACGCCATTATACGTATTTTTTTTTGTGGATAGAAATGGATACAGACAAGTGGATACACAACCAACACTCACCAACAGTTTTTTTTATTACATATTGTTTGTCTGCGGGACACTTTTCTTTTCCCACAAACATCCCACAAACATGTTTCTTCCTTGCTGGTTTTGATCTATGCAGTTTTATTTCTTTGGTTGACAATTTTTCCAGGCTTCTTACACATCAGTTCGCTGGTAAACGTCACGATGGATTGTCCTTCTTTCAGTTTTCACGTCCTCCTTGTCAGAGTTTTTCATAGGTTCTCAGCTATTCTTGGACAATTGCATATAATTTGACTATGTTTGACACTGTATACTGGTGCTTTGAAACATCTTCGTAAACTATCCTATGTAACCCACCGGTTCCGGGATCACTGGCTCAGCCGCCCATTGAGCGCAATGCCGCCTTCAGGCGGAAGAGAAGCTTCGTCGCATCGAAGAAGAACTGAAAGTGAGCAAAGAGGCCGGCTGAGAATGCTTGGAGGAGATCAACGAACTGATGGGGATCTACTGTCTCCCATACAATTATATCATCAATTATATACATACACGTACATATCACTATCATTTAAGATAAACCATACATATGATGTAAAGATGTTTAGATAAAGATCAGTCAACTTGACTTTGTAACCATCACTAAGGGTTTATCCACCACATGTTGGAGCGCATGCGATGCCCTTTACTGTGCATTCACGCTCACTTTGAGCCAATGCATCTTGAGAGGTAGGTTACATCAAGCTCAGCATAGCTGACATCACTTTGGGGAATACATAGCCAGAGCAGATGATCAGGTGTTTTATCAGAAGAATATATCTATATCCCTTCAGGGATGACCTGCTCCTACAAGGATGATCGTTCTGATATTCGCCACACATTGCCTATACAACCTGGGGATGGGTACATACCGTCAGTGACGCTCATCTGGGACCATCTTCAGGGACGCAGATGTGAGCAATTACCCGCGTTGGACCCATCCCCCCCACTGCATCCACCAACATCCACCAACCAAATCCTTATGCACCCAACATTCTTGATCATTTTTTTTTGACGCCCTATCTTGATCAAGGCGCCAGTAGGTCAAGATCGGGCATCAACAAAGAGTCGAATCGATCGGCTGACCAGTAATATGTGTCCCCTGTGGACTGATTGCAGTTGCCTTGGTCATAGATGTGTTTTCTTCCCTGATGGTTCATGACACGAACGGCAACATCCTTTGACCATCTTTTAACTATAGTATAGATACCTTCTTTCCGGTGGTTTGGCCCGCGTTGATGGAGAAAAAGAACGGTTGCGGTTACCATTCCAAATCTCTCAGTTTTTTTTGGTTGAAACCCAAACTTGTGGTGATTAAAAATGCTTGAATCCTACTTTCAAGTATTTTAACATGTAAAAACAAAACACATTCGATTTTTTCAGTGCATTGTTTTTTGTCAAAATTCAGAACTCAAAGATTTCAATGATTACTTACTTGTGATTATTTGTCAATTTTGTGGTGGTTGAATATGGTTCCTGATTCAACATCCTGTTATTCTGTTTCCAATGCCACATGATCACCCGGATCCGATCGCTCGCCATAGGATTTGCAAGAACGCCAAGACAAGCGCGGCCGCTTGGCTGCTAAAGTCGAGGACGGGCCCATGGGGGGGGGCCATCCATGTGGAGGATTCGTTGGTCCAGCAGCTCCGGGGCATGTTGGGCAGCATGAATACAACAATTATATAATCAACATTAATCAACATTCATAGTTCTGCTGTCCGATGAACAGGGTTGATTATCCTCCGTATTCAATATGAATATCAACATCATCAACAGTTCAACATTAGTATTGAACAGGATTGAATATGTCCAATGAGTTCTTTGCTTTGCCAGGATTCGACTAATCAGGTACTTCTCGTACCAAAGAGAAATTATCCAAAATGCATATTATGAACTAATCGTGTATAATCGTGTACATTATAGATCGTTATATTATAGCAATATAGTGTATATTCATCTTTATATCCCTCATCAAGGGCTTCAACCCCCGTTTGCGGTTGGCTTCCCCATCGTGGCTGTGGGGAACGAGAGGATCTGGGACGAGAGAAACGCGACCTGGAGATCTCCTTAGACACCAGCCGCATTGAAGTGCAGCACACCAAGAGGCCTTGGGTTTGGTGGTTTGGTCTTAGGCTTAGGCCATGTACCCGGTGCTCAAATTCATGTCAGACTTCTTTATTGAATTTATTGATTCCCAAGAGTTCTTGGATGAAAACAAGTGCATGGTGATTCGTCTTTTTTTGTCGGACACGGCTTGGCACTTCCGGACACCGAAAGTCTGAGTCCATGACAAAACCAGTCCTGGTGGACTTGGGACATATTTAGCCTTTGGGAATCAAACGTGGCGACACACTATCCCAGAAAGGATTCTCCATTGCCACGTTTGATGGGGGAAATGGGCCAAAACCTCTCAGTTTCGACAGCAGTTCAGGGATGGTCATGCCCTGATAGGGATTCAACATGTGATTATCAATGTGATTCAACTATATACATATTATACACATATTACACACATATTATACACATATAAACATGACTTAAAACATACGTATGTACAGGGTATAGCTATTACCTGGGGAATCCTATTTCTGTTGCTGACCATTGGCCGCTCATCACCATGGTCACCATGGGCCAGGCAGATCGAGCAACTGGAAGAGGAGGTGAAGAACTACGTGGACTTCAAGGATGGTTTGTCTCAGGAGCTGAACATCACGGACGCCATAGTGGAAGGTTTACCGAAATCAGTAGACCATGTTAGGATTGAAACTTTTAAGAACCCCCCCCATATGGAGACAAAAAACAGCAACACGATAAAAAGGGTGCAAACAATACGAGGTAAAAAGAAGACACTGAGGATTTGGCCATCAACATGTCAATATATAGGGCGAGATAGGTCTGGGTTC